TAATGCACTAAATAGATATCGGAGACAATCTCCGTAGTACAGTTGTGCGATATAATATATTATACATGACGATGAAAAATTGATTTTACGACCAATGTAAGCTCTATGTACTATTGTTCGATTTGTATTTTAGCTTTGTAAATAGACACACATACAAGTACTGCCAAGCAGTGTTGTTATTCAAAATAGCTGTTCGGTGTGCCTACGGGAAAAAAACCTAGTCGTTACAATGCGATTTATGATATTTCCGATAGACTAAAATAAAGACAGCCATTTCGTTGTTTCCAACGAGGCATTTTAATATTACATATCTCGTTTGTAATATATTCGTAAAATATCTATATTGTATGTTTTATAAGACTTCTGTGGACGAAAAAATGATCTCATTCCCTCTATCTGTATGCTTAAATATGTATAATTTATTATAATTCAATTGTTAAATAAATAACAACGCAATTTTTGTATAATAATGATATATAATCCCTTGTTGAACGCGCGCTTACTCATTAAACCTTCACGATCACTAACCGACCGATTAATGTTATTCGTTAATTAAATAGAGTACAGTAACTATTGCGTATTAATTGAGTACAAGAGAGATTCGCGTACAACGAGCTAGGGAGACTTACTCGTGTCTGCTTACAATACAATACAGTCACGAGGGTTTTAATTAAACCGCCGCGCAATAACTGCCTCTAGCTTTACTCATTATGCCGAGAAAAATCAGTGTAATTATCAGTGCACCAGAAACGTATCCTTTCCATTATTTTATATGGAAGTAGTGGGCGCTCGTTGTAATTTGTTCTGGAGACGGTTTGGCGCGGGTAAAGTTTTTGAAATTCTTACACCGTAGTAGTTTTTGCAAAATATTTTTATTTGAATTCCCGTTGTGCTGTATTTGACGAGTTTTTTAATGAAACCTAACGATTTGATACGTGCTCCAACATGAATATGTAATATGTATGATTATTTTTTGAAAAATCATCGGAATGCATTGGCTCGAAATGCGCATGGATTGATCCGTGTTCTCATTCGTCAAAAAAATTATTAATGAAATTCTTTTCCGTTTGATTTTTTTCCTCTGCGGCTTAAATTAAATTACCATCATAATCATAGGCTTCTTTTTACTGCTTTTCGATCATTTGACTTCATCAAGCTGCGCGAAATTTCTATTTCTCTGGATCGTCAAAATTATCGATATTGTGTAATTACATTAAATTAGATATTGCGTCTCGATTAAAATCTAAAAATGTCAAATGAAGCTTCGCATTAAGCTCCAGATAAACGTCTGCGAATCTCACTGTCAAAATATAATATAACATTATACTTGCTATCATCTCCATTCTTAATGTTTTATTCCTATACAAAGTATCCCGCCAAACAGTAATTACTTGTGCGTCAAGTTTTCATTTTCTTCTGTTTTTTTCTTTAATCGACGTGTATACTTTTTTCTTTCATTTTGTATCCTATCCTAATGATAGTTGACTAAAAACCCTTAAAACACGAAGAGTTGTAGACAAATGAAGTATATTTCTACTGTTAACGATCCGTTATACGCTTGGATATATTTATTGCAATTAAATTAAATTTTAGCCATTAAGATATATTGAAACATTGGTTGTCAAACTAATGAGAAATAGACTACGAGTAATACATCTGTTTAATAGTAGTTGAAAATATTCTTTTGGACACAAATATAAAATACAATTTTCATTTCAAAGACTTGCAATAATTTCCAACTGACTTAGATAAATATGTTTTTTTACTATATAATCAATGGAAACTCCGAGTTTCGTTGAACACAAACTAACTGACCCGATAAATTTTGTTTATTTTTCGATTAATATACCGAATTTCAAGGAAGTATTTTCCAATTTAAAACGCCAAGTATTTCACCGGTATTTAACATATTCAAGATAAATTCCAGTGGAATATTTTTATGCGTTTTCAAATGTTACATATTTAATAACATGTATTGCATAAATAAAAACAAATCGTTCCCTACGATATGTACTCGTATCGAGTTACTCGTTTATTGAATTGTTTTTTTTTTTCCAATTTCCCGTTTTCATGTATCGAAAATAATTTTACTAGTGTCTCAGTTGGACGCGTGTAAAAGTCGAATCAAGTACATGTTCGTACGTTTGCAATGATGACTACAAAACGAGTCATGTTATAGTCACGCCCCGGTAGACATGCATCGATGGCAAGAGGGGAAGTAAATATATTGAAAGTCGGTTTACCAACTGTGACTAATACAAAACGTGTGCTCGGCATAACGGCGCGAATAAGAATATTTAATATTAATTCGATCGATGCCCACCAAGTGTAATACGTCGTGCGACTACCAGTCATTATTCTTACCCGGCAGCTGATATCGATTCAGTAACAGCCACTGTCATTTATCTATTTTTCAAACCTTAACTAGAAACGCTTACAAAGGCCAACAATTCAAATGTGTCTATTCTTCTCGGGTTCAGGTAATCAATATTACTTTAAAACCTACGCAGTAATTGCTCTTTTACGGTTCCGCCTCTCTTTGATAGTCGTCTAACTTTTGGAACTATTGAGTCATCCGAGCAAGGAAAACTCGACATCCAAACAACTTCTACTGCGTAATTTTAAACGGAAGGGTTCGCATGCGGTCACTGTATTTGTTTTGTTGATTGAAAAGGTATATCCAACAGACTTTATTTGTCATGTACAGAAATAAGTGGATTGCATGAGCTTTTTGATGCAAACATATCGAGAGGAAAAAAATCTTATATTCTATTCCACACTTTAACTCAAAATCCCCTGGCTAACGTGATCACGCAAATTCATCATTTTGGTAAATGTGTAAAAAAATAATTTCGAACAACTCAACGTGCTCAGTTTTCGTAAACCCGGCAGCCTGTGACTTCTCCAGAGAGATACCCACACAAATCTATCATACAATTCCTGACGTTTTCCTCTTGAAAGCTAACACTGTAACTAAACAAACAAAATTGGCTAGCTTATCACATGGTTACCACGTTGATGGACAAACACTGGCCGCTTGTTATACCCATGTAAATTTTGTACACTAGTACCAATACATAATACACCAGTATTATACTTTGGACTATTGTTTACCCTTGTCTTGATATTGATATCACGCGTTTATGCGATCTGAACTTACTGAAAATGTAAGTAAATTGGACATCAATTTCGACCCGAATTTCTTTTAAGTATACTTGATCAACTACTGACGTAGACATAAAAAATATGTAAGTAGTGCTGATAGAAGAATGTATAAAAAGTTGACACCACTGAATTACATTTTGGTTATACGACAGTATACAGTTCTTTGTTGTCTAAGCTTTTGGCCATCTGGTATGAAGGTCTACTGTATAAATTGAAAAATCAGCAGGCTTGGCATATGGTGTGAGCTATTAGATTCGTACTTAATAGAAAGACGGGGTTTCTAGAAAATCCCAAAGAAGCTGTATCTGAATGGAAAGGTATTAAAGCAGGAGTACCTCGAGTGTCCTATTCTCTATTTACTTTTTACAACCGATATACCAACCAGCTATAACAGCTATGTTATATACATTAGCTATGCTGATGACACGGCTCTATTATCATGTAACAATGATATCTCGATGGTTACAAAAATTTGCAAAAAAACGTTGATATCATCCTTTTAAATACAGAAAGATTGAAACTATTAATAAATAGTTAAAAATATGTTCACGTGTACTTTATAATAAAGTAATCAAGCATAACCCGATAATTATTGATGGTAAAATAATTACACAAAAATGTCAACCAAATACTTAAGCTAGTATTTAGACTTTGAACTAAACTGGAGCACTCACATTAAGTTGAAAATAAAAATAAATAGAAATAAAATGTAATGGTTAATCGATCATAGATCACAAGTATCAATAGTAAACAAATAGCTATATGAAAGTCAATCTGGACGTACGGAATCTAATTATGGGACTGTGCTAGCAAATCTTGAAATAGGAACAAAATAGAAACTATGCAAAATATAACTTAACGTATTATTACCAATGCATATATGTATGTGAGAAATGACAATAATCACAATGATATGGTGATAACAAACGTCAGAGAGGAAATTCAACGAAACGCTAAGGCGGCGAATGAAAATCGTTTCAAGACCCACGTCAACAAAGCTACAACTCAACTTTTTGATCATTTTCATAACGTCAGAAAATCGAAACTCTCAAAGCCACAAACTTATTGTAAATTTTCTATTAATTAATGTAAATTTTACTAGTATATAAGTCTGAAGACTCTTCGTTGGAAGTTTGCCTTCATTATTGTGTATAATATATCTTAGCTAGACATTTTATGTAACTTTATATTTTAACGTTTGTGAATGATTTTAATTAAGACCGTAAAGGTGTCTCAAATAAATACTTTTACAAAACAAAAAATGATGTATATTTTATAAACTTTTAAAGAATTTGTCAACTTACAGGCATTATGAAGCTAAATTAAAATGTTCACAGAGTTTTAATATTATTTAGAAATTTCAAAAATATCAAGTTTATAAAAAAAAACAATGGAAAACTATAACATGAAAATTTGTTTTCCTCTGCCATGGCTCACAAAGATGCAATTTCAAATAGCATTTCTTTAAAAGAGTAATGTTGATGTCAGATATAAAAAATACAAACCATCTGATTGTGCAAAACCCTTCTATTCAAATATTCAAATATCCATTCCCGGGAATAAGGTCCATCCAATTGAAATAGGTCTTATCGATTCAAAAGAGAGACAATGATAATTGAAATAGAATAAAAGTCACTTCACTATTATAAACTACTGCAATAAAAAAAAATGAACATTTTTATAGAGTGATTTATTTTCACACTTCAATGTTGTATAAGCGTGTTACAAAAATATTTCAATAGTAATGTTATTTTTTTACGGTTATTTAATTAATTTTATTTCAAATTGAGTGTACAAATTTAGACGTTGGAATTAACCGCTAGTTTTATTTTCAGGATTCGATCAATCTAGAACCTTCAAACGTGATAGGCTGTACAGCTAAAGGCAAATCTGAGGTAAGAAAAATGAGTTAAATACTTTTTAATTTAAAATTAATATTTCAAAAATATTTTTAATTTTAAATATTATTAGCCCCAATTGTAATTATATAAGAAAAATTATTACTATACTATATAAGTAATACTTTCGATTTTCTTGAAACTTGGATAAAGTTAATGGTTTTATGTGAAAATCATTTGCTGTTTTAAGCAGACTTTTTCCCTTCTCCTCTGCGATTCAGTGGACAAGAGCGAGCAATATGTGTACAATAACAATAGAAGAGTAAAGAAAAGATGGAATTACTTTTTGTACCTCCTAGCGCGAGTATGTGTAAAAACCACGTACGGAGACAAAGAGTAATAAATATATCCCTGTACAGTTAGTACAAAAGAGTTTACTAAATGTGTGAAACAAAAAAGGAACGTTCCCACGCATAGAAAACCTTAGTAATAAAACAAAGCTCTCGGGAAAGACTTTTTTTTTTTTTTTGAAGTACAGTGTACATAGAGTCGGGAACCCGATGGTTGACTTGTATTTTTATTTTAATGTCTCAGATAAACCCGATAGCTTACAGTAACTTTTAATCCTTCTATATATATAATCCATTACCACCGTCGTTAAATAAAAGTTTATGTCAAAAGTCAATAATTAAATTCAGAGTTCTTGTGGTTTATTAAATTCTTAGCTCACGCGCCATACACCGTACCCTATCGGGCCACCATCTGCATTAGTTTCCACGTTCCTCCGTTCAATACTGCAGTGATCGAATTAAATCTACTGCCGAAGAGAAATATACGTGGCCGCGTCCACTGGCACTAGCCGTCAAAAGCAATTAGCATTTTAATTTGGACTCGGAACAATACCCAGACTAACCCTCGGGACGTTAAATATAAGTCCAGTGCTTAATGGCAGTGGTGAATCGGGTGGATGGTGGGAGTAGTATTATTGATGAAGGACGAGCCAAAATCACACACTTTCCAAAACTCTCTCAGTAATAAAATAAAGTAGCGCGACTCAAAGTTAGGCCAAGGAGTATTACCCGTCAAGTGCAGAACAAAGTTGCTGGTGAGGTGTCTATTGCTATGCAAATTAATATTACCAGTACCAGGACCCAATTAAAAGTTCCTCTAAAGCAATAATAAATATTATATCTATCGTGTTTTAGAATTTTTTTTTTTTTTTAATACAATTTTGTTACGGCACATATAGAAATTGCACATTATTTACGTTTCGTGTTAAAAATAATTTAATTAAACAAATTCGACTTTTTATGCTCGAATGTTACGCGAAAGTCGAGTTATTGAGTTTTATTTTTTTCATAAATTCAAATTGGCTCGAGTCAAAAATGAAACAATAAACTTGCGACGTTTGGACAAACAAATGTTCGAGGTACCAACAGTTACGTTTCTGTTATTCCTATTTACGATTCAAAGTTCTAAAGGAAAAGTTGTAACGTTAATCTTTCTGGGTACTGGCTGTATCTGTTATCGTTTGAAATATTTTACGGAGTAATGACGACCTCTGTCAAAAGCCCAGGGTCGTTTTATTTAAAAAAATGAGCATAAAGTATTGTTGTCATTACCGGGGGCGTCAGCTTAAGATGGGTTTTGGGCTGCAAGCNAAAAGCCCAGGGTCGTTTTATTTAAAAAAATGAGCATAAAGTATTGTTGTCATTACCGGGGGCGTCAGCTTAAGATGGGTTTTAAATTNTACCGGGGGCGTCAGCTTAAGATGGGTTTTGGGCTGCAAGCAAACCATAATGCGAATGGCCAATAAAATTCTATGCTCTACACAACTTGGTAAATTGACAAAGTTTGTTTGGGTCTTTTATATTTGTGGTTAACGCGGACGTTATAACCTCGTCACTTGCTGCTCACCTAATGACCCACCTAGACGTGTGTTCCGTAATTCCGTAACACTTTGAACTAATTAAAATTTTATAATTTTGATAACAAATCACGTGAAAATCGCGCAATTCGTCGAAAACAATTGTCCATTGGTGGTACCGTTTTACTTTTGACAACCAAAAACAAATTGTCTATCATCGTAATGGGTTTTTTATATATACACGATAGCGCTACGCCTACGGTTCGTGTTACTGTAAAATGTTTTTTAGAACATAGGTAGTTTACCCTGAATAGTTTTCTGACACCGTAACAAGCACGAACACGATTTTTCTATCTATTACAAGCCTCTTGTAAAAAAGTACAAGGACGTAGGTGTATATAACGTCGAATCGACAAGTAATAATTTCACAGACAACTCATGACGGGGTGTTAAAAAACATTCACCGTTCCAAATGCCAATTGGTATAATGAAAAATACACGAAAACCGTGCTAAAGATGATAAATTATTTTTAACCAAAAAAATTCTCAATAAACATATTCAGTAAATTCACATGGCAATTCATAATCGGAGCATTAAAAAATATATATATATTCATTAAAACCTGTACCATGATACGTAAAAGTGTGTTCATTTCGTTTCTTTTTAATCGACTGAAATATTTTTTTAATTATTACACTAATTACGACAAAAACTACATTGTTCAATTCTATAATCGCCTTTAAAGAATTTCAAAAATCAACCAAATAAACTTTTTTCCATTGAACATTATTAAAAAAAGTAATTATTTAAGATCCATTAGCCATATCTAAGCAAAAAAGAGTTTCTTAAGTCACTTTACGACTTTTTTGTTAATATATTAACAAAAAACGAATGTTTTATAAAAGATTCGTTTTTCAATTTACACTTTTTAATAACCGGCAATTTCACGGTGCGATAATTTCGCAAAATAGATACATTGTTTCCAATTGGTTCTATCTTAAGTAAAATTCAACATCAATGGGACTTAAATCAATAATTCGGCATTGTTTTTTTAATTCCGAGAGCAAAAATTAACTTTCTCATTCAATAATGATATTTATGATACTTCTATAGAGCTCTCGGGATACGTTTCATGTAGACTATAGTTTTGATGTTACTTTTTTGTGTAAAGTAGTTCTTTATAAGAATTTTATAAAAGAAATAAAATACATGTAGTTATATCGTTCTAAAAAAAATAAACTTATTTAATTATCGAGTATAACATGGCAAATTGTTTTTAAAAACGTTTATTTACCGACATAATTTTGTCTTAATACATTTTCATTGGTATTTTATTAAGTTCTCATAATTTATTCTCAAGTTAACTTTCGTATTTATTCAAAAGTAAATTAATGTCCACATAATATATTTGATGTAAAAACAAAATTTATTTTTAAGATTATTTTATTAATTATTCAATATAATTTTTAACTAATTTCATTTTTATTATTATTTACTGCTTTTCGCGCGTAGTACCATATTTTTGAATACGATCGCACACTTGTCAACGGTATTACTTTTTACGCTACACCCACTAATAATTATTAATTATTTCGCCCTGGATGATTGCAAATATAGATCTGTGGGAGTCCGTGTAGTATTCACCAGCCGCAAAAACGGTCAAGGCGGTTTATCATCCAAATTTTGTTATCGCCGCCGACTATCATCGTTCACGTTCTCAACGCAAACGCGTCCAATACGTTTGCCAATGTAATCGCCTGTATAGTATTTACCACCCCTCGAGTACCATTTGGAAATCACCTATTCCCTCCTCTACCACTAATTTGGATTTGTGAATATTTTGCACAGATATATCATGTGTTTTGCAATTGTAACTGTGGTAAAATGTAACAACCATAAGAGAGTATGTGCAATAATAATTTTCCGAGCTGTTATTTACGATTGGCCACTGAGGTCATATATTAATATCTCGCAGGTTTTGCCCTCCAGACACAACATTATTGAAATTTTCTGTTTTCGCCAGCAATATGTAACATTTTCAACGTAAACGCAATACTGTTATCGGGCAAAACACAATAATGCTGACGCAGAGGGACCGAATTACGTTATCTGTGATGTATCATTTTAGAATGTATATATTATAGAAAAACAAATTCCCAATACAACGATTATTATTGTTACTTAAACTAATTGTTTTTTTTTTTTTTTATGATTAATTATTTAAAACTGTTGAATTAATATTTGTATTTTTATCGAAAATAAATTTAAAAGCATTACTGATTCAGTACACCGTGATGTTTAATAATAATTTACCACAGTCAAATATGATTAATTATTTTTAAAGTATAAGTTTTAAAAAGTAAGATAAATAATTAAAATAACACTATCAGCAATTTTTAAAAACATTAAAATTGATTGAAATGTAAACGGGTAAACGGGTAAAGGTGGAAATCATTAAATGTTTACAAAATATAAAACTGTTCGGTAATTATCCGAGATATAATTTTATTCGTCTATTTATCATCAATTCGAAAAATATATATATTGCGCAGACAAGCGTTTTTGGCGTATAGGAAGAAGAATTGATGTTAAATTGTTTACATAAATGAATGCGAGTATAGTAAAGTATATAAACGGATATTTTAAAAATATATGTACAAATAGAAAAAAAGTGTCATCTTTATGTGAAAATATTCCGTTATAATATTAATACAAAACATCTTTGTATATCGTCAAAACAATAAACCCTGTTCATTAAATTATATATGTGCAATTAATGTTAAAATAATTTTTTTTATTTTAGAGCTATTACTATTATGTTTTAAATTTTTTTTAAGTGCCAACGTCGAAATAATTTTTATTTTACATTATAATATAATTTTCACTGTACACAGTTTTAACTGTCAACCCTTTCAACTTTTGGTCCAATAATTTTATTATTTTCGCATTCATAGGCTACTTTGAAAAATATAGTTTTTATGCATGTGTGGCATTAGCTTATTTGATTTGATAGAAGAGTATAATAATGTTGAGAAATGGCAACTTAAACAACACAGTTGTCAAAATAATTATGCGGTTAGACCAAACCCCAATCTTATAAAGTAGTTGAATAACAGCGTATCCCTAATACTTATTCGTATAGTCGCGTATATGGATAGACAACGACGGTCCTTTTTCCATTTATCTTCTTCTCCTGTTTTCCTTGACCGTCTTGAATTCCCGTCATGTCTTGTGAAACTTTTACTTTCTTTTCATTTCATAAACTTTAGACTGTCAAATATAATTTTATTGGATTCTGGTTGTTATTTAATAAATTATATCTAACTGATCGTAAATAAAAATATAACTCTGTTTCAAATATATATATATCTCATTGATTTTTTTTTGTTTTTTAGAATTTTGATTGCCGCAATCACATTCGAGTTATTCAGTCAATTGGCGATGGAAGCCGAATATACGTGTGTGGCACAAACGCACACAACCCCAAGGACTATGTGATATACGTGAGTTCCATTCGTATAGCCCACAAACGGTTACCACAAATGGAAAACTGTTATATTTTTTTGTAATTTATTTCAGTCGAACCTGACGCATCTGGGAAGGCATGAGTACGTGCCTGGCGTCGGTCTTGGTACGGCCAAATGCCCATACGATCCACTTGATAACTCCACGGCCATATGGGTAGAAAAAGGCAATCCTGGCAATCTACCGGGACTCTACAGTGGCACCAACGCAGAATTTACCAAAGCTGACACTGTCATATTTCGTACAGATTTGTTCAATTTGACAACAGGACGCAAAGAATTCGCCTTTAAAAGAACACTAAAATACGACTCAAACTGGTTAGACAGTAAGTACATTCCGGCAATATTTTATTCCTATTGTTTACTACAGTGCTACAAATATTACAGTAGTGTACTACCGTACAGCTATGCGTATGAATATTTCAACACTGAACCATGTTAAAACTAGTAGCTGTGACTGGCGTTCATTATGTATTTTTTGTGATACTTTTATTATTTAAATTCCTAAAGCAATCATCCTACCACTAATTTACGCTGCTCTGATCATTATACTTCGCAACTTTTGTCTTTCAAATGCAAATCGTTCGTTTTATGTTTGTTACAGAGCGTAATTTTGATACGCTAAACACGTACCGCGAAACGATAAAATTTTTACGCGACTTTGAATTTGCCTTAAGGGGAGGGAAATGTTTTTGGGAAAAGTTGGAAATATCTTAAGAACTTCGCCACCACCGTTGTCGTCGTGCATGTAATGCGGGCCAGCAACCTCGACACGTGTATAATCCGTCGTCGTTGGATAACTGACGGCACGTGACAGTGCGAGACTGTTGGTGATAAATTACCGTGTAGCATTTTCCGAAGAAACGGCGGCTCCTGCCAGAGAAATCCTTCTAGACTTGCCGATCGTTCTTGTTTTTTGGTTAATTCGTTGGTCTTAAACTCCGACAGTGAAGACTCAGCCAAAACACTAACATCCGGACGGGTTTAAGTACTTTTCTCCATATTCGTTATCGTTAAGGATAAAAATACTTAACTTTTAGATAAAATTATTTCTTAAAAATATGAAGTTTTTTCTTTTTAATTACAATTTCAATTTATAAATAAATATAAAACAATAATGTATGTAATGTCAACAAATATTTTTTTTGTAAATGAAGTTCTAATTGCAGTAAACGCATTGTTTGTTTAACATATATTAGCTTGGAATGATAAGTACATTTAAAAGCGTTTCATTTGATTTGAAATTTGCTAAATTAGGTGCTGGTTTTTTCGAATTGCCCATAAACGTGATAATGGAGCTATTAGATCTACTGAATGAAAGAGGATTTCCTCGGAACGGCAATTACGGTTATCGTCCAATAACAATAGCGTATCGGGTAGGATTTTAAGGGTACTTATACTTATTAAAAATGTATATAACAGCAATTAAATTCACTATCAGTTTACCGTGGTTTAAACTTGATTAAAAAATATTTGGGTTTCAGCGTTATATTTCGATAGGGGTTTGCTTAAGAAACAACGACTTAAAATTAATCTTAAAATTATTCTTATAAAATGCAAAATAAATTTAAAACACCAAAAATGCCTTTGGCGAGATACTTAAAAGTACTTTCTAATTCTATTATGACTTAAACTCCCCTCTTCAATGTCAATTAATTTTTTTTTTTTAATAAGTGATTGTCTATTATTTTAATTCAATATTCAGATCAAACATATATAGGCTTATATAGAACAAACGCTAAATATCAATGACGAGGGGAATGCTTAATTATTATTAATCCACGCTTCTCGTATACTCAACATAGCTAAAATAAATTGATTTTCAAAGATTAAAAATTATATACAACTCTATGATATTAATCGAGAGAAAAATTAACGATTTCCATGTTTAATCTAATATGATTAATCTCAACCAACATTAGGACAACGTATATATTCCACTTACTTGTTTATAAATAAGAAATAGTTGGTATTTCTTAATATTTACTGAAATAATAACGTAATATATTTTTCAAAATCAAAAGTTCCTTAGTCTTTACAGTAATCTACCTAAAAAAGAAACTATTTTTTTGTTATAAATTGTCGTTATCACGATGAAGAAAAACTATTCCAATCTCGATAATATAGACGGTGAAAATGGTTTTTATATTGCTCACCGTTACTGCTGACGTATAGTTAAATTGAAAAGAAAAAGTGACTAACTCCCATTTTTTTCATTTCATATGTGAACATATTTTGGCGCTTTGCGTTACCAAACTTTTAAATCGAAAACTCTGAATCACGACACGATCGGTTGCACTCAAATGCCGAACAAATAAAACTAATAGTGGCAATCGTTATTTTCCCGCATCCAATATAATAGGAAGTAACTGGGTTATTGCATCTCGCTTGTCTAGAGTATCACCACAATAGATACCAAAAGTTCGTACACAGTGTGATATAGTTCATTGAAGTGCGATTTCGAATACAATAATATGTTATGCTTATTTTTAGATGTTACTTCAACGTTTTAGTACAGCATAAACAAATTATTGTTGGTCATATTTTACTGGAGTAGAGATTAATAAAAATATTAACTATATTAATTTATCGATGCAACATTTTTATTAAATAAAAAATGAAATTAGTAGTATTTAAATTCAAACTAATGAAATTTAAAATAAAATTTATTATCCTTCTTAATAATATGATCGTTCATGGATTAAATTATGAAAATAAATGTAAGCCAATCATTGCAGAGTAGCTTTCCATGAACAACTTCCTCCTCGCACTTCTACTATCTTTCGACCTACCACGTTGGTGATTCATATTTTTTGACTTCCTAAAAGATAACGTACGCGCACCCTTTTGAAAGAAAAAAACTGTCACACGCTTGGCCAAGCATAAAGGAAGTGACTGTATCAAAGGCCACCCCAGCTGTCGCAGAACCCGTCGTGTATGTGTTTATCCTCAGATACACCTAACGGACGCGCTAGATTTAACCCCTCAAAAGTCATTCCTGAAACGCATTATAATATGTGTGAATCAGTACTGTGAATTAGTCAACAAATATTTGAAAGCTCCTTCCATTAATATGCCAAATGAAATTGAAATTTTGTAATATATTTAGCGCATTTGTTTTTTGAACCAAAAATAATAACTTTAAAATGTATAATGAAATAATATTTTATTTACAATATTTCATTTAGTAATCATGTTATTATTTTTTTTTTTTACAGAACCAGATTTTGTCGGATCTTATGAGATTGGTCAATATGTATTCTTCTTCTTCCGTGAAACCGCTGTTGAGTATATAAACTGCGGTAAAAGCATATTTTCTCGAGTTGCTAGAGTATGTAAAAAAGACACAGGTGGCAAAAATATACTTAACCACAATTGGGCTACATATCTCAAAGCCAGACTTAATTGTTCTATTCCAGGAGAATATCCCTTTTATTTTAACGAAATTCGTAAGTTTTTCATACCAACTTTCATTAGAATAAAGGAGACATTAATAGCTGGTTTTAATTTTTAGAAAGCATTTATAAGGTACCTGGTGATGATTCTCTATTTTATGGAGTATTTACTACATCTACCACGGGTCTTATGGGTTCGGCCATATGTACATTCCGTCTTGAAGATGTTGATCATGCTTTTGCTGGACGTTTTAAAGAACAAGCAAGCTCAACTTCAGCTTGGCTTCCGGTATTGACGACTAAAGTACCTGAACCAAGACCTGGACAATGTGTTAATGATACTGAAACTTTGCCAGGTAATTAAAAAACGCAAAAACCGTTGAAATATCTTTTAAAATTAAATATTGATAACAGCAATTTTTACATATATTTAATTTATTTAGATTCTGTTTTAAATTTCATTCGAGGGCATCCTCTAATGGATGAGGCAGTTGCACATAAAGACAATCAACCTGTATTTTATATGCGTGATCTGTTCTTCACACGGCTTGTCGTGGACGTCTTAGACTACGTTGTGTTTGGCAATCACTTACATTACACTATATACTATGCTGCAACTAGTAAGTTAAATTATAATAATTCATTAAATTTTAGAGTTCAGGGGTTCTAGCTTCAGTTTAAAAATTAGCCCCTCAAAAATTCATATGTTTTATTATCGTTCATACATATGTTTTAGATTTAACAAAAAAATTTAACAATCTATTCATTAAATTAATTTTATATATAATCCATTTGCTTTTTTAGACGAAGGTCGTGTGTATAAAGTTGTACAGTGGTACAATGATGAAGGAGTACCAGGATCTGCTCTACTTGACATATTTGATGTAATGCCAGGTCTTCCTATTACAGCCATGGAAATTTCCAAAAAGGTACACTAAAATGTTTTATTAAAATATTTTAGAGATATCATTTTAGATATTAGCGCGAGGTTAATAGGTTGTATTTTTACCCTTTGGGCTATCAAGATTTCAAATTCAATAGAGTGCTCTGTTCCGTGATTGTAAAAGCATTTGATATTGGAAACTAAAAATAGGTGTTTTAAGCAAACCGATTGGTTGTTGTATATTCTCAATAACAAATGGCAATTTAAAATTAACACTCGAAAGTATAATTCTAATCTATTAAATACATAATATATACATAAACACTGAATCTATTACTGAATAATTTTTATAGTTTTTTCTTAAAAATATTGTACCTGATTCCCCTTAAAAACCAAATTTAAAATAATTGCTTTTTTATTTTTATTTAAAGCTTCAACAGCTATGGTTATTGGCTCATAGTAATTAACAAATCTTATAACATAATACATTAGTTCAATTGTAGGTTATTAATTACAGATAGTTAAATTTTATTTTACAATTTGGTTTGTTTTAAAAAAGAAACAACTTTTACGATGAGTTCATTGTTTGGCCCTCGTAATTCGTACATATTTTCATGAAAATTGAGGTTGAATCTGATGCTTGAATATTTTCTACAATTTATCATCATAATGTTTTACAGTAAGGTCTACCTCATAGATAATGCATAATTCTGGCTCGTCCTTTCGCATCTGATTACCATGGATGAGCCAAGTGTATCCTATTCTATACTATTCATGACGTCTTAACGGAAATGATGCAGCCCAAAGAAGAATAGATGATTTTATTTGGTTTAATTTAGTGTATTGTATTATATATTTTTTTTATTTATCTATTGGTTGGCTTTGTTGTGATTTGTTAAAAAAATGTTTATCCAACTCTTAACTACGTTCTACATCGATTCGTTGGTTCATCATTATGACTCGTTGGTTTTTGCATAACGAGTAAAGAGAATATCTATTGTTCTGCATATTCATTATTTGACTGTGGCTAAATCTGAAAATGACATTTGACACTAAAAACTATTAAATCCATTACTTTTATTGACAGTATTATACTAAGCTATATTCATTTGTAATAGGGTATATTGTTTTCTCGTACGAGATACTCATCACATAATTAGTAATCTGACCAAATTTCTTGTGTTTAACACAATTGAATAGCTAAATTTTATTCAAAAAGCTGTATCGTGATTCCAAGATTCAAACAGATCATAGTTCCAGAAAAAAAAATTATGTATTCCGGACTCGTGAATGAAATGATCGAAGTGGAATTCCATTTTACTGCATAAACTAAAATGAAAATATTTTATCTTTCTTGTTTTTATTAAAACTTAAAAAGAATTATTCTAAAATTTGAAGTTTTAAATCTTAAACATTTTTAATATATTACCATAGAATAAGTTAAAATGTTACTTAAACAAAAATTTTCAAAGACCAAATAATAAAAGTGTTTTTAATTAAAATTGGATTACACATAATGAAAAAAATTAAAAAATTAAACATTATTCAAACAGCATATAATTTATTTAAATCAGAACATTTTTAAAAAAAGATATTTTTTACAAATAAATCGTTTTTAGTTTGTAAATTTTTCTTATTAATTTTTGTCGAACTTTAATTTTTTTGAAAATTTATTTTAACATGAATGTTCTTTGAAAGTATATTTTATTTTAAATTTTGTCTGTAGCATAAAGCTTTGTATGTGGCATCTGATGAAAGCGTTAGACAGATCTATCTATCTATGTGCACGCACCGATATGACAGCTGCCTCCGTTGCGTTCACGATCCATATTGCGGTTGGGATAAACAAACTAAAACTTGTAAACCTTATCAACCAGGGTAATTATTTTAACTCTATTATTTTAATTGACAAGAGTACTTAATTTTAACGACCAAAAATCTTTTTTAGTCTTCTACAAGATGTGACCAACTCATCAAGGAGCGTTTGCGAGAGCTCAGTAGTCAACAAAAGACTTACAGTGACGTTTGGACAAAGTGTCCATCTTAGTTGTTTTGTTAAAATGCCCCAAGTACTTAAAGCGTATCCAGTTACTTGGTACCATCACAGTAAGGAAAAAGGCCGTTACATGGTGTCCTTCAGGTAAAATGTTATTTTCTTTAACAACTAATAAAATTATTTATTTATGATACTTGGAAAGTCAATGCACATAAATCATATAATTTATTTTTTGTTGTCTTTCTCGTTTTGATATAAAAAATATCAGCTAATGAAATTAAAAAACTTGAAAATTTTTAATTATTTACTCACTGATCTGTTTAATAAAAAAATAAACTATACGCAAACATATATTTTTTTTCTCCGAAGAAAAAAACTAACGTTTGTTATTTATTTTTTAGCCGAGTTGAAAAATATATTGCAACAGTCGAAGGTGGTATGGTAATTGTGGGTGCATCTGAAGAAGATGGTGGTCGATACGACTGTCAATTAGCCGGTGCATTGCTATGCACCTTTAACTTAACAGTAGACGCTCATCGATGCTCTCCACCAGCTCGGTCTTTGGACTATCATAGGGTATACTCAGACTGGTGCCACGAATTTCAAAAATATAAAAGTGCAATGAAATCGTGGGAGAAAAAACAAGCAGTAAGTGTCAAGTTTGTCCCATTGACTTGAGACAAAATTTAAATGTTTATTTATTTACAGCAATGCAGTAGTTCGAGGCAAAACGAAACTGCCATGGCTCAGGGTCTCCTAACTAACGAATTAAATGTCAGTCCAGTACTGTAAGGATTCTTCATAACTGAACAATCAGTTCTCCCGTCATCAGTCCACGTCGTCTAGTAGTTTTATAAAAGTATCGATTTTTAACGTATCTATAAATTTAAATATAACGATAATTAGAATAACGTTCAGACTGCCTAAGCTTCAAAAATCGATAGACGACATTTATACAATATTTAAATGATATAAACATATTTTATCTACTATCTTCTGTGATAATATAGCTGTTAATTTTATTATTATTATTATTATTATTATTGCAATTTTTAATTTTAACAAATGTAATAATAATACGTTATAACATAGTAATTCTCCAGTCGATTAGACTGTGATGGAGATTGATTTCTTCCCGTTTTATTATTGTATAATATGTTTTATTTGTAAGTGTGGCTATTATTATTATCAACTGTAATGGTGCTTCGTATTATAGCAATACACCGTCGTAAATATTTTTGACACAATTTTAGAGCGTAGACCTTATTAAATAATAGACTTTTTATTATTATAAATTATTAATTGTATTTAAATTTACTATTATTATTTGATTATTATTATCTGTTGGTATAGACAATAATAATACAATTTATTTCCTGTCTTAGCGTAATACAATCAACAACTAATTGTAATTTCTATAAAATTATAGTTACTAAATAATCAGAACCTAAATACAACTATATTTTACATTTAACTAATTTTGTTTTTATTTTTCTCTAAATACTTTACTTATACATAATAAATATGTGATTTATTTCTGTCATAATGTTATTTTACAAAAAATGGTAAAAAATCTAAATTAAAAAAAAAAGGAAATTCATGTCATTTTTAAATTTTTTATTTTAATCATTCATCATTGATCAAACTAACATTAATTTATAATTTAAAAATTTTTTCTTGTACTTAAATATAATAATTAGTTTTTCGTATAATAAACATTTCTCAAATTCCATCCATAATAAGGTTTTATTATTTTAAAAATTATAATAAATTATAGATAACTAAAAATTTCACTATGAATACTAGAGACTATGAAATTTTTTCTATTATGTGTAAATACATTTGTTTTAATACTTGTTAAAGATATTTTTAAGTAATAATAAGAAAAATTCATTGTTGTACATTTTTTTAGCATTAGTATAAATATTGTAATAAATAAGTATAACAGTAATTATTTAAATAAGTATGTAAGACTAAATAGACATTTTTTGTTCAAAAAATAAATAAATAATAGTAAGAATCAATAATACTATTTTTCAGAAAAAAAATTTTGTTAATGGTGTTATTTTTTTCAATATTAAATAAAAATTTAACCTAAACTTCTTTTGACTTCTTTTATCATTTAATTTTTAAGGAACGCATTTTTATCAACTTTTTTATTGAAATTCAGTAAAATTTTATATGTATGTTTATATGTTCAAGAGTAATAGATATTTTACAAATTTTAGAATATTTCGCAGATTTGACTCTTTATACAAATGCTTACCTATCACTAGACCGATTTTGTTGATAAACATATCATGAGAACTCATATTTGAACTAGTAGAAATATGTATTTCAAAAATCGGAGAAAACACTAATTTTCAATTATTTTATAAAATATCTAAAAATGAATAACGGTCAGAAAAGCAAATTTAAAATATTTTTAGGAATTTTAACATAACGATAAATTTATTTAAAATATTCGAATTCTTAAAAAAATGTATATAAATTAAATTATGAACAATAATCAATCTTTTGATGTGCTATTTTTAAATCAAATTAAAGTTTTTAATAAGAAGTGTTAGAAGTCTATTCAATATTTAGGAATCTTGGTCAAAACCAAAAATTGGATTCTACTCAAAGTTTAAATATTGTTCCTATCTCCTTGTATAAGTTTTAATTACCTGGAGGACACAGACAATCATGTACCATTGTTAATAGTGAAAAATTAAATAATATTGCTTTGTGTTAATGACAAAGTAATGTTATACTTTATCAGAGAAGTAGAATTGTCATATCAGAATGATCTCAATGTTAATAAACATGTGTTATAAATTAATTTAATAATAAAACATATATAATATAAGTAGTAAGAACATACATTATCTTACACAACTTTTATATTAATAGTAATATGAAAAACATTGAAATGTTTTTGATTTTGAAATTGTGTCATGTATGTATTCTTCTAACTTACATCAGGTATTTATACTTAAAAAAAAATATTTTTTTTTAATATAAATAAAAAAATACAAGTCTTATTTTTTGAAACACTCAGTACATAAAAATACACTAGATTTTTCTTTCTGAAATATTCTATATAAATATTTTCAAAGTTTTTACTATAAGAATAATCTATACATAATAATATTACTGATTTTATACTTTTTTAAATTTATAATAAATTTTAACATACTAAATGTGTGCACTTATTGCACACGAACATTTAATTTTGAATTATTAAATGTTCAATATAACCAGCAATCATTTAACTAAATTAATATCACAATGGTTTTAAAAAATAATACATCCCTAAAATTATATAAAATTTTGATTTAATCAAGTACAAATCACTGTACTTTTTAAAATGATTATTTTTTAATTTTACAGTGTATCCAAATAAATATTATGGCCGACAAAGGAGTAAAGCAATAAATGCACTTCCTTGGACCGCATTCTTTAAAAAGCTTCATACACATAAATAAAAGTAGAAATATGTTACAAATCTAGAGTGACTATGTGACCAAAAAGTGATTCAAATATATAATGACCCATGTTAAAATTACAGTAAATAAAGAAATAATATAAAAAGGTATTAATAAAAAAATAATATTACTAGTTTCTAGTAACAAATTTAACATTAATATATTTAATTTTGATTATAAAAATATTTCAAAAGAAATGGTATTACGCATACTATATAAGCTATACTAAAAAATAATAACTCTTTAAAATTCACATTAATAATCACATATAAGAATACCATAACTAATTTCATTGTAAATTGAAAACAATTTTATTGCTTTAAACAATTAATGACGACATTTTATATTACATTATAAAACACAATGTTTTTAATCACAATTTTTGAGATCAATTATAATATTTTCAAAAGAAAATTATATAATAAATGTTAATTATCATAGATAATTCTCTCAATAAATATTTTATATTCTAATTTATGAGTTATGTAAAAGGATAAAAGTTTACAAAAAGAGCTGTACCAAAAATAAAATATAAAACAAAATAAAAAAAAACTAAACTACATTTTTTATCACTCAAAATCCTAGCTAAAAAAAATTTTGATTTGTAAATTGGAAATTTAAAGTATTTTGCACATGTCCAATATAAGACAGGGCTAGAGGAAGCCAGCATTCGAGTAGTTACTTGAATATGAATATAAAATATACAAAACACTGTCAAAAATACAGCATGTACAATAAATGCAAAATCATTTTTTTTTTTACCTAAATTAATTATGTGCGATCGATTTGTATAGAAATAATTGATCCCAAAGTTTAATATTAGGAATATGCAAGGAAATGCCAAAATAAAATTTGGAATTTGTTTTAACATAAAGTAACGCAGAAAACCAACATTCCAATACTTATCCTGAACATAAGTATATGCTAGTTTTTTTCCACACCATTCTGCTATAGTATGATTATTTGGCATGAATAAATTGTGTTTAAGAGCATAATTTACAACATTAATATCATATTTAATTTCTCGAGGAATACAAAATAAATAAGAGCAATAAATTTGGTAGATTGAAAAGCAAAAAAATATAAATAGAACTCCAAAAAATGTTTTTAATATTAATTTATATTTTCTTTTAGCAGCAGAATGAATCATCAAGTATAGAAGGAAACCTGCATTTAGAATGCCATTAGATCTAGTCATGACAGATATACCAAAAAGTATTGAAGATTTCCAAATGTTATTTTTGTACACATTGTACATGCCATAAAATGTAGTAAATGCATATAAAGATTCTGAATAAGGAGCTGAAAAAAAAATTGCAGCTGGATTTATACAAAAAAGAATTGATGAGTTAAGAGATAATTCTATATTTTTATGTACAGTTAATGTTAAGTCAAATAGGATAATTGTAGTAACTATGAATAAAATATTATTTACTACCACTCCAGATATTATAAACAATGTATTAAGATTACCAGGAATAATATAAGTTAAAATCCATAATAAGTTTGGATAAAATGGAAAAAATGCTAAAGAATTTTCATATGTATAGCCATACTTATAGATGTGTAGAAAATATTGAGCATCCCAACGAAGGAAACCATCAAGTAAATGAGCCACTGTACGGTCAAATATCGAGTCATCTGAATATTCAGTACTGGGAGAAATGAATACACCTTGAGCTTTATGATCAGGAATTATAGTATTGCAAATATACTGGAACAATAACACTGCCAAGCGACTATATATTGCTAAATACCACAATGTTTTTCGACAAGTCTTCGAATTAATCTATGCCATATAAAATTGAAAATATTTTAAATACAATCAAATTTCTTTAAAAAAAACGTCATACCTTTTTTTCATTCATGTCTAATCAAGCAAAATAAACTAGGTAAATTGATACATATTAATAAAATTATCATTGAAATAGATGTTAAAAGTAATATTCAATTTATTAATATAATAACAAATACTAATGATAATATTAACATTTAATTAAATGATAATAGATAAAAATCAGATATTAATACAATGTTATGATAATGTTAAAATCATCTCGCGATCTATTTGTGAATAGCTAAAAAAGTCATTTTTTTCATTAATAGATAGCGCTGCATTAGAAATTTAAAATGTTTATTCTAGAGATCCCTAGATTATTACTAATTTAACAATTTTCTATAAAGAATATTTTTTATAAAAATGCATTAATTATTTTTAAAAATTACAAATATGAAGTCAAAACTAGTCTTTTCATCTTTCAACCATATACATATTACATATATATATACGTATATATAACTTATTCATCGAATAAAGCAGTGGGACCAGATGAAGTGCCACTAGAAGTATGGAAAATATTAGGCAGTGTTGGCATAAGGTGGTTGAAAAAACTTTTAAATATAATCTTATTAGAAGGGAAAATTCCAAATGAATGGAGGAATAATATTGAGTTTGATAAAGGAGAATACGAGGTAGGTGAAATAAGGAGACCAGTGACAATAGGCGAGGACGTGATTGGAGAGGTGGAAAACCTTAGGTATTTAGGATCAGTTGTGCAAAAGAGCTGTGATATTGACGAGGATATAAGACACAGGATTAAGTGCGGGTGGTTGAAGTGGAGAGAAGCCTCTGGTGTCTTATGTGATAAAAAAATTCCAATGAGGCTGCAAGGAAAATTCTACAAGACTGTAGTGAGACCAGCTATGATGTATGGTTCAGAGTGTTGGGTGGTTGATAAGAAAGTAAAGCAGAAAATGAGTGTAGCAGAGATGAGAATGCTTGATGGATAAGAGGAGTGACTAGAGAAGATAAGATAAAGAACGAGCATATAAGAGAGAGTATAGGTGTAGCGTCAATTGTTGATAAGATGAGAGAAATAGACTTAGATGGTTTGGTCATGTTATGAGGAGAGAAGAATCAGAAGCCGTAAGAACAGTTGTAGTAATGAATGTTGAAGGAAGAAGAGATAAAGGAAGACCAAAAAAGAGATGGAGAGATGTTATTGAATGCGATATGAGGACAGCTGATGTGAGCGTACAGGATGTGAGAGATCGTGTCAAGTGGAAGTTTAGGATTAGGAGCCACCCGGCCGACCCCAAGTAGTTGGGATTAAGGCGAGAAAGAAGAAGATATAATTTATTCATCCCTAACTAAATTTCCTCAAGAGGTAATGTTAAGTTTACTAATTTAGAATCATTTCAAGTGTGAAAGGATATGCATACATAAACCCATTAAAATTTTATCATATTCAAATGAATTATATGGAAACACACACAATGATACAAACAAACTTATCAAAATTCACTTCTACATAATAACCAGAACAAGAAACTAAAAAAAAAAAACAAAAAAGATATAGCCAATCTTATTATTTTCTATATTATAAAGAACAAACAAACAAATGCAAACGCATATACTTTTATAAACGATTTCTATTGTACAAAAGCAAGAAATGTTTGGACGAAATATGGCTGCTATAACAGCCAAAATATAAAACAGTATATATACGAGTTGTATTATAAGATGAAACAAAAAATTACAAAAATTGAACACAAGAGATTTTACATCATATCTACTAACAATATTTTACTCTACTCAATTACATTTTGTTAAACTATATTTAATTTTTTAATAACACGTCTCAAAATTGGAATAATTGTAAATCAAAAAGTAAATTAATATTTTAAGTTCCACAGGATGAAAATAGATTTCTTAAACAGGAGAAGTTATATTGTTAAACTTTGTTTCCAGAAAAAGTGTTTTGAGTAAAAACATTTTCTAAAAAACAATATTTTATCTGAATAACAAAATAAAGATTCTAGTGAACGTATTATTTGCAAAGTATACATATATCTTCTTTTATAAACTAATTGTAATATTTTTTAATTAATTATCAACAATAATAATTAGTTCTTAATATACATAATTATTATGTATATTAGATCCCATTAATCAAAATAGTTTCATCGACCAAATAGTATCCATTGTTTATACAAAAAATTTATGACAAAGTTAAATCTTCTTATGCTTCAATAATCGCTAATAATATTAGAAATTTATAGTTGGAGGTATTAATTTCTTATGATATTAATATAATTACTAATCATTAATTTAATGAGCAACAACGCAACTTGGAATTCAAAACGTCAATAAAAATTAATTTAAGTCTTTTTTGTTTGTTGCACATATAATGTCATCCTTCTTCCTGGATGTTTCTAGTATCAGAGATTTTAACTTTATCGACATGATTATTTGTATTGCTGCCAGGATATTCAATTAACTGTTTTTCATATCACAAAATTGTGCTAAATATGAATATTAAAAAATGAATATGTTCTACAACTGGCATTTTTAATCATTTCTTTCGCAATGGATATTGATGACTTAGCACGTGTATTACCCAATTATTTATTTTATAAAATTTTTACCATGCAATAATCTCTATTTAAATTACTTAAAATAAAATTTTAAGCCTAATATTTTTCAAATTATCATTTAATCAAACTATTAGTTCAGTTAAGTAATTTATGTACACCCTTGCGCATCAACTCATTTGAAAAAAAGTAAAGTTTTAAACACTAAAACTCAATTAATTAATCAGATATAAATGTTTAATAAAAAAGAAAATTATAATTTCGTAATATATATAATTATTCATAAGACATAGACAATATTTAAGGATTTAAGTGGTAATTGGTGACATGTCAGATGTAAAGTGTTTGTTGATTTAGGTAATATTTTAAAAAATGAACAAGGTAATATATTTAACAACAATCAATAAATTACATTGAAATAATATGATCACCTATGAATATATATATATATATATATATATATATATATATATATTTACAACATTTTTAAACAAAATTTTTGTTTTATACAAATTAACAAAGCATAAATATCATAAATCGTGAAATTAAAAAAAAAAAAAAAAGCCAAATTTCGTAGAACATAAATTATTTTATAATTTATACTATTATAATAAATATGAGGTTTTACAGAAAATATTATGAAAAAAAATTATTAACTTTTTTTTTAATTTTCAAATTAGTATAATTTGGTTTATTTGTGTAATTTTTAGATAATATTTTGATGGAACTTAATAATATTTTTCAATAAAAAACTATTGGTTACATACATTATTTAGTTTAGAAATAAACCAAAAAAGTTTTATTTTAAATATTGTCGACAAAGGATTGCTCAAAAATTTTAAGTGCCATAAAAATTCTGATAAATCAAAAAATCATCAGATCAAACTGTAATATGAAAATAATAATTCAACAGTATCAAACAGTTACAAAAAAAAAAAAAAAAAAAATTAAACCTAGTTAGTAAAGCCTAATTGAAATTCACTGAAAATTAACATAGTGATTTTATTAACGTAATCAGCTAAAGAAATATTTTTTAGTATTTGAACTTAAATTTAAAATAAAATAAATTAATATTTGAAATTATTATTCAAAAAATATCTAAAATCTCACTCAGAAAAAAACTTATCTTTAAAATTAAGTAATAATAAAATGCCTTAACTATTATGAAAAAATTTAATCTTGAATTATTATTTGTTAAAGAATTCAATATACAATAAAATATTTGTTATAATATAATATAATTTTAGTAAAAATAATTAAATATAACATAAACAATTTTCCTTTGTAATAAAATTAAAAAAATATATATGTATTAGATAATATTTTATTATTAATAATTTAACTCTTATTTTATAAACAAAATACATGTTTGCCAGTATATTTCTACTAACAGCTGTCTTAAATGTTCACACTATATTTTACTCAACATTATGTATTAGGATTAATATAAATATAATGTTGTTTACCAACATAAAAGTAATTCTTTAAAAATGCAGTTTTAAATCGTACTCGAGTCAAAATAATATTGTATTTTAAAAATTCCATAACGGTATTTACATGTCTAGACATAATTGTAGTCAATAAAATGGACTAATTTTGTAAGAAAAATTCCAGAGAAGATTGTAATTTAATAAATTTAAGGATTGACAATTGTAAGAAAACAATACATTATATTTTGTGATTTAGAATTCCAAAAATTCTGTTAACACGTAGGTCATTATTTTATACAGTTCAGATTCATTTATTGTATTAGTTAATTTATAGTGAGTTAAAAACGTTCACTATCAGAAATAAATTTGAACCTTTACAATATAAATGATGACTTTATTATTATTTCAAATACATAGTTTTACTATAAAAAACACAATGTATCTTAAAAGAGGGCTACTTTGCACCACAATACACCAAAATAAAAATGTCTAACATAGTTTTTTAGAACAATAAATGAAAATTATTCGAGTATAAAATATTTAGTCATAGTATGTGTTAAGTGTGTACTGACATATTATTAATTATTATCTCTACTCAATTTGAAACACTTTTCTTAAGATGCAAAGTTGCCCTATTTTAACGGAGGATTGTAAAAAAAATGTGTTTTTTTTCCTATTTAAAAGATAAGTAAACAGTTTAAAACGTCCCATAATACCAATATAAATTATGAAATTTTTAGTGTTTTACCACGTTTAAAACACGGAATGTTTACAAACGTAATAACTCTGATGATACGTAGCGACGTCAAATGATTTTTCCATGGAAGGAAATGAAAACCTTTAAATCATATTAAAAAATTACATTGGTCAATGTAAGCTAAGAATACGCTAAATATATTTTATTTGGATTGTATTTTTTAATATAACTATTATTTACGTAATATAATAAATAATAATGGTTTTTAAAACAAATCTAAAATTCCTAACAAACATTTAATTGCTAGTTGGTGAAATTGACGGTCAAATCATTTTGCTATGGGAGGGGAAGAAAAATACTGATATAAATCATCATAGAGACTGTGTCCCCATATCACAATTTTATTTGAATTTTATTCAAGATGTTACCATGTACTATTAGATTATTATTAATTAAACAAATATCAAAGAAGAAACATTATTTTTTTTGTATATTTACTCTTTTTTTTTTACATAAATTACTTTGAAATATTTATTTAAAAATTCAAATTTTAGTAATCATAAAACATTTGTGAAAAAAATTATTTTCTATGCACTGCATTATTTACAATGGAATTTCTAAAATAAACTATGACAGAAAATTGATTCTATTTTTTCTTGTATAAGTAATATTTCAACGTCGATTTATATAAAAATGAATAGGCACATAAATAAATATAAATATAAACCATAAAATATTTATATATTTTACAGAGTACGAGAACATCATGAATGTAGGTAAACATTTAAAGGATGGAATAGGTTTGAGTGAAAATGGCACCTCTGAGACTATAACAAACGATGTACAAGAGAGTTATATGTATAACGTAAAACCTTACAATATAATAGAAAATATAAGAACTTGAAAACGAAGTGTTAGTATTTTTATTACGTTAAAATTTTTCGTATGAAAAAAAATAAAACTTTTCAGTGCGAGACAACTTTAAATAATTTACAGTAGACATTATTAACTTATTTAGAATTATTTTTAGAATCAATTAATCATTTTCTAATGCTTATAATAAATAACAGTAACATTACAACATTATTCTATTAAATAATTATAAAATAATAAGGATTCGTAAAAAAATGTATTATAGATTTTTTTAGTATTAATAAGTTATATTTTTTGTTAAGAAACATTATTTCCATCCTATAAGTCTCTCTTAAGAGAGCTTTGATTTTCAAAAAATCAGACATCAATAGTATTTTTAAGATATTTTTTTTTTTTTAAAGAAAAATTTGAATATAATGTCATAATACTCATAAGTTTATATAAATATTATTGAATGCTAGAAACCTCAATTTATTATATTGTTTTAAATTTAAAGTAATAATTTTTAGAAAAATATGAAAAAAAATTGAATAATATTTTAATAAATTCAAAAATTGAGCAATCGTAATTAAATATTATTGTTATATAATATTTTTTTAATTAATTAATGCTTTGAATTGCTAAATAAATAAATGGAAATCTATTGGTTTATACAAAGTGGTTAATAAATCAAAAAATAAAAATAAAGAAATTTTTTTTTCTATGTATGATTATGTATGGGTTATCTTAATTTATCAATCATAAGCTATTTTCATGTACATTCTTTATATCTTACAAGGACGTTAACTTTATTTTTTCAAATAAAAATATACATTATTACTAGATTAGTTAATAGATTATAATTTATTTAGAAAATTATTGGCTGATAACAATGTTTAAACTAATATTTCGGAAGTTATTAACATTTTTATATGTCAGTGAAAGAAAGACTTAAGCATCGAAATTTCTAGTGATAAAAATAATTACACCAGCGACTCCGCTATCATTTTAAAATCTTAATAATTTCCGAAATAATGGTCTAAAAGTTGCTATCAACCAGTCATTTTCTTAATTAATTTATTATCTATTAAAGAGGCTTGTTTATTAAAATTAAAAATTTAAATTATATATAATATATATGTTTTCATTTGAAAAAATGTTACATCCGTATAAAAGTATAAGGGATGAAAATAAAAAATATCTTATGATTAATAAAAAGCATGTACCTAAAAGATACAAAAAAAAATTCTCTCTATCATTTTTTGATTAATCAAGTGGTTCATGATGAATAAATCAGTCTGTATAACACCAAAATATTAGATATCGATCACACACAAGTATTTTAAAGAGGATTGAACATTTAATTCAACGCTTTAACAAATAATGAAATAAAAAACAATTTTTTATACATTAAAATACAATAAATTCTTTACAAAGTCAAATTAACTTTCTGTACAATAATAGTGATTAGATAATTGTAGCGTTTATTTGATTATGAGATATTGCAAAGCTTATCTTCAAGCTTGGAGGCAGTCTTTTCTTTTTCTTTTTGTCGTAAAAGTTTTTTATATATGGCATCTGTAAAAATATAATTTACATCAATTATAAGTTATTTTTTATAAAATAATCTCAACATTCATTAACTTTCGAGTAGTTGTTACATTAAAAGAACCTCTCTAAACATCTACATTAACTGAAAGTTTATTATTATTACTATTATTATTTTTATTGGTTAAATTAATATCTTGATATTCTTTAAAACTAACTCGCAACAACGTACTTTTAAATTTTTATTTTCATATCCCATAAAAACCATTTAAGCATCAACAAAAGTAAGTATATTTTCCATAGATAAAAAGTAAAAAATGTATTTATTATTTCTCAGTTTATCAGAGAATTGTATTTAAAATGAAGATGAATATCAAAGATGACATAGCCTCTACTTTTGTACATTTGTTGTACAAAGTTCTCTCAAGGGACTAATACAAACGCAAATATAACATTTCATACTCATTATCTTTCAAAAACGTGGATAAAATTTTAATTTCATTCAATATAATTCTAATGTAAAATTTAAAACCGTCGGGAAATCAATTGTTAACGTTTTTTAAGTTAATATGAAATATGATTCTGGATCACTTGATAGCTCTCCGATTTATAAATGAAAACCAATATACTGTTATTGATATCCATACATATTTTTATTGTAATTCGAGTTAGAATTAGTGTAATTTAATAATTAGAACAATATACATTCTATTAAATTATTCGTAATACAAAATCTAAATATAAAAATTTATTGATTTGATGGTTTGAGAGCCATAATTTTAGTATGTTACATGGATACGTCCTATATATTTTAATCTTGGATATTGGGGGGGGGTAAACTATTAAAATAATGAAATTAGTATGTCACAATAAATAAAATTTTTAAATTAATCTGTAAGTTAGCAGGAAAAATGTTTCTATTTCTCATAAAATACTAGTTTACGGGGATAGTGTTATTATAATAGATAGATCTAAATTTTATACTTTTTAATAAATAGGAGGAAGTCAAAATTTACTTATTTTAGTATAAGCTAGTTCTATTGACGTTTAATCAGAGACTTGAAATTATTTGCCTTTACAGTAGTTAGTTTGTAAACAGTAGTTTAAAAATATCCTTTATAAACTACAATAGCGTGTATACAATTAAATATGACAAGGTATAGTACCACACCCTAATTTTATTTCATAAAAAAAAATATATATGAAAATATACTACATAAAATATTTATTACCAGCCAGAGTTTTTTTTTCTATAGTATTAAGACTGTCAATGAGTTCGTCAATTGGATCAAGATCCGGGCCCAAACTATCAACCCAAATTCTTAACATTCTGTAACCATGTTGTTTATAACTAGATGGCCCTGCAAAAAAAAAATTAACATTTTTAGGAAAAGTGCAGTAAACATGCTTGGAATCAATAAATTGGATGTAAACATTTTATGGAGCTCTTATTTGTATTTCTTTAATAAAAAAAATAATTATTCGTAAATTATACATGCGATGTTTCTTGAAGCACGATAATATCCCTAGTGCAAAAACATAGTTCCAATTAAATAATAAAAATCTTCTTTATATTGATTTGATATTCTATTAAAATTAAGTAATTTAAGTCTCTATTTAATGATCAAACTCAGCTAGATAATAATCATGCATGTAACACTTAATGCTAATTTTCCATCAATAATGATTATAATTGTAAAAAGTTTAATGTGTAATTTTATGTTCACATTGATTGAAAACCAAAGAACATGTACTCTTAACGGTTACATATTATTTTTCAAATTTTTTTAGAAGCAGTTAGATTGATTATTTTAATAGATTTATGTAACTGAATAAGTACAATACCACATGTACTCATATGGTATTGAATTCACCCAATAAGTTTACACAAAAAAAATGTCCTCAGATTTTATAGAAATTGAATGTATTCCTTTTATTGCTTTCTTTTGTGCAATAATTAATTAACCATTACAATTACAAATATTACAGCGATATGTGACAAAACTTAAATATTGGTCTAAAAGGGTAGGAATATACAGAAGATAACAGTCCAGCACCTCTCTTTAAAACAAAATTGTCTTTATCTTTTTGACTTTCATTTGATTAATTTTGCAAAAAATATTATATAATTCTAAAAGGTGCTTCATTTTTATTGACACAAAGTACACAAATACGTGTGTACACAAGAGGGTAGACAAAACTGTGTCATTCTCTTTATTGTCTTTTAAAAATAATTTTTATATCGTATAGTGTATGAAAATAACTTTGGGAAAATACATTGTTGAGGCTACATTGACTATAATATAATATGACCCTAATACAGATAGACTATAATATGCACCTGCAAACCTACAAGTCTTTCGGGAACAATAATAATGATAAAGTAACGAAATTCGACATAAATAACTTCAGTATAAATGTTATATAATAATCAAAAATTGACCTCACATCTCTATTTGTACTATGTAAATCATTAATTATTGACCAATGAAATTTTAACGTCACGCAATGTTACGAAAATAATTAAGATGGGTGTATAAATTAGACTTATTCCAACACATTTATTTAGATAAGATAAAAGATAAATAAAATTTATATAGAAGTCCTAACACTGGTAATAACAACACTATTACACTAACACAGTTTTTATTTTTATTGAGTACTGCAATAATAGAAGAAATTATATCATGATTATAACTACAATAATAATTACATTATAAAAAAACAATTACACTATAGAAATATTTTTTATCTAACACTCTTTTATGTATTTTTTAAGTGTTTCCGCTGATCGTCACGTTATACATACCTATGTACTGATGTTCTATTGCTTTGATTTGTTCATCAGTAAATGCCCACAAATGAGCTAATTTTTTCCATTCTCCTGGTCCCAATTTTTTATGTGCCAACTTTTGTAGTATAATGTCCAAATTTTCGTCAGTCTCTTGCAACGTTATAGAAACATCTAAATCTGGATTACATCTCCATTTTCTTCTTTCTTCGGGCGTTTTGAGGCCAATCCCTTTCTATTTTGGCAGGAAATAAAAATTTAATAAAAAATATTTTATAAAAATTTAACATGATACCTTTTTTGGCGTGTATTCCAGGCGAGCAGTTTTTATAATCATATCTACTATAGCTGTAAAACTCCCTCTAGCTGCTATGTACAATGGCGTTTTTCCACCCTTGATAAAAAAATTTAATTTAATTAAAATTTAAAAAAAAGTTTAGAAATAAAAAAAAAGAAAAAGTATTTTTATTTTTATTTTATTTTTGGTCTTACGATTAGTTAATTTTCTATTAACTATACTAATAATCAAAATGTATCAAAATGCATTAATATACTCAAAAAAAAAAAAATGTATATATAGATCACTAAAGGGTATCACTACTTTTGTTGTAGTAGGTGTCTGAATCAATTTTTGCTCTGAGACAGTTGCTTTTTTTCAAGATATATAAAAGTTACATTTTTTTTGTACAATTTTGGAAATATTTGCTTGTTTTTTTTAAATATGATGAATAACACTGATATATTTTTAATTTTACAAAGAAATACTATAAACATTAATTTACTTGTTCTCTTTGTTCAATGTTAGCACCAGCACTTAATAATAATTTACATATTTCTGAATACCCTTGTTCCGCTGCGATATGTATTGGCGATTGTAACCTCTGTAAAATTAAACATCATATAGTAAAATAAATAAATTATATTATAGTTTATACATAATAATCCGTTTTAATCAGATCGTTGTTTTATATTATTTGGTCAATGTTTGAATCATTAAACCATTAAAAGAAATATAAGGTAATACCGTATTCAAGGCGTTTAAATTTGCTCCTTTATTGATTAGTATTTCTGCAATCATTACATTATTGGACAAGCAGGCCATGTGTAAAGGTGTGTTACCATTCTATAAAGTAATAAACATGATTGCATAAATATTAATTAAAATTTATATAATGATAAAATTGCATAGTTTTTATGCATTTTAAATATTAAAATAACAAACTTTACTTTGCTTTGTCGGTCGATATCACAGTCTGTCGCTAAAAGCATTTCAACTATCCCTCGACATCCGTGACTACTAGCTATATGCAGAGCCGACAAACCTTTCTAATTTTACAAAAATAACTTTATTAGATACCTGTTGGATAGTACTATTAAAATATCACAATTTATTGAAAATATATATTTTGCCAATAAAATTTTTTATAAACAAAGTAATTTAAATTATTTAAAAATAATGCAATCAAATCAAGTAAAAATTGTACTGTCACATAACATTTATACACAAATATTTGTTTTGTAAACGCATTGTTATACAAATATTTTTACATATTATGTTATTCAAAATACATATAAATTTATTTACAGAAAAATACTTCCTTTTTTATCCTTATTACCTTATTTCATATTCTTGTTTGATGTCAGTTATTATTGGCGTATTTTAATAATAATAAATATGGTTCAAAAATTATTTATATTAAAAGTTCAATATACTATTTTATTGGCAGTTAATTTTAAAATGTTATGTAAATAACTAACATGAATAATTTTTAATATCTATCGATTATAAATGTTTAAGATTATAATATAAATACAATTTTGTGTTGTTAAAGAAATACAATAAAATGATTGAGAGGCTAAATGGTATGTCAGAATAATTCCACTTTTTTTTAAAAAATTACTTTTTTATTGACTATTGAACGACAGAAACTATTTAATGTATAGCTGAAACAAACAATTACGCCTAAAAATTATGTTACTGAGTTGTAGCAAAAAAACCATAACATTCTATGCATATTAATATAAAACAAATTAAGAATGTTTTTCATCTAAAAAGTTTTCAAATGTGAAATTGTTAGGTATTAGCAAAAAATTCTTCAATTTAGGTTAAAGAACACTTTATAAATTAATGAAATATCTTAACATGATATACATGATAATCAAAATAAAAATAATTATAGTGATTACTGTAACAAGCATACGAGTAATTCAGGACATATTTAATTTATTTTTAATTATCCAAAATAAACATAAATTATTAAAATCACTTTTATAAAGTTTGTGCTCCATGATACTCTATGTCTACAAATAAATTTTATTAATTATAATTTTTAATTTTAATGGCCAATTTCATATAAACAAATCATTGAAATGATTTTCATTTTTCAACTTATAGTACATTGCATGGGCGTTTACACGATATGGGTTTTAGAATTCCCCATAAAGAAAATAAATATAGTAAAAATGTATTTTGATAGGGTAGTAAAAAAAATTCTAAAATTTATCCCTCCAAGACAAAAAACTTGGAATTACCTTTATATATTGAGCTATACAATGTTAAATTATATAATATGAATTTTTTTAACAATAAATTTTGAAATTTCGTCAATTTTATCATCATATAATTTTGCTTGTATTGTATTATAACTCCTAAAAAAGTTATTATTAACATATGGCATTGATTAAATACAGTAGATAGATTATGTAATAAGAAATTTTGACAACGCTTCTTTTAGATTCCGGCTGTAAGTATCGATTGGATAGTGTTAGGTTTCGTGTTGATTCGAAATTTCCTAATGAATGGTCAATCTATTCTCATTTAATCAATGCCTATAGAGATGAAACAAAAAACTCCAGCATTTTTGAATTGCAAGGAAAAAAGGATATTGATTATTGTAGTTAAGCAATGTATAGGTTAAAAGGACTCCTCTAAGTACTTAGATTAACTATTTGTTTTTCAAAAAAATAATGTTGAAAACAAGCAAAACATATGAAATATTTTTAATAAATATTTCGTTATGATCTGTACAGAGTTTTTAAAAATTTGTTTTAGTAGAAAAAAAAGAAAATATAAAATTTAACAGTTCTCAACGACTGTATTTTTTTTTACATGCATTTCTTTAATATGGAGGTTTGAGGTAATTTTATCAAATTATAATACTAATAGTCTCAACTAAATTAGAACTGTCATTTTTTGACGTATCGTTAGCAACATTGGTTTACTAAGACCGGAATATAAATAAAGACAAACATAAAAAAAACATGGAATAGTAAAACCACACATCAAGCTTGATAATTAATTTGTAAAATAAGAAGTCGACAAAAGTCATAAGAATCTATTTTTTAGATGTTTGTGGCTTAACTTACATTATTTTCTAGATTTGTAGGGTTCCCTGCTTCTAATAACATTTGAACAACTAGAGTTTGCTTATTTTCCACAGCAACATGCAACGGACTATTTTGTTCTTCATCCCTTGCGAGCATATCGGCACCATGACCGAGAAGAAAATCAACTACATCTACATGTCCTTTTTCACAAGCCGAATGAAGGGGCGTTTTACCTTGCTGCAAAAAATATATGGTAATTATTTACTATTTTAGTTGAAATATTATAAGATTATTAATTAATAATAATTTTTTAAAAAATAGAATAATAAAATATTATTTCAAGAACGATGAAATTTAAGTTTATAAATTATTTTAATAGTTTATTAAGTTATTTTTATTATTTTAATGTATACTAGTTTTATTAAAATATTAGCATTAAAATTTTAATGAAAAACAAATTTAATAAAAGCTTTTTATAAAAAAGTTTGAACTTCAATAAAATATTAAAGAAATATAATTTTTTTTTTAATGAACGTCGCTAATTAAAGTTCATTTAATACTGAAACATTATTGAATTATAGTTTTGACTTTAATTTCAGAAGTATATAGAGTGCATTTAATTTTAAATAAATTGCATTCAACAATTTTAACTAAGGAAAGTAATGAAATATAAATGTTAAAAATTATTGTACAAGAAATTAATTTAATTTTTAAATTAACAAAAAAAAGAAACAGCAAAAATTAATGGTGTCTGGAAACTGATGTAATTATTGTAGCATTGAGTTCTATCTGATAATGTACAATCAATTTTTTTTTTGCATTCATATAATAGAAATCTAATTTGAAATATTGCTTCAGCTATATAGCACCAAAAATTCAATACTTGAGAAATACATATAAAATATATAAAAAAAATCTAATTTAAATTAACTAGTTATTTATGATCGAATGCTATATATTTATATGTACTTAGCTTATCACATTATTTATAGTACATAATTACCCTAGACGCTTGTAAAGTATATTTTATATCAAAGCATCGCCGTTAAATTTCATCAAACTCTACAAGCAAATCGTTTTGAATTACAAAATTTATAATTACTGTTAGTCTAACATTTGCTGTATTATCTACGGTAGTAGGACTAATTATTCACCATTGTGTGGGTCATATTACTTTCTTAAATTTGAGTGCTCGTAGAATGTGTTGCATCCCTTTAGTATAAGAACATTTTGACCTACTTTCCTGTGATATAATTATACTATTATATAGTATATTTATAGTATACTATAATTATGTTATACACATCTATAGTTATATGTATTTAATTATTTACATATTTTAGTCTTCTAAAAAAATATCATTAATTTGATATTTATTTAAATATCAGTTATTTTGCTAGGTTTATTTAATCGAATAAACCTACATATTTAAATTTCTCGTTGTCTCTTTTATTTTTGAATATAGTCATTCTTACCTTATATTTAATTTTTTTAAAAATTGTATTATTTTCAAACTATAATGTGTATTCTGGTATGTAATTATTCATTATATTATAATGAATAATTTAGAACTATTTATAAAAAAAAGCTACAATCATAAAATTATCTTCCCAAAGTTTTCTGGGGATTTTTAAATATCATATGATACATGAAAGTTCTGAATTATTTGGTGAATCTGATTATTTGTATGAGAGGTATTTTTAAATTTAGTATTACATTTTTTAAGTGTTAAAATTTTTTTATTTTTCTACCAATAATTTTTTTGATTGATATTAATCTAAAAGAATTCAATATTAAATGTATTACTGATAGGTGTTATTAATTCACAATGATAAGTTTTTATGAACATTATTCTTTTAATTTTATATTTTTACATAAGTTAGTTGCGTGTTAAATGCGAGGGTTTTTTTTTATCAGATCTTATTTTTACTGACCATCTTTTATACTTTATAAACACGAAACTTTAAATTCTCGAAACTATATGACCTAAATCATGTTTTTCATAGAAAAATTCACCACCTTTTTGTTGTATATAAATGTATTGTTACGAACACGGTGTAACGAAAAACAAAAAACGTTTAATAAACACAATAGTGAAATAAAGAAAACTATTTACAAAACAAACGATATATATAATTATAATATAAAATGTAATATACGTGGGATTAACACTATATAAAACGCTGTTGAAAAACTTCTCTCACAGTTGTCTCGCGAGAAACTCTTCTCAATAGGATAGTCCCAACCCTACTCTTTACCCCTTAAGGATATTTGCCGTTTTATAGTGCACAAAACTACAATTGACTGTTTCGTAAAAAACTCAAATTTTTCCTAATTTATGGTAAATAGAATTATTTTATTTTTCAAAATAGGTAGGTGTTCCCTATTCTAAGATTTGTTTTAACTTATTAGTGGCTTTGAACAATACTTTTTTTATGATAAAATTACATTAACATTTTAAAATTAATAAATGACCGATGGAGTGTCTAATGAATTGTTTTAAATGTTAACCTAATCTTTAAAATAATATAAAAGCATTACAGTTTAAAAAACGACTAGTTTTACGATTTTTGAATAAAAATAAATCATATATGTAAGAAAAACAAGGCATTTGAAGATAAATTGGTAAAAAAATGAAATAAAAAAACCCAGCACAGGGGGGTCGCGGAACAGTGGTGACGTGGCATAGTTGGATTGAGTATAATGATATCTGACAATGATTAAAATCGCTATCAAAAAAAAAAACGCTTCGATGCAAATCTTTAGATAGTGTTTAATTTTAAAAAATTGGTGGATTATTCCAAAAGCTACATGATTTGCTAGTTCCTTATTAATATCCTGATTAAGATAAAGTATGTCGAATGAAAAAGGGATTATTAAAAAATATTATTTCTCATAAAAAAATTATGTTGATCCATACACTTTTCAATATGTTATAGCATTATAAAGTTAAAAATGTAAAAAATAAAATCGAGAATTTTCACGGTGAAGACAAAATAAAGTCCGAAATTTTTTTTTTTTTCATAATAAAGTATATTACATTAGCTTTAATTTAAGATATATATAAAAGTGTCAGACTTTCCGGAACACTTTCAAAATTTAAGTTGAAAAAGTAAATTTTTTGTGAAAAAGTTGTCATTTTGAATGCCTTCCTGTAGGCAGGTAAAGAGTCAGATATAAAAAAAAAATATACCAAATGATAGGTAAAGACATCATGCATCTATGTAAAAAAAATTATATTAATTTGGTTATTTTTAAAAAAGTTATAGCATTTTTAAGTAAAAAAAATTAAAAATTTAGCGATTTTTAAATTTGTAATTTTTTTGGAGGGAAATGGGCATTTACGGGGAACGAGAAAATTTTTTTCAATTTTTGAGGGTAATGTCTTCAACTAGATACGATTTGTGATCTTTTGACGTATCATTGAAAGAAATCGGTTCGGTGAGAGCTGAGAAAAAGTGGTAACAGACACAAAAAAAAAACACATCATAGTAAAACCAATACCTTCTTAGCTTTGCATCGAAGCTTATACTATAGTGAATTTAATCATTGTCTAATATCATGATACTTGACCCAACTATGCCACGTCACCACTGTACCGCGACCCTATGTGCTAAGTTTTTTTTTAATTAGTAGTAAAAGATTAATCTCATAATTGATTAAAAAACATTTCTTACTTTATTTGTGGTACTTGTATTCGCTCCTGCGTGTACCAATCTTCTAACAACATGTGTATGACCAGAAATCGCAGCATGATGAAGAGCAGTCTGATGATCTGTGTCAATCGCATCTATGTCAACATCTTCAATTGTGTCCAGCAAATAATTAACAACAGATAGTCGATTATTCCTTGCAGCACACATGAGAAGAGTATAATGTTTCTAAAATTAAAAAAGATAAATTCAATTATAATATGAAAGTATTATAATTAAATTATTTAATTAATCAAATGATACAAAAATGGTTGCAGCATAGGTGAAAAGTGTAGGTGATATTTAACATATTAATGTTACTATCGTAAAAAACGTATCGATGCAAATGTGTAAATAGTTTTTAATTTTTTGAAGAATTTTTTCAAAAGCGACATTTCATCCTTAATTATTCTGATCATAAATTTTACAATATAAATAAAAATTAAATTATTAAGTAATAAAAACATATGATGAAGTGGAGTAATTGTAAATTTATTTTTTCTCTTAGAAAATAAAGCAGATTTTACTTTAGATTGAAAAGACCTGCTAATTATGTATATCACTATCATATTAAGTCCTAGTTGGAAATGAAAATTTTTTCATTTATCTAAAAAAAATGCATTAACAATAACACCAATCAATTACAATTAACTCATTTCATCCTAAAAAATATGTTTTATAATTGTAATGGATAGGGAATTCTTTTTATCATATTTTATTTAATATAATTAAAATATATTTATAGTAAGAAGATATTTTTAATTTTTATCTGAAAATAACTATAATTTATGATTCAAAAAACAGAGATGAAATTTAAATTGATATATTTTTCTTTTAATTTGTAGTCAATGTAAAGTTAAAGGAATTGATTTTTCTCTACAAATAGGTTACTACATAAACAAATTTACTTGTGAATAAATTTTGCCATTAGATGTTTTATCAATAATAACAATAAATATTGTTTAATTTATTTTTACTTAAAATCTATTAAACTTAGATAGTTGAGTTTTAATTTTTATGAACATAATGTTATGTAATATTTGATATTATTAGCATAATAATTAATGCTTTTAATATATAAAAAATATTTTGTACAGTCTTGAAAATGAAAGACTGCAGGCCTGCTGTAACTTGATAGTGAGGTGACAGCTGTTTACCCGCCCTATTTACTTGGAGACATTGGCTCGTTTCTATATAAATATATAAATATATATATATATATAATTTAAATAAAAAAAAGTTAAGTATAGTCAGAAATGTTTACTTAATGTAACTTGTTTATTAAAATAAAAAATAATAATAAACTTATAAATAATAATTTTTAGCACGATAATAACAACAAAAATGATAAAAACAAAATAATAAGACAAAAAAGAAGAAGAACAACAACAAAAATGATAAGAACAAGTAAAAAACAAGCTAGTCGTCAGTGTAACTCCCACATTCGGTCTAGTAACTTGAACCTACGAAGATCCTCTCTTCAACGTTTTATTTTTACTTTTATAAAAATATATCGGAAAGTATTTTTAATGACTCAAACATAGTTTAATGATAAATTAAAATATTATTATTTTTCGATAGAACATAACAACATTTTTTTTAAAGAGGCAGTGTTTTCTTTATTAATATATTTAAATTACTATAATTATCACTATTCTAATTTGTTTGTTATTTATGAATGTATATAATTATTTTTACAATACTTTATGTTAAAATATTTTTTAAGGTCAGGAAAAATGAAATTGAGCTATACAAAAAATGTATTCTAGATCTATTTGTAATAAAACTCCAGAGGTCAAGGATATATATGTCAATGATAGTCCCAGTCTGTCCTATTTTGTTAAAAACCAATATAGGAGGTAAAAAAATTGAAATATTAAGCAAGGGTACAATTAACTTAGATTTTTTTAAAAATAACTTCTAAGTAAATAGCAACAGATATATAATATTTAATACATATGTATAGAATATTTTCAAATGATAATTTTGTGTTGTTGATCAATTTTTTTCAATTTAATATATAATTGAAAATAAAAGAACAAATTTGTTTTATTTAAATTATAACCATAAAATATGTATCTTAAAACCGGAATATAGCTTCAGAGAATATTGTACTATTAATTATAGGAATGCACCTAATGTAATTCGAATAGGTAATAATTTCATTTAATGGAAGACTGCCAGTGCAAAATAACTATAAATTTATTTTATATAGGACAACAAATTAACTTTGCCAATGAATGTTCTTTTATACATATAACTAGAATTGAATTTTTCATTATGTGTATGTATTATGGTGTATTGTTTGGGTCATTTATCAGTTCAAATGTCGTAGTTAGTACCTGTGCATATTTAAATGGCCTCGTTTCGCATAGAAATAAAGCTAACATGATACTCCTTATTGGACTATCGTTGAAATTAATGACATCATAAAACAAACCATAGTGATCAATCTTCATTTTTTCTACACTTGATTTATTCTGAGGAAATCTTAAGATATGGTTTTAATTTAATAAAATACGTCAACTAATTCTACATTTCTTTGTCTTTATAAAACAACAATAAATATGTAAATAAGTTTATTCGTGGTACATATTTTTATTGATGAAATACAGAATTTCCACACAATATTTAATATTATTTGGCTATTAACGTTTTAAAAAGTTACTTTTTTATTAGATGAAACAATAAAAAAATTAACAAGTTAAAATAAAGCATTTGATTTATACTGTCCAACATTAGTTTATTCGCAATTACTGCGTAATATTTACTTGTATCCATATCGACCGCCTTTTAAAGTTTATCACGTGGTGTGTTTATAACCGTTGTGCTAAAGATAAATAAAAAAAACCCATACATAAAATACTATTAAGCATAAAACTGAATTTACGAGTTTCATCAATTTTAAGCTTATTTCATAGCAACAAAATAATAACTTCTGTGCTAGAAAATATTTTATTTCTCGATCAATTTTTAAAGTGATATTTAGATGTGTGTTCGGATAAAGACTCATAAAGCTACGAAAAAAAAAACGCGGTTTTCATAAAAAATTAACCAATGATATGACTATTATTATAGAATTTTCAATTACTAAACAAATCAAATGTTTATACAATCTCTTCATCAATATTGATAAACATGTGCATTTTCATTCTCTATTTGCTGTGTTGTATAACTTTAATTTGCAAAACAGTTGTTAAATAGTTCAATTCCAAACGACTAAACCTTTACACTTAACAGGATTATCTAACAATGTCTGGTTAGTTCCGTTAGAGCGATTAATCTATTTGTTAAAATTGACTTCCATAAATTACTCAACATAAAATTTTTTACCAGCATATTGTATTTTTATCATACAATCTAGAAATTATTTTACACGCGAATGTACTTCTGCTTTAATGGTTACATTTGATACTACTTAATGTTATAGTCTTTTTAAAAACATACTGCATTATTTTATCTTCTCAAAAATACTTTTTTTATTCAACCTAAACTAGATTACTTAGTCTATATTATTAATATAAAACAAAATTCGAATAAAAAAAAAAAACAAACAAAAATTGTTTGAATGTAGTTATATTTCATCTTAAAATTAAAGACTTCAATTATTTTTCATACATTTAAAATTATATTATATTAGCTATTTCTGATTACGAGAAATAATATATAATATAATACTTATGCTTTTAACATAATAAAAATAAATAAATATTCTTACTTTATTTATTGTATTAACACTAGCACCATAGTTGATAAGCATTTGTACTGCGTCCGTATGGCCATGCCACGCTGCCATTAAAATTGGCCGCATACCATACTGTAATATAAATAAATAAAACGTTATTTTAGTAATATAAAAAATAAATTTTCTTCAGTAAACTACGACAAGTTATATATTTAAAATAATAAATTAAAAAAAAGAAAAAATTCTTTTGCCGTTTAGGGTATTTTTTTAATAAGTACATAATTTATTTAAAACATGATAATATTTTGTTTTAAATATATTTACGTATGATTATGATTTTAAGATCTGACATAGAATATTCGTTAATCTTCGATTAATAATTTTTAACTGTGCGAAAAATATTATTTAACTTTTAATAATTCATGTTAATCAATTTCAAAATCATAGTTACTTAATGAAATATTATTTATAATAGTTTAAGTGTTTATTTGTATAAAATATTGACACAAATTTTTTCACCTAGTAACAATATTAACATTTTAGAGAAAAAAATGGTAAAAATATACTTGATAAATAACGATAATACTCGATTAGGTATGTTATTTATGTAAAAATATTGTGATTTATATTACTTTGTCTTTAGCTTCAATGTCACAATTTGCATTGATAAGTGTTTCCATAATTTCAATATTTCCCCTCGAAGACGCCCAGTGAATAGGAGCTCTGCCATACTAAAAAATAAATAATAAATCATGTTACATATAATTTTTTTCGTTGGTTGAGAAAGCTTGGATAAGTTATTGAAGCGTATGCCGAAAAAATTTACATAAAAGTCAATAGTTCATTCAACAACTAATAAATACAAATAAACGTAAATTATTAACTAGAAAGTCATAAAGGAGTTCATATTTTTAATTTAAAAAGTATTGATTTATATTATTACATCCTCGTGAAAAAAATGGTTTAATAAGTTTTTATAAAAACTAACTTTTATCAATAAGAATTTTTTCAGAAAACAGAAATGTTTATAAGAGTTTTGTCGACACATTTCAAAACAGATTCATCAAAGAACAATTCATAAAACACAAATGTAGCAAAAATTGTATTGCTTGAAGTGTTCCTTTTTACACATTACTAGAGCTATAAAAAACGAATTACATCTAAAGACATTTGAAAAATTGTTCTAAATGAGACGAAAAAACGTTAATATTGGATGATTCATAGGTACTGGACGGTTGATTAAGATTAATTACTATAATTTCTATAAAACAAGATAATAAACCAATAGTTAATGTAAGTAGCTTAATAAAGTCATTTCGCTTACAGCGTTAATGTTAAATTTAGTTGACTGTTATCAGAATTACAAAAATAGAATTGTTACTTAGAAATTATAAAATAATATTCATTGTTATGTAAGCCTTTGTTGGTTACAAAATAAAATGCTATGAAAGGATTTATATCAACAATAAACTGAAAAAAATCTCAACAGACTTAAATTATTTAAATTTATTAAAAAAATTTCAAATTAATTAAAAGTTATTAGAGAAATATCATTCATGTGAGATTTTTTATTAAAACGCCTTAAGAGTTTCAATGTGTTTATATTAATTTTTTTTTATAGTTTTTTTTATTATTGTTAACTAACTAAAAAAAAATACTTTTTTATATTCATAACTATTATAGTTCCACCACCATCGCTAATTTATATTATAAAAAAATCGAAAATCTCTTTACGGGCCTATTAAAAAATAATTAATATCACATGTCTTATTTGGTCTCATCTTGAAAACTCATTTGATAATTAACATTTTAAATTATAACTATGTAAAAATAGCTTTTTTAAATTAAAAGAGCCTATTAAATTAAAACAAAGCCACTTATTGTGGTTTTTTGAGTTAAACATTTTTAATATATTTTGGTTTTAAATATAGTTTAAATTTTAAATGATATTAGCCACAAGTGATCAATTTTTATTATATGATATTAAATATTATGGAGGGCTATAAGAAAACGAAAATGCGTAAATGATACATCACTTAAATGATAAAAATATTTAATATTAACTATGAAAACGTTATTTATAATACACTATTAAAATATCAATTATACTACATAGTATTCATTTAATATAATTGCTTAAAAGATGTAATATCGACTTATATAAATCCAAAGTTAATCGCGAAACAAATGTTAAAGCGTTTTAATTTTAACCATAAGATTTCAACTTTTGAAATTTGATTACAAAATGAGATGATACTCTTTTAAAAAATGTTATGATGATATCTCCTAAAATAATCGTAAAAATTAATGAAAATCTTATTACTTATACAATTGTTGACAATCTACGCTTTTTTTTTTATTTTCCGGAATCCAATTAATTAAAGCAAGATAATATTCTATGTTTTGTACATTTAAAATAATTGAACGACAATATTGTGCGTCAGACAAAAGTAGACATTTATTTATAGCAACGCGACTTTATTATTTCATTATTGTTGCGGTTTTTGTTACAAAATTATAGGCACTAAGATTCTACTTGAGAGTTATTGTATTTAATGTTGTAATTAAATATTAATGTCGGTATTGAAAAAAAAAACTCTTTGTAACAAATTTTACAAAATATAACGGAATAACAATGTAATGAAGTTTTTCATTCGATGTACAAAACGTTGAGTAATACAACTAATTAAATCATATTTTTTTATTAATAACTTTTTAATAATTGTACAGAAAAGCCGTTAAACATTTTTAGTTTCCTGATTCGTTCAACAATGTAAAATAATAGGTTCGACATAAATTATTAACTTTCCTTGTACATAAGTAATAATTTTAAAAAACACTATATTTTTCAGTGGTTTTTAATAATTCACTGAAAATGTATAGAGTAAATTATTGAAAAACTATTACATAATAGTGGTCTTTTAATATAGTCTTTATATTATTTTCAGTTCAAACGGTAAATAATAAATAGCACAATTATTATTGTTGACAAATTTAATAAATAATAATCTAGTCAACTATTCTGTTGTTCAAAAGCCTTTGTTGAACGGTTCACGTTTAAATGCGCACTTTTCAATTAAAATATTAAAATAATTCAAATTAGAGATTTTTGTTTTTACCAGTAAATTCTTATCAAAACAGTTCGCTTTTGAACAACCACAAAAATAATAATTATATTTTTGCTGTAGTTTTTAATCGACATATTTGAAAAATTATGAGGGTAAAGTAAATCGATACAAAGTGAGTTCTTACATGTTAAAGTTAACATTAACGTTTTTAATTGCGTAAAAAAATAAAAATAAACCTGAGCAATAGAATTAATGTGCAACGCCTATAATTTTCTCTACCAGCTGTGTGCGTTTATAAATTATTTAGCATGCATGGTGGATCAATAAAAACACATTAGTAATAAATTAGTAGCATTAAACTTATTTTTTCATTTGAAACGTAAATCATTCGATGAAACAAGAGAATTCATTAAAAAATGTACAATAATGTACGAAAAATGTGAATACAACCACAATGTTATAGTTTATAAATTGTTTACATTAGGATTGATGTGATTTTTTCAATGTGTTTACTGGTGTACACCAGGAAAAGGATGCTGCTATATGATGAAATTCCGAAACAAAATCAACCAAATATGAATTTCCGGAAAGTCAGTTTATTTCAATTTTATATCGGATATGTCGGCTAGTTTTCTGTCTAAAATGAAGTATTTTCTGTTTGAGCAGTAGTAAATAGCACCGATTTGTCCCTAAAAATGGTAATATAATACTCTGTCTCTAAAACACTTTATCTCTAAAAAAAAAAAAGTGTGTCATAATATACGCCAATTTCCATCGATTTTCTCCTACTCAACTAGAGCTTATTTATTACAAATATCTGAAAATAATTTTCACTTCGGTTTTCCTTTTTTTTTTAGGTAGTCAAAATCGATTGGCGTTATATCACAAGTTCCGTCCGTTTATTTTTCTTTGAAACTAAAAGTATCTTATGTCATTTTGGTAAGCCCAATTCGCCAAGAAAATATATTATTATTGCGATAAAAGTTTGTCTATAAAACCCCTATACATTTATGCCTGTATCCATATGTCCATAGAATCCATTGGATTATGTAACGTAATTTAAAGTCTACATCGAATACGATAAAAATATATGCATAAATCATTTTGTGAATTACACGTATGAAACGTTTTCAAGAAACTATTGAAAGTTAGAATATTTTTTCAGGTAAGAGTAAGTATTAAATAAGAGTAATACTAAGTAAAGAGTTAACTACTATTTAAGCTAAATGAATAAAATAAATTTCGTATACGAATAAGTTATAAACGATTTACTTTTCAAATAATTACTATTTGAAAAATCATATTAAAACATTATTCCCTATTTCAGTAATATGTTTTATGCAATGCTCACTTAATATATTGTGTACCTAAGATGATTTTAGGCATACTGTCAAAATCAATATTTGCAATATCATAATAACTGTGATATTACACTAGGTCAATATTTATTTATTTTGCATGATACTAATTCTAGTAGCTCAAATTTATTTTGACCTGGTTATTTAAATTTTTAGTTAAAACGAGTTGTGTATACTGACGTGTTATTGTTCCTCTATTGGTGTTGTAGCCCTAACACTGTTGCAATAACTTTTTATGTGCAGTCGTTTTTTGTTAATTTAAAGCATATTTAACAATATTTTACCAACACACATTTTAAATTCACTAATTTATGCATAAAAGTACATGCTTCTATTTTTTTTTTTTTTTTTGTTAAAATCTCTTCATTTGAATTTCCTAATCCTCTGTACAACAATATTAAGCACGTTTCAAATTATTCAATTATTTTTTATACAGCAAATCCACAATGTTGTGTTGATTTTAAACTTCTCATAAATGTATTATCAGTATAATATGTTTATGTAGTATATTCACTTGAATAGAAGATTTTTGAAATTTTTAATGGCTCATTAGTATAATAATTCTTTAATATTTAGTGAATAAGATATTACTGAATAATTTTTAACAATTTTAATTGTATACTTAGGTTCTAATATTTTTTATCATGACATAATATTGAATAAATTTCTATAGTGATTTCATTTCATTTACTGCCATCGATTTAGTAATTTAAATAATTATATGATAGTAAGTAATGTTATTTTTATTTCCTGTTTTTATTTTTATGAACATACGATAATTTCTTTTTAATAGGGTAAAAGAGAAATTAAACTTTTTATTACCTCTAACTTGCGTGTTTAATATCTATAAGTAACATCTTACACAAACAAATTTTATAACAATAGGTATATTTAATGTATGTTTCCATCTATTAATCTTGATAAAATAAATATAATAGAGAATACTATTTTGTGATAATTATATTTAAAAAATTGGTTAAATTTTTTTAAAAGACATTTATTTTATTAATAAAATAACTTCTTTTAATTGATATACTTACATTGTTTCTTGAGTTTACATCAAGTGGCTCTTTAATTACTTTTTTAACTGCTTCTAGGTCATTTTTTATGACAGCTTCATGAAGGAGTAATTCATTTTTTAAGACTAAAAAAAAAACAAGAAAACAACGAGTAATTATTGTGTTTTTATCCCTTACATTATATCTATAACTTTTCTTGGTATTATTACCACAGCTTTCGAGATAAAAAAAAAATGTATTTTGTTATAATTTCTTATACAATATTCAACAACACAATAAAAATATTATAAAAAGTAATTGATTTATCTTGATACACTAAATTTCTCCTAAATGATAACAATGCAAATATTTTTTTCCATTTTTAAGTGTTTAAATATTTTTGAAGGCCATCTCTTATCCCATTTTAATGTAATTACTTAATTTTTTTTAAATATTCCATTTGCATTTAACTAACTCGTGAAATAGAAAATTATTCAATTAAGTAATTGACTGGTCGATAATAACTTTCTAATCAGTATTTTCGATGTTATTAACACTTTAATATATAAACTAGTGAAGAGGTATGGAGGTATATTACTTTTATTATCACGTGTTATTTTGCCGCCCAGGTATAAAAATATTTATAACTACTGAGCAACTGATTCAAAAGTTATTTTAAAGTTATATTTTCTTAGTTTTATAATTTTGTGTTATATGAGCTAGATTGACATATATGTAATCAAGGAAAAAAATTAAATTAATACCTTTACTAGGAATGGACCTAAAAATATTTAATCGCTTATGAATCGAGATATTATATTATAGTAATATTAAAATGTTTTCTACAGCTTAGTTGAATTTTCCAATCTTTTGTGCTAACAATATACGTTTACTATTATCAAGCTTTCTAAGCCATCAGTTTTCAATAAAACAATATAAAGTGTTTCTAAAACTTTTTACTTTCATGAAATTACCCTTAAAGGTTAAAAAATCTCTTCTACTTTTATCGCATCAAATACAATTGAAAGCTGTGCTGATTTATAGCTAAAATAAAATTTATATTGACTGTTTTAGTCCTATTCAATAATAAAAATAACTACGTTAATTTTTCTTAGTAAGTATATTAATAAAAATAAATAATAGTATGGATTTTAAAGATACTATGCCAAGAATATCTTTTAGATTTTTGGTTTCAGAAAAATTTATCCTACATCTTATATCCTCTGCCTTGACACAATCCTATATTAGAGTGTATCATATTTCACCTTAATATAGACAATGACTTTTGTATTATCAAAAAACAATGATTTTTATTTTATTAATACATAAAAAACAGACCACTGCTTGCGCGTCTATTTCCTGCCTCAGTCGGTGGCTCAGGATTTTCTTCTCCTCCTCCCATTGACACTCGCCTAAGGACTACACAATCGTCCACTCTCAGCATGTTGCCAGCATTACTTTGATTCAACCTAAAAGTAACAAAAAAAGTATTAAATGATTTATACGTCCATCATAACAACTTTACAATAATTGTTGAAGATAAAATTTGGTTATATTCACGAAGGTCAAAATTTATGAATATTTTACGAAATAAGACACTTTAACGATTGAAGAGCGAAATTATTTAAAAACTAAAATAAATTTTAATTTTATATTGTTTGAATAAAAATTAGCCACGTATAATACAAAAAGTTAAAAATAGCTGCTTTAACTTTTTACTTATTTTAACTTTTTTTTGTTTACAGTTAACAATTTATAAAAGAAAAAATGAAAAACTTTTATAAAAGTTTTTTGATGATATTAAAGTTTCTTCCGCATTCTCGGAAATAATGAAAAATCATTTACCGTAATTTGTAGAAAAATATTTATCCAAATTAAATTTGTTTGTGTTTTAGTCATGAAATAAGTTATTACCCTGTCTACTTGATAAAATATTATTGTAATGGTTGATTTGTTAGATTATACTACATATTTTTAGCAGTAAAAATTAACATCGAAATATAAAAATTCTCTCTGAATATTGTAATATTATTTTATAATTCACTAAGATGTTTAATTTTAGTTTACCAATGGTTTTTTTTTTTTTGCTATCATATAAACATGTCAGCAGATTGACAATAATACAAATATGAGTTTACACTTGTATTTTATTGTCATAATCAGAAGTTTTCCTATTATTTTTGTAGCTGCTAATGGGTTTACGCTTATTCTTTTGAATAGTCTTAGTTATAAATCTTTTTGAAACATTAAAGTGTATAATCATAAAAAAAGTCAATGAAACAGTAATAAAATCAAAGCTATGAATTCAAATGAAACGAGCTGATTTTTTACAACTCTTTTTCAAAAAGAATACCGATAACATCCATTTGATGTTCATAGGCGTTCAAGAAAACTTTACAGGGACATCTTTGCCTTCTGAATTTATTCAGCAATTTTATATTTACAACTTGATAAATTTCTTCATGGAAAAACTCTGAAGGAGACTTAATTTCATAATACTCCCTATTTTTCGTCTTCTTCTATAGTACTCAAGTAAAAAACATATTTAGTCTAAAATATGTTTTAGCATTATGCTAAGCTGAAAAGTATTTTTTTTTGTGATGATGTGTGTTTTTTGTCTTAAATGTCTCAATTCTCACTGGATTGGTTTTAATGACCACAAAATAACATGATTTTAATTAAATTAAATTTATCGTTGCCAAAAAGGGGGAAAACCATCAATTTTAGAAATTAGAAAAATATTTCAAAGTTACGCTACTGTAATGATATTTTCCATTTTTTTTTTTGCATATTAATATTGCTATACCCTTAGCTCTGATCCTAATATAATTTTAGTAGGGCATACTAAAAATAAATTTACTTTTAGTATGATTTTATAAAAATTCAATGAAAAATCAAAGTTAGTAATGGTTAAAAAAAACCATACACGCGTGTAAACAATTTTTTTCAAATACATTTTTAAAAGTGTTCCGGACATTTGTTCTATTTAACCTATATTAAATTTGAGCTCTTAAAGTGATCTACAGTATTAAAAAAAAAAACTATTCCTCGAAAGTTGGGAAAATTATAAATACGTATACACATTATTGTGAAATTTAATAAATACGCAACGAAGCGTTTTTCTGACAGTGGTCAATAAAATGACATGGTTAATAAAAAAAATGTTTTATGATTGAAGTAAAACTTCAGATTCTTTTGAAAAAACTTATCTTTATGTCGAAGTAAGCATTATTTGAATAGCGGAAGAAAATTTTGTATATTACACTTGACATGCTTTGCTGTAATCAGTAACTTAAGTTAAATACATCACTTATTTATACTAAAAATCAAATATTTTAATAATTTTATCTAAGTGAATACATAAATCATTTTGGAGTAGATAAAATTGTTCTTGAATTTCCAATCCCTTATTCTTAAATTACTTAAATTTAAACATAAACTATTTTGAAAATAATGGTAAAATAGCTTATAAAATTTAAATTATATGAATAAATTATTCTCTATTACAAATAATATACGCAATTGTTGATATAATATTTTAAATGGAAACGTCAAATTTAATTAAATAACTGAATACGTTTTATGATTAACATTACTTCTCAATATGTTTCTTGGAACTTAACGTGATAATGTCTTTTCTTCGTTTTACTATAAGTTTTTCTTTAGTGCCCGTTAGGCATAGAAGTTTTAGATTTAAACAATTTGGAACTGTAATCCTATAACTTAAAAAATCAATACTTAATGTTCTAAAAAAAAAAATCAATGTATTTTTATATAAAGACTTTTTTTTTGTAAAAGACAAGTACAGAAAATTATCAATTTATTTGAATATTTTATTGCAATAACACTTTTAATAAACTTTGACACAGTTTTTGGAGGAAAAAAAACCTTTAAAACTACACAGAACAAAAACAACACAAAAATTTAATTTGTTTACACCTATTACCAAATTCATGTTTTATGTAGAAATATTCAAAATTAGTTTTTTGAATAAAAGTTTATGTTTATAATAACTAATTTATTTTAAAAAATTTAATACTTAGCGACTTAACAACGTTTGTATGTAAGTGAAGTAAACTAAAGGTCTTCAATGTTCTTTATTAATTGTTATTAATTAAATAAATTAAGCCAATACAACATTAAAATTAACATGACATAAGAACAGTATTAAAATTATAAACTTCTTGACGATATAATGTTTTTGTTGCTAACAATTTAGTATTTTTAGATATAAACATTGAGAAGATAGCAAATTTAATAAAAAAAAAAAGTAAGATGAAATCTAGAAATGTTTCCCATTGTAAAACAAACACGGACGTAAAACGTATTTCAATTAAATGAATCTAGAATTTAAATTTAGATAAGCTTATTTTTCTATTTTGTCATTGTATATGAATTCAAGTTAATTAAATTCAATCCTAAAAAACATTAAGCTACAAGGCTTAAGATTTATTCAAGTTGCAACATTATTAAACACTAAATAAAAAAACCTTCATTATTGCAAAAATATTTTCTTAAAAAATCGTTACCAAAAACTTATTTTTCAATAGTAAAGAAAAGTTCACCATATATCTATTTTGATAATCCATTAATTATTGGATATAATTATTAAATATAATCAAAAATTATCTCACCAGTCTCTGTGATGAATGAAAAATAACGTAAGTACGGAATAACTCATTAATTGAAAGCAAATAAGTATTTTTTTTTTTGTAAAATACATACTAATCAAACTTTAAATATCTTACTCGTAGAAAAAAATATTAACTGATATTTTTTAATTGTGACATAAAAATAAACATTTTTTAATATTTATATTTCTTAGATATATTGTATTCCTGGATACTATGTATATCAAATATGAGTAGATTGAACTTTTTACTCCGTTATTTTTATGACAAGTTTAAATCGAAGACAAATTTTTAAAGTTATAGAACACTCAGATTAAACTTTCAATTTAAGCTGTAACTAGCTTTTAATCGTCACTATTATATCGTTTTCTCATTCAGCGCTATTTTATTGAGCACAAAGCAAACACGTTGGCTTAAATTTATTAATTCATTTCCTGTGTATTTCTATAGTTAAAATCAATAATGTTTGTTGTGTTGCATGTATAAATATTTTAAATCGTAAATGATACGTGGGCTTATGAAAATACGTTGTTATTCATTGGCATACAATGTAATTGATCCTCCAGTTAAACACATAGGTGATCCCAATTTGTACAGAAATATAATTTTGTCTAATAAATTGCGAATTTGTGTCGTGTCAAACGTTCAAGACGAAAGTTTATCTGCTTGTGCACTATGTGTGCGTGCGGGTAGCTTTTTTGAACCGGATCACATACCCGGACTATCTCATTACGTTGAACATCTATTATTTTTGGGATCAGCAAAATATCCGAAACCCTACACCCTACTGAATGAATTGGAAAAAGCTGGTGGCTGTTGTAATGCAACTACAGATGCCGAGCACGTCACCTATTTTATGCAAACGCCAACGCATCTAATGAGTGAATTTATCGACCAATTCGGTCACATGTTCATAGATCCATTAATTACTCCTCAAGCGTTAAAATTAGAAAGAAAGGTATAACCGATGAATAACGAATAAATTAGGCTTTTAAACTGTATAATCAATAACTATTACCTCCATTAGTACATCATTTATAATACGTGATGGATTGTTATTTAATTGAATGGTTATTTTTATTGATACGCGTCTCAAAAATAGAATTTAAAAACAAATTACTTAATTTATGATCGCTTTGAATAATATTCTATTAAAATGCATGTTTCATTGATTGACAATGATTTATTGTTTTACATATTGAAATATCTCCATTTCCGTCGTTAATTTATAAAATGATTTCCATAGAGACAGAGTCTGAGTTTATTTCCAATCATTTTAAAATATTAATATTGATAAAATCAAACAATAAAACACTGTTCAAGTATATCGTAAATTTGTGAACTTGTTAAAATGTTATTTATAACAGTATATTTGCATATTACTACACACAAGTAATAAAAACAAAGACACGTTTAAAGTAAATTTTAAATTATTTAAAACAACAGTACTAAAAATATTTTACCCATTATGATGAAATAATTAAATATTTGATAAAATGGATAGTGTCCAAAATCTCACGACAAAATACTTCATAGTTCATTATAAAAGTAACAATTGTCTTAAGACTTAACTTTTCATATTGTTAAAATATATTCATTGTGTTCTTTAAGCGAGTGGACAAAGAGTTTGGGCAAGTTATTTCATCGGATCAACTAAGAGCTGAACAAATACTGGCAACGGCAGCTTCTGTAGGTCATCCTGCTGGTAAATTCACTTGGGGAAATAGAAGTTCTATCAAACTTGGACCTATTCTGAAATCTGCTGTACTCGAATTTATCAGCAAATTTTACACCGCCAATAGGATGACGTTGGTCATTCATTCGCCGAAAAAAATCGAAAATAATATTATTGAAATAGCTATCAAAGTATTTTCTAATATAAAATCGAAATCTAAAGACAATGACATTTCCTTTGATCGAGCAGCATTTAACTCTAACAAGTAACCTTTACTATGACATAAAAATAATTCGTTTGACATATTATACTTTCTACGAATGTATTACGTTAAAAGTCCAATTCTAAGGACATTCCTAAATTACTGTAACTGTTTTAAACATGAAACGTTCTGCATCTTTATCTAATTTATGTTAAAACTAATTGAATTTAATACACTGATTTTGTGATATAGATTTCAAAAGTTGTTTACGGTTAAACCTGAAGCAAAGAATCTAAATGAAGTTCAGTTGAATTGGCTTGTACCTTCAGTTTATCCTCACTATAAAAGCCGTCCACTAGAGTTTGTCGGCAGGTTATTTAATTCACAATACTCGGACAAGTTAAACCGTGATTTCAAAAACCGCGGGTGGTCAGTTGTGAGCACTTGGGCAGGGGTAGCTCAACAGCAATTTCGTTCGAATTCTTGGTACGCAATTTTTACGATACACTTAACGTTGTTGGATATAACAGCCGATAACAAGTTGTCAGACATTGTTCGTCGAGTATTTGATTACATGGCGACAATACGCGTGACAAAAGCACAATCATCTTGTGTTTACCGTCGCATTATGTCAGACGTATTTCCGTATCCCATGCATTTGGTACCTCCACTAAACGCTGCCATTCGCATTGCAAAACATATGCAATACTACCAGCCTCGTGATTATCTCGAGCATTTCGGGGAATTTGTTCCTGATTTTAAGTCAATACAAAATTATATGGATGAACTATTAGCAGACAAAGTTTCTATCACAATACAATCGCACCGTTTTGCAAAACACTCCAATTTAAACATGATAGAGCCTTGGTTTAATACCGAGTATAGAATTGACGAAATACCACAATCGTGGTTGAGTCTATGGCGGAAAGCCGCTTTTGACGATTCATTTTTAAAAAAATAATTTATTTTTAAAAATTTCGTATAAAGAACTTAATGCCTTTTTTTGTAATATAACTTCTACGAGTACACTAGAATAAAACAACACCGCGTGAATTTATGTTCATTTTCTAAATAATTCATGCAAATTCTATTGGCATACCTAACCCGATTTATTTATCACTGACATCTAGGTCGGAGTAATCACAGTAGGTTATTACCCGCCTAGAATAAAAATCAAGCTGAAAAACTAAATCACTTAAGCCTTTTAAAGCTCACAATGACAGCGTTAGTTCTTAATGGATCGTTAAGCCGAGAAAGAATAATGTTAATTAAGTTATTATAGTACCAACAAAATTATATTTCGGGAATTTTTGAAATTGAAATTAAATTTCTTTCTGCTCGTGCGATTTTCCAATTAAACTATATACCACAGTAAATAGCAGAAAAAAATCATTTTTTTGCAATTTTTAATTTCTCACGCTATAAATAAATAATTAGAGTTTTATAAATGTGCATTAAAATAAATTCATAAGCATTAAAAACACGGATAAAATAAAATGTAATATTTTTCAATAAATAAATGATTTCTATTAAATTTAATTTGCATTAGTGAAAAAATTATCAATAACTGAATTGTATTACATTGAATGATAACATTTTGGTAATTTTGTAAATTTAACTCACAGTTAAGAATATAAAAAATTAATTAATTTATATAATAGTAATAATTATGTAGTTTTTATTATTCGTCTGAAGTTAAGGTGTAAAAAAGTCAAATCTAGGGCAAGGAGACGGTCAAATTCTCCTTGGCCATGAATTGTGAAGGTGTGTTTTATATAATTTATGTTACTAGGGAAATATTTTGGTAAACTAAATGGAATAATTTATAAATTTTAACAGTTTTTAAAATGTTCCTTTATTGTACTGTTTTTTAAACAAAACTTAATCTGATAATATGCAGGAAAATGCCATGCAAATTCTACTTGCAGCTATACTTGACGAATAAAAGTGTGACTAATTTTTAGTGACAGTGATTTGTATGTTTTGGAAAAATAAATTTTATCTATCCACTGTCAATGTTAAATATTTTTAATGATACCGAGAAACTCTAAACATTTTTATTCGAATCACCTTAATTGGGTATCGTTGTTCAATGTCAATCTTCCATTCGGTTGCTGTTTACATAAATTTATTGTAATGAAAAACACCTTTAAAGGATATTTAATTTAATTAACTTGATTATATCTGGGATAGTACGATACAATTTCAAACCTGCTAGCTTCACGATTCCATACAATCTGTATTCTGAAATATCACAATAATTTGTCATGACATATTTTTGACTTAGTAGTGTAAAAATCATTAATTTTTAATTTGATGATAATAATATTAATATAACAAGTTTTCATTAATGTAACAGTAATACACTCAAGTTGATAATGAATAAATTGAAATTTCACGCTTAATTTCGACAATTAAATTATTCAAAAATGAATAAATAAATCATTTGAATACACTTTTAATGCATTATATTTTCAATAGAAGATTATTTAAGGTTNACAATTAAATTATTCAAAAATGAATAAATAAATCATTTGAATACACTTTTAATGCATTATATTTTCAATAGAAGATTATTTAAACGAAATAAAGTTAAGTAAAAATAAAATTAAGTAAACGAAATACGGGAATAAAATATTTCATTTATGTTTATGTTTGTAAATTCGACCTATTATTATAAGAAAATCTTAGATTTTTTTTTTGTAATATTATTCATAATATTTCATAAGAATTAAATCCATATAAATATGATAATAATAAATGGTACATGTATTATTAATATGTATATTAATAATCATATCAATAATATTAACTTTCTGTACAGTCTCAAACTTTATTAATCCATTATTAAATCATAAAGAATTTTTTCATTTCTTTTTTGACGATCTAAATTAAGTAACATTATGTGTAAGAAAAGCCTAAGAATTTTAAATCACTTAATATGAGTAATAACACTGAATGAAAAATGTTGGAGTGTTTAGGACAGATGTCAAGTGTCAACAGCTGCTAGTGTATAAGTTTGACGTCTACACAAACAACTCAGTAGACATCTTATTAACACCGTAAGCTAAATACAACAGTTAAAATTAAAAGCACGTTCAAATTAGTTTTGGAAAATAATTTAAACTTAACATGTGAAAATTTCATAAAGTAAGCGTTTTGCTACTAATCAATCACTAAATGATTATTTTAAAAGTTTTCAAAAAGTTGTATACAAACTATTCATTCACTAAGTATTTCAAATTTTAAGTTTTTTATTGAGAAATTACAATAATTTTTTTTGAAATTGAACAAAACCATTGAGTTTCTTAATTTTGGACTATCAAAAATTCTTTAAACTGATAGAGTTAACTTAAGGAAATATTCGTGAGGTATACGTAGTATTTCAATCAGCCCATTTGTATTGTTGATGTTTTTGTGAATCCAAAAGCTCGAGACGGCTCACATCAAACATAATAATAGTCCCTATTTTGCTTTGTGATAAAATTGAAGTGGTTTATAAGAAAAAAAGTCCTATTTCAAGATTAGTGTCCTCTCTCAGGTATTAAACAAAACAAATTTATAACATCAATGATTAATGCGTGAGTATTTTTCATGCCAGTGGCAACAGTTGTTCCATTGGGAGATTCAAACAAATAGTATTTTGCCTTTCTATAAGTTATATGTAATAACTTTTTTGAACGTGTCCTACTTTCTAAAGAAATAATTCTTATCTTATTTCTTGTATTACATGTCAAGTAAATGTCAAGATTATCTTTCAATTGAATAAAGCACTCTACTTTTCTACTTTCTTTTTGTAAATATAATTCTATAAATAATTCACAAACAATTGAATATTCATTGATGTCTCGGCTATAATTTTTTTTAAACATATTCATTTAACAATAAGTTATGCATCTCAGGTTGTTCTAGTATAATTCTAAAATTATATAACGTGTGAATAAGTTTTATGAACATTATTTCGAGTGGATAGATTTTAAAACTAATATAAATATAATCAGTGAATACTTAAAATCTAGTACATTAGTTTTTTTTCTTTAAAAATATAGGACTATACGAGGGGTATTATTACTATTATTATGAGGGGTACTAGAAACAAATTATTCTTAATAATAAACCTAAATTATTTTAAATTAAACTTTCAATATATATCTAAAACTAATAAATCAATTTAAAGTAATACAAAAAAAAATACTAATATTTATAAAAAGCTAAAATTCAAAGAAATGGACAGAGTACAGTTTACTATTTTTTTTTATATCTATTATTAGCATTTTGATAAGAATAGAATTTGAGAGAAAAATTAATTTAGAGTTTATTTTCGAAACGCCCTTTTTCCATTTTTAATAATTAGTTATTTAAAAAATTTTTTTCCATTTTTAGTCAAAAATTATAAAACTTAACGTCGCCTGAAAAGGGCAATTTTAATAAACAAAATGATCATACATTTATGGAACCTACAATTTTTTTTATTGAAGTTTTTTTGTTGTATTATAAATATAACAAATTCATTGATCGCTTAAAAGAAGTGTAATTAATTTTTTTAAATATTTATAAACAATTTTTTTTTTAATTGCGTTAAAACTTTATCATTTGGAGGTAACGATAATAAGTAGATAACAGTGTTAATTTATCAATTACATAGTGTAACCTTTATTATATGAAAAAACCTCAAATTTTTTCCATTTAAATATTACAACTAGACATGAGTGGGTTTTTTTTTATCATAAAACACTTACGATATCGAAAGTTTATATAACCATTAACTGAAACGTGACAAAACATAAAATCAAACTTTTAGAAAACTTAATAATACCGACAAACGGGTCAATTTGAGACAGTTAAATGTTTTACAGATTTTATTACTTAATTTTTGTCAACAAATATTTTTTTGTGTTCCTTAACATTAAACATTTTGCTAGTGCTGTAGATTATTTGGCTGAAATGATAATAAATATTTAACTGTCCCGAGTTGGTCCATTTGACGATACCTCAGAATTCATAATAAAAATATCATAGTATTGCTCTATCAACTCTGTCTCATAGTAAATATTTCATTTTTTTTACATTTTTATATTATATTAAAAATCAAGTATACACTATATTCTTTTTTATTGTCACTGAGTAAGCAAAAATCAACTGCTCTAGGCAGAGTATAATAAAACTTCGATCAAACGAAAAAGACTATGTTACGCAATCTCATGTAATAAAAATGCGCGTCATGTTGTTACAAATTCTCTTATCCTTTGAATCAAATGTTGACAAATATAATCTATAGACCAAAAATCGTAAATTAAACACTTCACATACAGAAACGACCACGCAAAGAGAATATTAATAAGGTAACATTATACTAAAAGTGAAAACGGTTTATGTGGGTTAACAGGTAAATACGTTCAAAGGGCATCTCTTTAGACTAATACAGACTTAAGCTCTTGTAAACATTTATAATTGTTAACATTTATCACGTTTATATCAAATTTAAACCTATCGTACAAAATGTATGCAAATATCGACATTGTTTACATGAGTGTTGAAGAAATGCCTACACGTAGTGCCGCGTAAAGACAACGTATTATTCTTGTGTAACAATTGAATCAAAAATCATAAATTAATCAATATACTTTTCTTCGTTCATATTTAAAGTATTTGAATTTTTAAAGGTCTACCGCTATAAAAAATACAAAACAATGATATTAAATTTTTCATTTGTATTTTCATACGCAGAAAATGTATTTATTCATTTTATATTTACAGGTATTGTAGTAATCAATAATAAATTTAAATTTCTTTCTTCAACAACTAAATAATCAATTAGTTTACCCTTATAACATGAATCACAAATTGATATTAAATGCATAATAAATTTTAGTTAAAACCCAGTCTGGTGCAACAGAATGTTAACTCAGTTAGACGATGCTGCACTAACGTAGATCTCTAGTATTACAAAAACACAAAAGAGTTTTTCAATAAAAAAATTGTTGTATATTGATAAGTCGAAACAATATTTTCTTAAATTCACTTTAGCTTTACGTTCTATTAGCTTTACACAGTTCAAATTATAAATAAACCGTTTATTTGAGAAACAATGTATTATGTTCTTTATGAACTAACACATAATTTTTAAACAAATGAAAAAATCTATAAGTTTAAAAGTTTTTTTTTTAAATTCCATATGATTACTTGTAGAAGATCGAACATAGTGTACATTTCATGCTATGTGATTAATGATAATATCTCAAAACCGAAATATCTTAAATGAATTTTGAAAACGTAGTCTGAAAGTGTGGTGTGATAACTAAGTGTAAGTGTAGTTAGCATCTGCGTGTAATAGTAATAAAACAATTGTCACTTTTTGAAATTTTAACATTTTGGCAATAGTGTTAATAAAAAAAAACATAATTATTATTTATAAAATAATTGTAAAATAAATAAAATAATAATATATTTCGAGCATATAAAAGTAATTAAAAGTTGTTGGCTTTATATATTTAATGATGTTTGTGTAATTTATCATCTGATATTATAGTTATAAATATTTAATTAAAAATCTATTCGGGTAAAATAAAACGTTATAACTTGCCAGGTTAATATTGTTATTTAAGTTAAAACCGCTACGGAGGTTTCTATTAATGAGATTGATAAAATAATTCTTAGTTTAAGACATATTTTTAATTTAATATTTGTTAATTTACATAGTTTATAATAAACAATGATAAAACTATTTTAATTGAGAATGAGAAATTTAGTAACCTATGCATGTAAAAGACAAAAATAATGTTTAGTGGTTTTAAATATTCAAATAGGATAAATTTTGTTGAAATCAATTAAAATATTTGCTTTAGTGGTGTACTCAGACAAAGTGAATAATTCGTTTTTTTTTTTTTAATTTTCTTTGATTAATTACCATTTTTTACTAGTTTCAGATTTTGGACTTGGGTATTTTCTCCAATATGTGGTTCAAATAATAACGCAACTGGGTCACCGTGTTCTTAATTTTACTGATTAGATAAACATAGGACATGGCAAAATATTTAATTAATTTTGTTTCGATTGCACGCGTTTAAAACATAATTTAATCTCAATCTTGCTGACACCGTATATGTATTCACTTGTACACAACATCAAAATATTGCTATCGAATTTATAAATGGCTAATAAATTGTGATTTTTTGGCAACTCCGATATTCATTTAATTACGCAACACCTTCTAGCTAAAATGGAAACGTCCATTATGCAAATTATTTTTCAAAAGCACATTACTGTCAATGCGTTGCACATTACGATAACTTTTAATACTACACGTCTAAGTCGTTCAATACGTTTTCAAACGTGTCGGATAAAATTAATGGTATGTGATTACTTTAGCAGTATTAACATTTAATTTCGAACAGTGTCGACGGTATTATTCCAGAAAATTAATTATCACTGAAATTTGCTCGCGTCGCACATGTACTGTAACTACCCAGCCAACTTGCAACGTTTCCATAAACTCAACTTTAATAACGCGCCAACATTTTAATATGCACACAAATACAACGCCATTATACAAACGCACAGTTCACTAAAGAGTAGCCAACGACCACATACTTACGGTGCAATCGAAAAGCAACTTGGTCAATGACGAGGCACACACATGTTGAGTAACCGAATCCTATTTCGCCTACATTTTTGTATCGATAATAAATGAACCTTCGTAGAAATAAGAAAACACGAAAGCCGTCACACGCACACAACACACACACGGGTAAGCGTTCGATGAATTGATACGCGAAAATTGTTTACTATTATTTTCTAACTGGACGAGACCACTCGGCGGAATTCATAACGTACCGGATCTTCTGTTCGACGCTCTTCTTTCCTATCTCGTCCTGTCTGTTTACTTTGGTCGTCGCTCGTACCCGGACAGGACAACGTGTACAATGGCGATGGGAGACGGATATTTGTTGTGCGATGACTGATGCCGTGTCCGAAGTAAAACGACGGCGTAGACTAACAGCGAACTCTGTTCAGCGCGACACGCGGCGGCGGTAACGGCCTAAGGGCTGGCAACAACAACGTCGTCGGAAAGGGAATACCGGCCGGAGAAACAAGGGGTCGTTTCCGCGTTACCGGCGTAATCAGAGTGAATGAACAAAATTTATAAAGCAATCACCATCAAAGAACGCGTTGCCCGAATACGTATAAATTACTATTACCGAGTTAAGTCACTTTTGATGGGCCCCGGTCTTAACGGTGAGATCGTTTTTAGAATTTTTTATGGCTTCAAGACCATAATCAGTTGGCCCGATAAGTAATTGTTAAATTTATTATTAAAATGTTAATCTGCTCGTTTATTCAAAGCCAACTCGGCTGGAAAGAACCTCATCTGTTGGTATTATATTGCGAGAGAAAAAAAAAACACACGCGCACACATACTAGTCATGTAATTAGAAATTGTACTCGTATTGCAATAAAGATGCGTTTCAAATTGTAATCGTGTTAAAAATGTATAGCGCGTTTTTTAAACGTTACACATGACGCGACGCTCTTTTATTAGGGGACATTGAAAAGCTGCAAAAAATATATATCAAGACTTAAAAAAATATTTCCTTCTTACTCGAGATTTAAGTTGAAGACGAACATTTCTAAAAAAAATTCATAACATCAAATCAAAAAGAACAAGTGGCTATTTTGAACGATATTTTGTAAAACTTCCTCGGCAATTTTTCAAGTGCAATAATTTGTTGTTTAAAAGCTAAGTAAAAAATATTATACCAAAAAGTGTACTATTTCTAGTGTGAACTATTTGATGACGTTCAACCATTTGCACAACAGCATCTGCAAGGCTCTTGAAATCACATTTGATAAGTACTTTGCCGAACCCATTCGTTGTAAAAGTTAACCGCGTTTTCTTTCTAGACATTGCTGTACATAACGACTACAAAACGTGTCGTTATCCATTAAAATAAATTGGGATGAACAATTTCATCTCTGTTTCCATTAAGGTGGATTTTTTATTTTCTACAAACAATAATCATAATAATATATGGAGCCTATTGAAACTTGTATTTATTTTTTTTTTATGTAAATGCAAATCTCGTTTCACGAGATGATACACAATGAAAAAATATCTACTTTTTGAAAACATATGAGCTTTTTATAATGAAATTTCTAAGCTACTTTCAACGTTGATCATATCAAGAAAATGGTCTAAAAATTTGAAGAATCACAGTAGAAACATATTTTGCTTATTCTATTAACTTTGTTTACATTACCTGTATTTCAAACTAAATAAAAAATTAAATATTAAAAAAGTAAATAAGTTCATATGATAATCTTCACTAGTAAAAAAAAAGTCTCAAAAATAATCATAAAAAGATTCCTTTAAAGAAATCAGTTACCCTAAAATATTCAATATAATTTAGCCGTACTACAATTACAGTTTGTAATTACTTTACAAAATAAAATTCAGTGATCAGTTAAATTATTTCAGGGTATCTAATTGATTAAGTAATGAAGGTAATTATTACTTTTCTCATAACTAATTGTGCGTGCCAGATTTTGATATTTTGTCAGAATAAAAAATATTACTATATATTTTTCACAAATGCTTTCGTAAATATTTTAAAATACAACTAATACATCCTTGTAATTAATATCTTGTACAACTCCATGCTTCTTTTTATTAAGGCAATGTAAATTATTCAAAATTATAATTTTAATATTAATAATTATAAATAAAACAATATTGAAACACAAATTATCTCATTTTATCTTAAATATTCAATACAATTAAAAGCAAGAATTGTACCAGCCCGTTAAATCTCTAATATGATCGATATCAAAATAAATTTGTTATTTATACTAAGTATTCAAAAGGCAAGGGAAAATATTTCCATTATTCATTATATTTGTTTCCTTACTTATTGAATATCATATCTTTATCATGCTTTTGTAATAAAATTGGACCGATGCAAATGTTTTCATAACATTGCCAATCGACCGTTTATTTTTAGTTCAAACAATTATCTTTGTATACAAATTTTACATAAGTAATTAACTAACAGTTAAAAAATAATAATTAACAGCAAGTTATTAAATTAATCCATTTTGATGCGTTTTCTCTTCGGCTTTCTTTAGCACTTAAAATTCATTATATTATATTTATAAAAGCATCTATATGTGTCGAAGTTTTAGTTGTTATCACCAATCTTCACGAGTTCGAACCATCAAAAAGTATCTCTANAATTCATTATATCATATTTATAAAAGCATTTATATGTGTCGAAGTTTTAGTTGTTATCACCAATCTTCATGAGTTCGAACCATCAAAAAGTATCTCTAGTTCAGGCTAACATAAAATATCAAAATATATATGAATTGGTTTTCTTAGAGTTTTAAAAGTATCACTTATTTACTCTCTCTAGTAAAAACAATCGAATAAAATATATTCAATTGTGTGTCTTGAATTATAACATTTTACACAATGAGGATTAAGTGTTCTTTTTTCAACCATTTGTGCCTTTGAGAGAAAAATACGAAAATTAATTCAAGAAATGTAACATCATTTTTGTACTTAAATGTACAACTAATAAGCAGTAATTATATTCCATTATTTTCATTTAATGATGACTGATGGTACAGAAAAAATATTTATACTAACGAATAAAAAAATTATTATTTTAACTATATATATATAATAAATATAAACCGATATATTAAATAAAAAACGGACAATTTTGTAGTTACGACCCTTCTTATTTTCCTAATATACGAAAATTACTGCGAAATTTTTAGGTTTTAAATTATTAAACATTAAATAGATACTAACAAAAATAACTTGTGTAGTATTGAAATGTAGTTTAAATAAAACATACCTAACAAAATTTAATTATTTATTAGTTTTTAAGTACATAAAAGATTGATCAAAGTTTATTTAAAAATGATTATATTTTTAACAGTTTATAGTATTCTAATAAGATTGAATGTTTAACTTTTTATCAATCAATGTTTACATATTAATGTTATTTTAGGCGAATGAATTATGTATAAACTTATTCAGCTGTTCTCCTTTACATTATTTTTCAAAAGTCATGTTCGATATATAAAATAAAATAATAAAAAGCTTTAAAGTTTTAAATTTTAGATAAATACCTTTTTTGAAATCTGCATGTTTTATTTTATATGTTATTGAACTAAAATAATAAACTCAATAATACACAATCATAAATGGATTCACAAAACAGTTCTAAATTATTGAATAAATAAACTGGTTTTTAAAGACATAATTATAACCTTAACTGACTGAAAAGAAATGTATTCAATTTTAACTTGTAATATTATACCATTGAAAGGAAAATTAAATCCCAAGAGTGTTGGAGGCGGCAGTTTAAAACCTATGATAATATACGTTATAGTTTGTAAATGACATCGGGGATCACAGTATTACTTCATGAATGTGCTATGTTTAATAATGTGGTATATGCAAAAGTATTTATGACATACTGCTATATTGTTTGTTGTAATATTTATGTAAAATTACAGAATTTTATCTTCATTTTCAATTATAAAATAAGCTAAGTTAATATTTTAAAATTCTTTAGAAATATTAGATCCCGATTTTAACTTTAGAGGTTATGTGTTTAATAAAAATTAGGCATTGATATTCACATTTTAATATTACAAAGACAAAAAAAAAAATCAAATTAGAACATTGACACATTTTCCCTGAGTCAAGAAGCTTTTTTTGAATATAAATTGAAACTTGATCATTGTTGATATTACATTGTTATCTTTAACTGAAAAAGCAGTTTCCATTTTGAAATAAAATACAAAAGACATGATTCAAAACTGATTATGTTAAAGGAGCTTAAAGATCATAAAACCAAATTCTTAATTAGATAATTTTTCAATTTATTACTTTATTACTTTTAAGTATCAGTCTAAACTGATTACACGGTCTCATTTATTATTGAGTTTAATCCTTTAAACCTTAAATAGATAAGTTAATATAAATAAGATATCTTAATAATTATTTTTAAGTTAGGGTGAAATATATTACTCTTTAAACATCTCAAGTAGATGAAAGTTTTTATGATTATAATATAACGGCAAAAAATATTAACCTGACTTGACCATTTTTCTGTAATAAATTTTATTAATCAACTTTTCAAAAAGTTTTTTTAATTAATTTAAAATTAAATAATACATTATATAATAGTGCCTTTCCGCTTAAAATTAGTAAGACAAATTTCAAGATATACACAAAAAAAGATATCCACCTGACAAGTATACTATATTGTAATAAAAATGCAATTAATTAATTAACTTAAGAAATAATTTATCTAAGTATCTGATGGTACTCATAAATCAGGGTATCATTTTTGCACCGATTATGAAAATATTGCGTTTGAAATACGCGTATACACTGATTTCTCAAGTGTATTTTGTGGTGTTGACTTAATTTTATTTATTTTTTAATTCATTGTCCACAAATAATCAATTATAAATGTTTTGGATTTAACTTGATTAATTATTTTTTAATAATTAACTTAGTTGAAATTTTTTCTTTTCATATTGGCGTCTATTAATAAACTGGCACAAAATAAGTTTTACAAAGTTTATTTATACAAACAGACTTAATTAATAAATTTCTCAGAAAGTCTTAACGTAATCGTAATAATTTATTTTTACAAACTTTTTTCTACAACAAACAAGAGAGACAATGTATTATTGTTGAATTTACAATTAAATAAAAACTAAGTTTACGAGCTGAACTAATGTAATTTACTAGATCGTTGATTGAATTAGTTAAATTAGTGATAATTTCAAAATTTGTCCATTTTCAATCTAAGCAGTAACATTGGTACTTATAGATTTACATAATTTTACATCAGACAAAATAATAGTAATAATATCGCGATTATAGAATATTTTTTTTAATATAATATCTTATATATATTATGTTGGTTAATTATATTTACGAGTCAATATTAAAATTTTAACATTGTAAATATTTCTATAAAACTTGCAAATGTTCAATTTTACAAAAATAGGTTCATTTTGATTACGTAAAATATAAAATGGAAATTTAAAAAGTATATTTCATTTTTAGATTTTATCAATGTCTATTATTGAATAATTTCTATTATTATCAAAATAAATAGAAAAAAAAAATCATTCCACACTATAAAACTACGCTTTCTATAAAGCGCAAGACTTTCAATTTGAATGAATTCAAAATATAAAAACTTAAAAAAATTAAATGCCATCATACTGAAGTTAAACGTACTATCACATAAGGTAAAAAAAATCATCATAACTTTTAAATAGTCCCTCCGTTGTAAATATTAAGAGAGCCTCAAAAGAGAGCACGCAATTTTTAGCAATTGTCATGTTTGTATTTATTGGTAACTTAAATAAAAGCCGTAAAAATATTCAGGTGTGACATTTTTATACGCATAGTTTAAAACAGAGTTTATTATGATTATTCTTTACATTACATTTATATATATTATAAGTATTTCGTGTGTAAATTGACCACCGTCACATAGATCATTTATCAAAGTTGTAAGGGTATGCTTTTGTTCCGTGTAGTATTATCGTGAGATTTTGAACGGATCCGAGTAAATCTCTATTTTTATTGGAATTCTAAAAATAGAATAAAACTAATCATAATCTATTTGGTATTTTATATAAAACATTAATAGTACTGAAGATATGTTTGATTCACGTAAAAATAATTCATTGACTAGTCGTAAATAAAAACTACAATATATTGTATTGTTTTTAGCGACCAAATTTCTTACTCTTTATTATGTTTACATTTAACATAGTTTGCTAGTTTGTACAGATTTGTTTATTGTTATGAAATCGAAACTTATAATTATTATAGCAGACTTAATACTGTTATTACCTGATCCTTAATTGAAACTATCCAGAAGCCTGATGGATTTTCTCCCCAAAATTGAAGAGATTTTATTTTCCATTCGTTAAAACCACAATCCGATGTATCCAATGGTCGCGATTCCATCATTTTACATTGCGTACCTACACAAGGTGTAAAATTTCATCATAATTTGATAATGAGTTGAAAAAACGTCATTTACCATTCGGCGATATTAGATCCACTTCAATCATACCTCGAATTGGATAATTAATGCTAATACTCAATTGAACATGTTCCAAATATTTAATACATCCATTACACCCGTTAGACATTACAGAAGAAGTAAAACTCACGTTCCGTCCAATATTGTTTTCGTTGTTACTGAAATCGGTAATTTCGTTAATTAAATAAGGATTTATATAGATTAAACATTTAAGCTCTGCAAATACATTTTAAACATTAACATATAATGAAATAAAGCTTTACGTAATATTAGTAATAGTAGTAAAACAATGTCAGTGATTAATGAATTCAAATATTTCATTTACGATTTCACTACCAATATGTAGTGTTTTAAATTTTTTTAATAATACAAGAGTACGTTATTTGTAAAGATACTGCATATAATATGAGGAAATTATTCACGATTTTTTTTTATTAAATTGTCGATGAAAAAAATGTAATATTACTATAAATACCATTGTAACACATAATATTTCATTCTGCATTATATTACAAATAATTTTTACGAAAACAAAAATAAAGAGATGTTTTTTAAATATATTTAATGATACAAAAAAAGCAAACAGATCAAAGGAAAATAAAGTACCATATTATTTGTAAAATCTACCAAAAGAAAACGTATGCCTTGGAAAATATTTAAGTAAAACTTTCAAATAATATAGAATATTAGAAAAAAAGTCGTTTAATATACCTTCTTACATGAATATAACAGTTATAAAATAAAAGTAAGATATAAAATATCATATAAGGTTAAACGTTTTAATATTACAGTAATCAACTAAAAAGGTAAAAGTATATTGGATCCAGTTCTTTTATTAAAACTTTGAGATCAAATTGAGTGTTTTTTATTTTTTAAGTTAAATTAGAAAACTATTTATAAGTTTCATTGCCTCTTTTACTATTTAATTTATTGTTAACATTAATTTCATAATACAATAAGTCAGAAGTAAAAATGACCTAATTAAAAAAAAACATTAATCCATCACTATAAAACAATCGATTTTTAATGGAATTTTGTTTGTTTATGTTATAAATAAGCAAAAGAAATAAAGATTTTTTGAAATACTATAAACATCATTTAGCGTTTTGTTAATATTACGAAAAGTTAATTTGTATATAGTTTATTATAAATATTTAAAAAGCCACTGAACTTAATTGAATTCTTCTTATAAACTTAAAATAATTTAACTGCTAATTTATATTTCGATCTCGTAAAATACCAACTCGAGAATTTTCACAGATTGGCTATCAGTACAGCTTTATATTTCTATTAGCCTTCAAGTATTTAAACCACACAAAAGATTAAGTATTTTAAAACTAACATAATCAATTATAGCACATTCATTCAAAACGCTTTCCAAAAGTATACAGAAAACTTTTCGTTTATGTTTACCTTATTAAAAAGTCAACTGCGCACGTAGTTTTTTCAGGAACATTTATCCAACCCATTGCTTCTTTTACCAGCTTATACGCATTTATCAATCCAAATCCAAATTGAGGATTAAAATTATATCCCGCAGCATTTTTCAACCAACCGTCATTATGCAATAATGGCGTGACTTCGCAGTTTCTTACTATCAAATGTTGAACATCCCTCCAAGTCAAATTACCACTGTACTGACAAACAAAAATATAATATTAATGATTGTTCTTTAACTTAAAATAACTTATTTACTAGGTGTAACTGTCTTTTTTTATAATGATCAAACAGTATAACATTAATAAAGTTAGTTTACTTGGCTTCTAAGGCCAAAGCAACAATGCCAGAAACCAGAGGCGCTGCAGCAGAAGTTCCAGTATGAGTAGTTGTACATGTGTTGTTCAAATCCGATGTTATCTATATAAAATATTCTGATAAGTTAATTGTAATATATTTTACTAACATATGATGATGAATGTTTAAATTCAATCAATACATTATTGTAAACTCATTCCAAGATTGAATTAAATATACATTAAAACTTCATCACAATTTATAAGTACTAACTGTATAATAAATACTTATAAAACAAGTTTTATAATAATTAAATAAAATATTCATGTAAGTAAATATATATCACTGGGTTATTGTAATAAAAGTTGTAAACAAAGGCAACCTTCGTGTAATAAACCAAAAAAAAAATAAAAAGAAGAGTTAAATAATATACGATAGGGTGTAAAGGGTCAAATGTAATAAAATAATATAAGTAAAAATGGGGTTTTAGGAAGATGAGTAAACGATGGCTGAATATATAAGGACAATAGTCAAATAAATAAAATAAACATAAACGTTTATGGCACAATAGTAGATTGATCTCGGGGGTGTACAATATTGAATAAATTATGTTAAATATCTCTACAAAATTCTATAATTTATCTTAACAGTTTATTACGCAATAGATTTATTTGTGGTTTGAAAGCAAAAATAAAACTTATACTTAACTTAAATCCTATGTCATTAAACGATATTTTAAACAATTTAATGTTGATTCTGAATTTCACACGTCGTATACTACGCGCTGTATTGTAAATAGACTATTTAGAAAAACGATTTAATCTTAAATAATATGAGATCGTACACAATGTCTATGACTTGTTTTAATATGTAAACGATTCTAAATACTCTATATTTGTATTATGAATATAAATTTAATAATGTACCCTTATTTCATTTTTATTGAATAAGTATCTTTTCGAGAAAGTACATTCTATTGAGAGATCGACACCAATATTTATTTAAAACTTCTTCTGACCAAAACAAAATTCAAAAATATTTATATTTATGTAAAAATTGTATCAAGGCGGTATTGTGGTGGTACAATGTGTCCCGGTGTTGACGCTTTTAAAGGATGCAGCACAATAATCACTAAGACAAAAATTAAACACTAAAAATATATCAGTAAGTTCTTTTGCGTTGTTTGCTGGCGCAATGTTCGTTAGAACAAAGTCATTATCAACGAGACTATCTACTTAGTATGAAAAGCTCATAATGAATATTTAAAGTTGGGTTGGGTTTATTATAAAAATAAAATAATTTAAAAATGTTTGAGGTTTAAGATATTAATTGACATTTATTCCATGATAAGAATAATAAAACATTGTTATTTATTGAACAAATAAATTTAAAATTATAGATTCATGAAAGCAAACTTCACTTAAATTTACTCTAAGTTTCGTTTAATTTGAAAGAAATATTTAAAATCTAAGGGAAATACTAAGTGTTTTTTAATTGAAAAAAATATTAACAATATTATTATAAATCCAAATTAAATGGAAAATAATTAAGTATAGAGAGTGAGAATATTCAATAAAGTGCCACAAATTTTTAGTATTTTAAAATTATCGGAAGAATTGATAATAGTAAGATAAAACTAAAATTTAATCCAATACTTTATAACTTGTTAATATTATCAATTAAATTATTAAGACATTTATCATGTCCAATATTTTTTACATCTGCAGAATTAAACAAAGGGTATCATAGTGTGGCACAGTGTGGACGTTGCATAGTTGGTACAAGTATAGATAATAACTGCCAATGATTAAAATTACTCTCATAAGAAACGCTTCGATGCAAATCTGTAGATAATGTTTAATATAAAAAAATCGATGGATTATTAAAAAAGCAAATTGAACTCTTATTTCCTTATTTATACCCTGATACAAGGTTTATGATTTATTAGTATAAATAAATATTTATTATAGAATTTAAATAATTTATGAAATTGAGATTTAATAATTTTGTATTGTAATTTTTATAAAGAAATTATAAATTAGTTATTACTTTTATGACAAACGTGTATAAAAATTTAAGGGCTTGACACAAAACTTTTTCGATAATAATTTGTTGTTAATAAATTAATAAATGGTATACAAAGTATTTTCATTGGACTCAAAAATATACTTTTCTACCAATTTTTACACCACTTCAAATCTGCCATTAGAGATTTTCATATTGTCTAAATAATAACAAGATCTTTTAATTTATTATAACAAATATTTATGTCTGATTATTAGGTTACGTATGAATAACCAATAATTATATCTTAATTAAATGAATATGTAACAAGCAGAATGTATCATGTGTAGTATATCAATATAAATAATTATTGAAACATCAAGAATTACATAGAAATGATTACTAAGAATTCAATTTAAATGATTTATTACAATAAATATACAAAAAATGTAATTTTAACGAGATTTAGAGTTTTCCTCATAAATTTTATGTCAATAGTAATTATGTAAGTTTCTGATCACATATTTAAAAAATAAAATATCTTATTCCTCATAAAATTTTCTTATTAATTATATGAATTCTAAACTTGCAAGTTGAGTTAAAATTGTGTTCTTACACTTTTATACTTAGTCAAGAGAAGGAATGCGACTGAAAAATGTCTTTTGGATAAAAATAACATAGCCTGCACCCTCACCACGAATCTATGTTTAAAAATATTAACTTTTGAAATACTTATTAACTTCTTTAAAACAAGTGTTATTTTACAAGTTCGTATGATGCTTTTCATGTATAAATAGCTAATAAATATCTATTAACATGAATTTTTAAATTATTGAAATGACATTTGTATGTAATTTTATAATAGTAAATAAATTGTTCATTACTAACATAATTTTTTTAAAAATTCCATGTTTGACCATATTTTTATTTAATATTTAAGTGTCTTCAAATTATAAAATAACTAAATTAAGTTGCTATGGATTATTTAATATAAATACACTAATGTTTATTTTCAAATTCATATTTGTTCGTTGTTGAATTTTGGTCGAGAAGAGTTAGTTTTTTGTGCTTTTATACTATTACTGACAGTCAAAATAAATTGTGAAAAAAGTATTTTGATAAATTGATTTCTTTGCAAATAATCACATTACAATGAAAGTAAAAAGATTCTTTCGTCGATTGGCGAGAGTCTTCACGTGTTGTCTCTTCAAAAAGGAGCATATATAAATAGTTTAATATCTTAACTTAATCTAGCCTAGGTATTTTTTTATTAAAACTTAGCTTAACACGATAGATAACAAAAATTCTCTAGGTATCTAATGTTTTAACGCGTACAGAAAATCAATACACTCATTTATTTGAACATATAAATGTAGTGTAGATTTACATAATTAGTATTAAAAAAATCATTAATAATTTTTTTTAAATTAACTGTAATTAGACTAATTATTGTTGAGACGAAAAATATTATTGCAATTTACTATGTAATTAATTAGAAGCTGAGGAGTGTTACTTAAGTCTAGTTAGTAATCATGAAATGAAATCTAACACAATGCAGAACAAGGATTCAGTAACTAAAATCATGACGGCGTTATAAGATACAAGAAAACAAAGAATGAATGCTGAAAACAATAAGCTTAACAATATTCATGAAGGATGTGAGAAGTTCGAAGAAAATGTTCACGAACTTGGTATGGCAAAGCCTAAAATAGCAGCTATTGAAGGAGTAGCCTTCGTGGAAACTCATTGACTTAAAGAATGTGCTAATGCTTCTTTGGGAAAATGAGTAATTTTGGTAAGATTATTACAGATAATGGGGAATGCTATAAATTCTATAAAGTAAGCACATTATTTTTTTGTCTTTACTATATGACAAAACTGGGTAATCAACATTTTGATATTTTATTTTGGTTTTATATATATATATTTGATATTTACATTTATTTTAACAAAGTGCTTTAAACTTTGAAAGATTTTAAAATTTTATATTCTTAAAAAATCTTTAATATTATTTGGCGTATAATAAAGAATGAAAAAAAAGTTCTATTTTAAGGTATACAAAATAGTGTATTTTTGTTTACCTCAGAATAATTAAAAATATCAAGATACACAGGTAGGCACAAAGAGGACCATATATTAATTAAGTAGATCCTAAAATTTAAAATTATCTTTTTTTCAGAAAGATTTAAATGTAGGTGTTGATCAACATTTTAGATATCCACAAAAAGTGAAGTTTATTGTTGATGATTCAGAGCCTATAAATAGGCCTATGAAGTAGCAATAATTGGAGACTCTTATGTCCAACGGTAATATAAAATGTTTTAACAGCAAAAATAATCAAATTAATATTGTTTTTTTTTATTACAGGAACGATCACCTTGATTTAGAGAACTGTATGCAGTTACAAATAGATTCTTACAATTTTTATTATACTTATATATACTATATCAGTGCAAAACAAGTAGTTTGTAGTATTTATTAAGTTAATGTTTAAATTTCATTATAAGTTCTTAAAATTATTAATACAAATTATGTGTTATAAAGTTAAAACTTAAGATTTAACGTACTGTAATAATATTCTATATTATTGCTAATTCGTGATCAATATATTGTCATTAATTAAATATTCTTTTGATTAACAATATAATATAATAAATATAGATAGATGTATGTTAAAAAAAAAATATTTTTTAAGAGAAGGATAAAATATATTTTCTTTAAATTACAAGTTCAACACTTTTAAACTATAAACTTTCATAAAAATTAACTTATTCTGTCGGGTGTAGTGTGTTTGAGATTAATTTTAATTTTTGAATTTAACAATTTTTTTTTTTTTGAACTAATAGTATTTATTATAATCTTTAATTTGACATATATTTAATGCTCAGAATATTTGTAAAACATTTTCAAAACTTAAGTTGAAAAACTTATTGTGCAGAAATTATTATTTTGAATCCTTCCCTGTGGGCAGGTAAAGTGTCAGATTTTCAAAAAAATTATTTCAAATGAAAGGAAAATATCTAAAGTTTTAATGTAAAAAAATAATTTTGATTTGTTTATTTTTCAATATGTTATGACTATTTAAAAAAAAAAGGGAAAAAATATCGAAATTTACCAATTTTAAAAATCGTTTTTTTTTTTCTGAAATTTTCACCATTTACGGGGAACGAGGGCAACATTTTCAATTTTTGATTTCAACAATTAACAACTAGATTTTTGATCTTTTGACGTATCACTGAGAAAAATTAGTGACAGACACAAAAAAAAAATCACATCATGGTAAAATTAATACCTTCTCAGCTTCGCATTGAAGGTAAAATGGGTTTTTATATTCAGAAAGGGTAGTGTAGCGATTCCTAGCGTGATCTTGAAAGCTAGAGCTATTAATTAATTTATAAATTCGATTGGCTGGATTTAATTGAGAATCTATGTATAGTCGTTACTTTAAATAAGTACAATAATCAGATTGTATTCCCTAGTTAACTGGTTATTTTGTATTAAAAAAAAAGACAGTCCTATTTTGATGATCTTATAAATTCATAATATGTGATTTATATGTACAAACTATAACATCATATTATATTCTAATATTATAAGTGATAACACATTATTACATTCGAATACAGAGTGAAATTTATCTAGTTGAACATATCAAGAATCAAATTGTTGAAAGTAAATTGCTATCCAACCAACAAGTTTTAATCGTTTTAACTCAATTTGCGGCATGTACAATTTAATTTGTGCGAAAGCGATAAATTAGTTTTTAGAGAAGTAATTGTATTTTGGCGAAATGCTAGAATACCTTTTGGTGATGAGTAACATAGCATTTCAAACTTGAAAAATTGCATGCAAACTTAAAAGTACTATTAAAAAAAGTAAACGAGTATAGTGAACAGCAGCCCGATTTATTTGATATATTACACTTAAATGTCCTGGATATGATCACAATTGAGGAAAACAAACAATTTTTACTAATGCAAAGAAAGAAAGGCCTAGTTGTAAGCTTAGTACAGATTATAAATTATTTTTAAAAAAAGCAGAAAGATTTTAATAATTTAAAACTAATTGAAAAACAAAAAACTCTCTTATTCTTACAGTTATATATTTTATTTATTTTTAATTGTACGCTTTATAATTCATCTGCTTTAAAAGTAGATAAAATCGTAGAATTATAAGCGACCAGCAGTCGATACTTCTTATGATGAGATTTGCAATGTCGATTACTCTGAAGAATTAGAGTGTATCCTGGTGAATCAAGATTACTACAAAACAGATCCATCAAAAATATGCAGGAGAGGAACTTCAAAAGTTTTTACTTGTAAACTACTAGCTGCGTTGGATAAGTGCAAACTCAGTGATCGTGATGTGATCCATATAATTATAGGAGCTGCTGAAGCGTTGGGTAATGATATTTCTAAGTTAGTAATAAATAGATCGACTATCTAAAGTGACAGAAAGTTTTTTAGAGAAAACAAAACTAGTGAGTAAAAAAATTTTATTGTTTGATAAAGATAGTCTTGTTTTACATTGGGATAGTAAAATAATCCCTGATGTAAGAGGAAGAGTTACAATAGATAGAATACCAGTTTTAGAGTCATTCGAGATAGTGACTCAGCTGCTCAGTGTTCCAATCTAATGCAATGTATAAAATATTAAATGAATGGGATATTCCTAACAAAATACAAGCATTATGCTATGACATAATATTTTTTGATGATCGAGTTACATCAGAAATAAAAACTAATATACTACAAACAACTAAGGAACTTATAGATTCAAACGAAATTAATACTTTTACATAAAAAGAATTTAACGATTTTGTAAACATAGAATCGCTAAATTTTATTTTTAACATTTAAAATTTCGTATGATTCTTTAGAACTTCATCTTAACAGTTGAGGTGAAAATAATGCTTAATTAAAAGTAAATTATATTATTAAAGTTACTTGTTGTCAATGATATTTCAAAAGGGTAGTCAAATTAATACAAGAGTATATTAACTAAAGATGAAAACCAAAAGCATATTTTACTACAAGTTGTTAATGATTACTGCAAATGTTATAATGATTGCAAAAAAAAGCACATTGATGAATCAATAATATTAATTTAAAATTATTCTTATAGTTGGATGTATTTTTTTTTTTGCTGTGAATTATAGTTTTTTTTATACTTTTAATAAAATAACCCAGTGATATTTTTTTAACTGCAAAAATATTTTTTATAATTATTATAAAAAAAGTAAAGTTTTATAAGTATTTATTATTTAGTTAATATCTTCAAAATGTGATACAGTTTTAATGTATATTTAATTAAATCTTGAAATAAGTTGAAGATTGAAACATTTTTATTGAAAATAAATTTAAAAAAATAAAAGTTTAAACAACTTTTGTATGAAACACTTTTCTGTATAACGAAGTCAAATATATTAATTTGAATAAAATAACCCATCTTTCTCGTATAAATAAAAAACTGTATAATTTTTATTTTTTATGGAAAATTAATAAATTTAGAACAAAACATGATAATATTTTTTTTTATACACAAATATTATGTTTCCTTATTATATCCTTTTAATTTTTGTCATAAGAGTCCTAGTTTTTGAGATAAACAAAAAAAACTAAAAATCCACCCTCAGGGTATAATTTTCAAAGTTTGAAAAGCCCCAAGAGATTTGAAATTCAAACCTCTCGGGGCTCGTTTTAGAGTTTATCAATTTTGACCAAATTTTGTAAAACTTATTTTTTTTTTATATTCCAACAAAGTAGGGGATGATTAAAATTCATATGATAATAATTAAAGGCCACCTTATTACATATATTATTTCACTAACTATAAAGTAGATACCATTTATTTAACTTTAAGGAAACATACTACTATACTTCAGTAATTTGAGTAATATACTTAATTGATATAATTCTCACAATCATAAACCAATTAATTACATTATTATACAAAATATTTACGAACACATCATAGTAAATACTGGGTTAATTCAATAGTAACAGGGATACGAAAACCACAAACCATATAATTACAAACTTGAGTAAATAAATACATGCAAATATGAGAATTAATGTACTACTTAAGATTAAATAATACAAATATTTTTAATAATGTTTATTAATTTCGAGATAAATTAAAATCTCATAAATTCTAAATGTAATGTTTTCGTAATGATTTAGGCCATTAGTATCACTAAATATTTAATGTGATGTAGTTTAGCATGACAGTAAAAAATCTGTAGTAAAAGTTGATAAGAAAATTTAAATTTCCAAACTTATTTACATAACTCGAAAAACGCAAGATTTTAAACAAGCAAATTGTGTCAATAATAATAAAATCACACTCTCAACTTTAACGAACATAGTAACACATTCTTTAAAAATAATTGGTGACTTCTTCCAAAACAATATCAATACTACAGTTGAAATTTATAGATATTGAAAAAAAATACAATACTAATAGCGCATTTAAGGAGCTTGGGAACTAGGGGTTAAGACACCACTTCAATTGGTGTTACATATCTTTTTAAGTATTTTTTAGATGTTTTTTCAAACTAAAATTTGTTATTTTTCAAATAACTAAATTAAAGAAATTATTAAATTATAAATTTACCGGATAAATTTTTAAAAAGCAGCAATGTAAGATAGCGGCATAGTTGGTACAAGTATAGATGACCAAAGGGAATTAAGGGGCCATTGCACCCAAAGAAAAACCTCAATCAATTTTGATAGAGAAATTTTATCAAGGGTTTATGATAATGTTTTATTAATACGAACAAAATAATTATTCTTATGAATAATTATTGTTCAAGACAAGAAAAAAAATTATCATATTGATAAATATATCATAGATTCAATAGTAATGATATATTTATCAAATTGAACAATGAATTTATTATATAGATCGAGGTTTTTTTCTGGGTGTGGTAACGGGTGCAAATGATGTCTGACCATGATTAACAACACTATCATAAAAACCACTTCGATACATTTCACAATGATTTGTATATTTGTAATTTTACTGTGTAATTGAACTGATGCGTTAAGATTAACTTGGTAGGGTGCATTTTATAACCAGGGATCTTTGTCAAAACTAAAAATCGGAGGCTTTTTGTTTTTAGTAAAACCTATTAAAATGTCATTTTGTTTAACGTATTTTTTAAAGTGTTAAACAAATTGAACAAAAACAATGAATTTTACGGAAATTTTGCTATTTTCGACAATAAAGTCAAAAAAGTTTAAAGTTATAATGTAACAGTATAATGTTGGTATTGTTAAAATATCACAGACCGGAGGGAATATTTTTAAAAGTCGAAAATAAAAAAACATTCCTTTGTAAATATCGCTAATATTTTAACTTTGACGGCCAAATTTTATAATAAAACAATCATCGGGTTATTTTTTTTGATATTATAGTACATTTTAATAGTTTTAGTTTGATATAAATTAAAAGTGTTTAGTCATTCCAGAACAATTTTAAAAATTGAGTCGACATTTTTTATATGCATGGAAAATGTGTTTCATACATTTCCTGTATATAAGCTTTTCAATAGATTTTCATAAGAAGTATACTAAAAAATGTTTTTAGTAACTAGTATATTATATTAAAATCTGTATCAGTATTTTTTAAAAATGTCAGAACGGTCTCACATGCTTTAAGGTAGGTTCGAGTAATAAGACCTAATTTGTATTAGATATTGAATATAGTCTATCTAGGCATCTATTTCATACATGACATTTCTTATTTATTTTTTAGATTAAATATAGTAAATTTCTTACGACTTGTATACTGTCCTGACTACCTCCAGAATATGCTGTGGCTATAACAGCTGCACAACGCTCAGCATAAAAAGGAGCTTTTCCATCACGTGTAGCACAAGCTATGACTAAAGAATAAATACTTCCCGCGTAACCATCTGCAGAACAATTGTCAAGTAAATGTCGACCATTACCTGCAGCAAAAACGTATATTGATCCCTTTCCACAGCGACCCTTAAAATGAAAAGTAAAAAAAATTAAAAGCAAATAGGAGCATAAAATAGTGAAAGCATTTTGTTTTAAAAACATACGATAAAAATAAACATTTTAATTTGTTTTACAAACAAATTATATAACATCATTTATATACCAAATGTTCATAAAACTTTATTCATAATTTTAATGTTGTATTTATTAAGAAAAATTAAATCCCAGTGTTATTTAAAAAGTACATATTTATCTTTATTTATATATAACGCCTACCTTTATACAAACAATATCGTAAACAATGTAACTATGATAAATTTACTCATTTAAAAATATGCTTATATTTTTTAGCTTAAGAATTCTATCTGACAAATTATATTTTGTAAATTTAATTTAAATGATAAATTTAATACTTCTATCCAAGTAGAAATTAATTTAATATAATTTTAACGTGCATATTTATTAAATTACAATCTATTTTTGAAATCTTCCGAGATCCGGCACTTTTATTACCATAATAAGTATAAAAATAATCGTTGGTTAATTTAAAACCAACCCGATAATAATTACATATGTTTATGTTATAATTGTCTATTTTAGATCAAAGTAACAACATTTAAACTGAATAACACAGTTGAAGAGTGAATGTGTCAAACGTTCTATGTGCTAAAAAAGTGAAAAATTGTTATATTTCTGATTTATGTTCTATGTGCCAAAGGCCACAATCTTGTATGTGTTTCAAATGTCAATTAAACTTTTTACTTGTACAAAATTGCATTCATAGATGGTGTTCGTTATGTGAGACATGCCCATATTACCATTGTTTTTTGTGTTTTCTGAACAAATATGTTTTTGGCACATAGAACGTTTGACACATTCACTCTTCAGTTATTCTGTGGTTGATGTGCAACATAAAAATATGTATGTAAACACAATTAATGTCGGTCAATGATAAATCCACAAATATAATTTCATGTTAACTACACTTATTATGACTAATTTCTAATGTAGACAAAAATATTTCTAAGATTTTTATGACAATAGTAATATAAAATGCATAAACAAAACCATAATTCTTTTATGCATTTATATAGCTTCTTAAAATTTTGAGCACTTTTATGGCTTCTTGAAAATTTTGCATTTTTATGGCTTCTTGAAATTTTTGCATTTCTATGGCTTCTGGAAAGTTTTTGCGTTTATATGGCTTCTCAAAATTTGTGCATTTCTATGGCTTCTTGAAATTTTTGCATTTCTATGGCTTCTGGAAAGTTTTGCATTTATATGGCTTCTCGAAATTTGTGCATTTATATGGCTTCTAGAAAGTTTTTGCATTTATATGGCTTCTCGAAATTTGTGCATTTCTATGGCTTCTTGAAATTTGTGCATTTCTATAGCTTCTGGAAATTTGTGCATTTATATAGCTTCAATGAATGTATATCATTATTGAAAAAATGTTTATAAATTACTACAAAACGATTAATGAAGAAATAATGAATGAATAATAATGAATCGGTGATCACTTCTTGTCTTTGAAAATACTTTCAAACTTAATATAAAAGTTCAAAATAATGAGCATTTTGCTTTAAATGTTACAAAAATGGTGGTCAGAATGCTCTCACTTCACTAATTTGATCAATCTCACTCATTCAGTCGTTCTCAATTTACACTTTGTTTTGAACTCATCATAAATACGCGAAAGATGTTATTTGCCGCATTCATATCGCATTCATAAAGAAAAAGAACGTTTATTTATTTCAGAGTATTTATTGGAAAAATCAAGGTAGGAAAACAATAATTTCATCAAAAATATAATATAATATATAAAAATCAAATGATAATCAATAATAAAAAATATACTAAGTAAATTTAATAAATCAATAATGTTTGTACAGAGTTAGTTGTCATTTTTATCATTTTTATACGTATCTATTTCAATACCATACTACTCTGGGTACACCCAAAGAAAAACCTCAATCAGTTTTGATAGAGAAATTTTATCAAGGGTTTATGATAATGTTTTATTAATACGAACAAAATAATTATTCTTATAAATAATTATTGTTCAAGACAAGAAAAAAAAATATCATATTGATAAATATATCATAGATTCAATAGTAATGATATATTTATCAAATTGAACAATGAATTTATTATATAGATCGAGGTTTTTCTCTGGGTGTAGACACACGAGCTGACTCAATCCCACCTATCATTGATAACCGTCAATATTCGTGGCATAAATAATATTAAAGAGTATGACAATTTATTACAATAAATTTAGTATTAATAAATAAAGATCACTTTATTTTTCAATAATTTCTTTTATCATTCTAACAAACCTTCGTACTCATACCACGAAAAATAATATTATTAAAACAGCAAAATAGTAACTTAGAATGAACCACTAATAATTTTTATTAATATTTTCTTTCTTTTTGAGTTACTACAATGGCTTCTTATATTTTGTACATTTATATGGCTTCTTGAAATTTTGTGCATTTTTATTGCTGACTACAATTTGTGCATTCCTTTTTTCCATTACTTATTATTGTATTAAAAGTTATAAGCGTTGTTAGTTATGTATTAGACACCATGTACACTTGTTTAGTTCAAAACAGTTTTTTAATTGCTTGAATTAATTTTTAATGAATACCATTTACTGTATGTAAAATGTAATTCTTATTAAGCTCTTAAACAATTTTTTCAGTATTATACAGGAGTTATTTTCTTTTTAAACAAATAGTTTTTTTAATAATAAAAAATTGTTTTATTATATATAAATTTATAAAATTAAACAATAATAATTAATTGTACCCATTAATAATGTTATTTTAATATAGCTAAAAATTAATGTTGAGATGTTGAATTAAAAATTTTACCTTACCTTTGAAGCACCTATATCGAATGCCAATTGTCCTAAAACTCCAGGGCCATCAACAGTTTCGCCATTATCTAATGGCCCCCAGGATCCGTTATAAATATCAACCAATTCCAATGCATAATTTACAGCCTTTGCTTCCATTTCATCATTAGTTTTGCCATCAAGCAAAACTATTCCTATAATAAATTTAGTTTTCCAAATTATATATTTTATATAGTAATTTTAATTATGTGTTTATTATTATACCGAAACTCCATATTAATTCTTTCAACAATTAAAACATTCGTTATCAGTAAAATATATTACTTAGCTTACACTTACCTCCTACTTTTGCATTATAAGCAACTCCTACTCCACACTTATTATTATTTGCTGCCATAGCTATTTCTCCTGCGCATCTAGTTCCATGTCGATTGATTGTAGAACTACAATACCTGGGCATTGGATCTGTCGTATTCCAATTTAAGTTGATGCTTATTTTTTCATCCTAAATTAGATTATTTAAAATTTATTTAACTAATGAAAAAATATTTATGAATATTGAATGCAAGTATTAAATTATTAACATCATTTTAAGATGATGGTAGTGTGGCTTTTCCCACCTTACCATCCCAGATTAGATTTCCTAATCTCCAAGTTGGTCAAAAGGTTGTAATTTCAATTCCCTTTCATTTCAACTGATCTACTTTTTACACGTGGCCTATATTACCATAATGCTTTTTTAGAAATCATAATATTAAATATAACTGAATATTATATTATTTTTTATGAGTAATAATATTACTCATAAAAGAAACACAGAGAGCTGTTGGCATATTATTGGATTTTTGGATTAAATTATATTATGTAAATGGTACTATGAAAACTATATGCGCTTTTATTTATGAACAAATTATTAATTGAACTGAAAAATACTAAATAAAATTTTTAATATTATAAGAAGGAAAAAATAATTCACAAACGTAGTTATTTTTAAGATCTTCATGTGTATACTCCAAACCATCATCGATAATTGCTACTCGAATACCTTTTCCGGTGAATTTCAGTTCTTCATATACTGGGACAAGGTTCATATTCAATAATGGTGATTCATTATCAGAACGATAGTCGTGCTAAAATATGTAAATCAATGTCTATTTTTCAATGCATTTATCCATAGTATGTATATAAAAGTACAATAATAATATCTGAATAAAATTAATATATTAATAGTCTTTTACATGAATAAATCATATACAAACAGAATGTGTTTTCAGAAAAAGACACTCTAGTTTGCTCAAATGACCTACATGTATTAACTGTAAATTAAAAAAAAATGTTTATCGAATAAAAATCATAAAGTTTGCACACATATATTACAATGAAAATTCTAATATTAAAAAAAAATGTCACGTAAGGTAATATTTCCAAACACTATGTTTGTACTTAATTAAACTTAATTATTACTTAAACATTGTAAGTACATGGATATAAAAGATTTTTCAAAAAAGACAAATAAGTTTTACCATTATGAAAAAGACAGTTTTATTGTAGAGTTTGCGCCAAAATGCAAATCCTATATTAAAAGTGATTATTAAAGTGAAAATAAAATAATTAATATTAGTGGTTAGGTGTAATTAATGTATGTACCATAAATTTAAATATCCAACGTTACTAATAACCCGAAAAAATGTAAATAATAGACAACCTCAATTCATGATTTATTGCTTCAGTGTGTATTTAACTGTACACAATGTCAGCTTTAGTTATTTACCTCATACCATTGCAAACTCCAAAGTTCGTCGTTAAAGTACCGTTCGTATCTGCTACGGACGCTTGTAGGTCCCCTTTTGTGTAGATACCTCATAAATCCTTGTTTGACCCAATTAATCTAGAAGTTTTAACTTTAAGATAAGTTTTTTTGAAATATTTCATATTACTTTTTATGAAAAATTAATTGTTTATCGATTTTATAGAAAATAAAATAAACAATAGGTATTATCATAATTGATCAGTTATAATAAAGGAGCTTATTTTGATGCTACGTCTTTCTTATTTCAAACAAAATATCACTGAATAACACACATATAACGTTTCAAGGTTGAATTTAGTAAATATTAATAAATAAATATATGTTATGAGCTTCAACTACCCACAACTTAATTAACCTTAGAAACTCTCTTATTACAACATTTGCATATACACACATTTTGTACAATTACTTAACTACATTGACATAATATCACAATTTATATTTTATAACCATTTTTGGTGGGTTACTTCATAAATTTTAAAGTTATTCTCTTCATTTATAAAATATTCAACATTAAAACTACCGTCACTGTGATGAAACAGTTCTATAAAAGATAAAACACTTAAATTATTCATCCAATGTTTGCATAATATTTTGCTACTACCAAAGTATTATACAAAGGGTATTTTTTAAATTATGTTATAAATGAAGCTAATATAGATTTAAATTATGTTACAATTACACTCTTCAAAAAATTTCTCATTTTACAAAAAATGTTCACACATTTTGAAAAAATACGAACAGTAATATTATATATTATATTACAAAATTTTGTAAAAGTGTATATTTAAAAGCTCATTTCAACAATCAGACAAGTTCAACTTTATCAGAAAATAATTTTTTGTTAATTTTGTATAAATATAATTAATCTGCGCAATTCAGTTAAAAAACGAGTTCTATTTTATTATTATTTTTGACGATATTTAATAAAAATAAAAATGTTATCATTAGTTTCAATGACAAATTGTTCAGAAAATTGCTCCTGAAAAATCTCTAAAAGTGAATTTACCGGGTTTCAATTTTGTTAAAAATCAAATAAAATGATCGTATAACATTTTCAGCGTAAACGTAATTTGTTTACAAATATAGTAAAAATTGATCACTTGTGGCTAATTACTGAAAATTAATTTTTGTGGAAGAAATCTAAAAATTTAAAATTAACTGCAGGCCTCTAAAAAAGAGCGAAGACTGGCAGAAATATCTTAATTAATATCTTAATTGATCAATCTTAGAGAAGATACAAACGTGAAATACAATTCATATGTAAATTTCGTAAACTGATTTAGCAAAAATAAGAACTCACTGAACCTAAAATAAAATTGTAAATATTCTGTACCTTATCATGGCTTCTTAATATTTTTGTAATTTCATGATTGCCATCGCTATTTTTTTCAGGATGATTTTCTTTTCTTAGCTTATAAACATTAGGAATTCCTTCAATCTAAAACAAAATGATTTTTAAAACCAAGTAGTTGTTATTATAAATTTATTCGAAATTACCTTTTCTAAAGCTATAAATCCTTGATCTTTTATTTCGTTAAATATTTGATCAGGTTCCTCAGTTGAATAAAAATACCATGTATTTGTATAATGGTCTATTTTTTGAATATCGTGTTCCTAAAAATTTAATTTGTAAACATTAGAAATTTTTAACTCAGAATTTATAATTAAGTAAAAAATCAATTTACTGAATACGAGACATTAATTAAATATTTATTTTTAAGTATAATTAATAATAACTTACGTTTAGCATAAGTAAATCGCTTGGCTGAATAATGTAATCGCAAATAAAAAATTTTATATTACCAAAGAGGCATAAAAAATTAATCAGCATTTGCATCCTACAATAGAAAGTAAATTTTATTTTAATATTATTTTAATTAGCAATTAATTTGAAAATGCAAGTTATTGAACGCATTTTGTATAAGATAAATGATGGAAGATAAGTGTTTAAGTGTCAAAAAAAAAAGATAACCACCTCTAACAAAACCTTCAGTAATTTTTGTATTACTATTTTTCAATTTAATAATCATAACTGTTGTTACAAGAACAGTGATTGCCATTAAGACAAGATAAATATGACACTTACAATACCTATTAAGTAAGTAAAATCCACAACCTACATATGAGATATGCGCTGTCTAATCAAATGAGTAAGAAACCAATAATTTTATAAGTAGAATTTTATGATAATACAATTTCTATTTTACAAAATGATAATCTTGCAATGATGTTAAAATTTTATTTAACAAGAACTATTAACAAACTTGGCCTTGCTTTGATTTAAATATTATTTTACAAAGATATTAACTAGTTAAAAAATTAATTTATTTTTTAACTTTTAAACTTAACTAGTTAATTTTTCTAATTAACTTTTTAAATCAACTAGTTTAATTTATATTTATAATTTTTGGCTTCATGTGGTTTTAAATGTAAATAATCTAATATTAAAATCTGTGGTTTATGTTTTTTGATTAAAAGCCATTACACTAGAATTAATTTGAATAAAATATGCATAATATTAATATAATATATCAACTATTCTTATTATATAATAATATTACTATTATAGAATAAAAATAATTATTACTAAGGCTGCTACCTAAAGTATTATAATTATATAACAATAAATATAATTCTTTGAAATTTTTCGGGCAGATCGAGAAATAATTTTTGAATTTGTAGGATTAGTCACTATAGTTACTAGTGTTACTTGTAAATTAGAGAATCAGAAAGAAAAAATAACAGTTTTTATGATATCTTTATTCCCATTTAAAAAGTGAATAAACTTTTTTTTAATCTATGTTAAGTTAATAATTTTTTTCGTTTAAATTTAACTAGTTAAACTTGTCCATCTTTATTTTTTTATATATCGATTTATTTATTAAGTATAAAATTAAATTATTAAAATAATTCTTTAATACTTTTTTAACTTCGTAAATTACTAAGATTAAAAGAAAAATTGTAACAAAATAATCAAATATTGACGTTTGTAAACAAGAATCTTACTACCAATGTTTAATAAAATTAAGTTAAAAAATTAACAAAGCCAATGATAATGTTATATACATTATTGTGGTAATAATACCACAAGTTTTTATAAGAAAAAATGAAGAAAACTATGGCAAGAATAAATTATACATTATTTCGAAAAATATAAAAATTTCCTTAAAGTATTTTATAAATCAAAAGTGTTTTATAATTTTTTTTTTTGCAAAGTAATCATATATATAAACTAAAGATATCATTTCTATATTTATTATTTAAACAATTTTATCTTTATTTAAAACCAAAGTAAATCTTCATTTAAAATATTAAACTGTAATAAAATAAAAACATATTCTTTGTTCTAATTTTAAAAACACTATAAAGGTTTCTCATTTTTTTTAATTAATAAAAACCTTATATAATGTTCCAAAACAGAAAAACTCAAGATATAAAAATCAGAAGTGTTAGAATTTAATTCAAAAAAAGAGTTATTGCAAAAATGAAAAAAAATTTAATTTTAGCTTCGATCCAAAGCTAAAATAAGAATTAATTTTACTATGCCGTGTTTTTTTATTTTACTTTTTTTTGTGTGTCTGTTACCACTTTTCTTCAGCTCTCATCCGAACCTATTTCTTTCAACGATACATCAAAAGATCACAAATCATATCTAGTCAAAAATATTACACTCAAAAATTGAAAAATTTACTACTCCGTAAATGGTGGAAATCTCCAAAAAAATACAAATATAAAAATCGCTAATTTTTGACATTTTTTCAATTTTGTTTACTTAAAACTGCCATAACTTTTTTTTAATTTATATAAAAATATTAATCCAATATAAAGATAAAAATTAAATTTTCAAGTAATTATAGTAAATACAGAGTAATTATTTCTTGTACACCTATACAGCTATAACTCATTGAACATTGAATAATATAAACAATTTTTCCAAAGAAATAATTTTTTTTTAACTCGAAAAAATATCCTCGGAACAAATTCCTTTTTTATTCAAAACATAAGCTTAATTTAGTATTGGTTTAGATTTATCTGACATTATCCTGGAACATTTTCAAAAGTTGAGTAAAAAAATAAAATTTTATATGCATGAGTTTTCTTATTGAAACTTTTCTTGTACTTAAGTTTATCATTGTATTTTCATTAAAATCATACTATCAATGTAATTTTAAAAGAATTATAATAAAATGAAAAAAAGTGACAAGTTTTAACAGAAATTTTGCAATTTTTAGCTTTAAAGTCAAATAGCTTATAAAAAAATATCGTTGAGACGATTTTTTTATCAACATAAAGTACTATTAAAAAACTTTAATTTTACACATGTTAATTTTTTAGATGTTCCTAAAATTTAAAAAAATTATTTGTATAAAAATTGCTAATTTTTTTTACTTTAACGGCAGATTTCTCATAGTAGAACAATCATCGGAAAATTTTTTTTTCAATGGTATAACCAATAATAAAATAATAGTTACCTCTAATATTTATAAAGGTATTTTGTGAAGCTTAATTAAGAAACCACTCTGTATTAATACAATGCATGTATTCTTAAAAAATTTGATAACAAATACACAGTAAAACGACCATATATACAATTTATTTACCTTAAGCCATGCTGTACTCCCTATAAATACCATAAAAATCTTTTTTCATATGCTTAAAAAAAAGGTATCATCAAATCGATTTAGGATTGTAGGTTTATTTTCAAGTTTCCTATTAGTTTTCCGGATTATTGAATTTACAATTTTCAAATAAAATAAAAACTCTCAATTACGTCATAAATACTCCAAATAAGAATGATTAATCTATTAAACAATTAGTACTTACGAGGCCTCACAAATTTAAAATATTTAAATAATAATATAAAATATACTTAAATTTTTACTAATTATTCAGTTAATTTAATTATTACTTTATATTTTTGTTAGATAAAATAAATATATCAATCTGTTTAATATATTCTATTTATAAAATTGTTAATGTATATCCATAAATAAATATATTAATCATTACTAAACAATACATAGTAAATTTAAATATAATGTTTACACTATAAAATATTTATAAAAAATATATTTACCTGTAAAAGGTTTTGTAGAATATTAATTTATCTAGATAACGAAGAGAAAAATGAACGTTTTTCTGTTAGCAAAACATTGATTGTAACAGCTATTCTCTATGTTAGCATTATGATTTTTGCTGGCATGTTGTTTATTTAGGTGTACAATAATTAGTATGAAGATTAACAAACATTTTGTTTGTATACATAAAAATTCAGTTCCTATAATTCAAAATTCTTTTATATACATTAAATGTTTAAAAAAACGATAGATACGTTAATTCATTCACATACTTTTAAAATCATCAAACGTACACACATATTTTAGTATGACGTCTTTACTATTGTACTAAACAAAGTTTTTTAGAACTTGTTATTCAAAAAAATATATGTTTAAACATTTTATACTTTGTTCTATTAACAATTATGTGATAAGTATAAGTATATTATGTGCAATAATAAAATTTGTTTAATCACCCCAAACTCATCTACAACGTGACAAATTTGAATTTATTTGTTTAAAAACTAAGTAAATTACTTAAACCAAAAACATGGTTATAGTGTTTTTAAGGAAAATTTTAAAGGGCTTCTACAAACGGAAAGGGTAAAAATTTACTACGAAAAAATTTAATATAATATTAAATGTATAAATTTATTTCGATTCAAAAGAGTCTAAAAATTCGTCAAATGCATATCCTTTTCCTGAAAAAATCCTCACCATACATGTGCAATTATTTCCTTCTTAGTAAGTTCTTTTGCCCACTAAGAATTTATTATTATTTTTATGGAACACTAATAAATGCCAATTTGTTTAATAAACACTATTATATTTAAAAATTCAATACACAGTTATTCAATAATGCACGTTAATTTATCAAAACGAGATTATTAATGATACTGAGAAAATATTATATTGCATTTTAACGATATATAATTATAATTTTCGCATAACATTTCATAAGTATTTTTCCATCCAGAAAAGCTGTTATCATCTTCAATTATTCAATTTTTTTCTTTGCATTAACAAATCTTGATTCATCGTTCTGAAATAAGAAATTTAATTACACCAACCAATTAATCTACTATTTATTACTTTATATTTTTAGTAATAAACTATTTTAATAATTTGATCAAAATACTGAATAACTAAAATATTCATTAATGTAGCTAAAATATTCAAAAATTAATTAATTATATTCTCAGAACGTTTAAAAAAATATTTAGAAATTTATGAAATATTTTGTAATATTATCGATTTTTAATCTATGTATTAAATTAAAAATATTTGTATATATATATTTTTAATATTTTTGANCGATTTTTAATCTATGTATTAAATTAAAAATATTTGTATATATATATTTTTAATATTTTTGAAAGTATTCTTAATTAAATATTGACATTTAAGGCACTTTACTACAAAATTTAATAAAATTTATAGCAAAAATATTGTAGCTACATAATATTTTTATATTTCCTCTATATTACAATACTAACAGATTTCAATAATTCAAATGCATCGTAAGAACGGTAACCATTCGAATAATGGCTAGGTGCTTCTTTTGTTCCGTGTAGAGCTAAATTAATTTCTTTTATTCTTCCTTTGTTAGTTGACACGCCCGACTAATAATATATTTAAATCAAATAAATATTTTTAATTTTCACTTTTTTTTATGTTTATTTAATATTTATCATACCTTATCAAAAACATCAATGTAAAAGTATCCTTTAGGTGATTCACCCCAAAAAGCTAGTGTAGTTAAAGTCCATTTTCGTAATCCCTGTACATTCCTATCTTTGCCTCGTTTTTCTAAAAGCTGGCTCGTAGTTCCTGTAATTATAAAACAAATAATGCAAACATTTAAAAATAATAAAAATTATTAGCTATAGGCTTAGTAAAAAATCAATATATTATTACCTTGGGGTGATCTAATTGCTACTTGTATGTCCCCTCGTTTGGGATAAGTTACAGTCAGTACTAGTTGTACTTGTTCTAAATAGTTGATTTCACCAGGCATATCTCTACAACCATCAACATATACTATAATCCGGGCACTTTTATATCTTTCCAATACCAGACTTCTATAAAAATTAATATAAAGCACATTGTGAAATACAACCAATACGAATTTTTAATGAAAATTAAATTATTTAATAAACTTACTTAATGGTAGGCATACGAACAGCACATGAAGCCATTTTGGGTACATTTTTCCAGTTTTGAGCTTGCTTAACTAACTGATAGGCATTAGCTAATCCAAATCCAAAATCGTTTGAATAATAAAAACCAGCTTGATTTCTGGTCCACCCTAAGTTATTAGCTAGTGGAGCAACTTGCGATGTCCAGACAATTAAATGCTGTACATCTCTCCATGTCAACGAAGGGCTGAAATAAAAAATTAAAATTTTTTTTTTTAAATACTAAATTTGTAAAATTATAGTTATTGTTATTAATTCTTACTTAGCTGATAAAGCCAGAGCTATTATACCAGATATTAACGGTGCAGCAGCTGAAGTTCCAGTATGTTTCGTAGTACACCCACCTCTTACATCAGTAGTCACCTAATATATTTAATTATATTAGTGAAAACTAAAAACATACCTTAAATAAGTTGTTAAATAAATAGAAAAAGTTACTGATGATTACAAATTTCCAAAAATTTAATTATTAAGTAGCTATTTTTTTTAACTAAATTGACTCATAATCTTACTTTTTAAGGACTTATCCCTTTTTTGTGACACTTTCTAAACAAATATAACACATTTTTACAAATTAGCCGTTCCGCTAACAGTTTAAGATATTTTAATACTTATCTAGTTTATCTAAAGATTTATTAATATTTATTTAATTTAGCTGAAGAATAACTTTGTTTAAAATGGCTTAGCAATTCGAATGTTCTATTAAACAAAGGTATTTTAACATAAATATATAACATATTCGATTTCTTGAAATCACTTACAATATTTTTAGAATTTCCAGCTCCACTATAAGCTGTAACCATCACAGATGGACATCTCTCTGAATAATGAGCGACACGGCCTTTATCATCACAACTTGCAACAATAATAGTATATATAGAATTTACATAACCATCCGCTCCACAATTGTCTTCTTCCATTTTACCATTACCAGCTGCAAATACATATATAGCCCCTTTCCCATTTCTACCCTATAATATATAAGAAACTATGGCTCAGCAGAAGAAAATGAATAAAACAAATCAATTTTTCAGTTATTCTACAAAATGGTATATATTTAATCAGAAAAAATAACTGTAAAAATGAACTAAAAACTAATAAATAATTAGTTAAAATTGTATTTTTTGTTAATTTTCGTTCTCTTGTTACTAATAAACGAACCAAAGTAGACATAAATTATCAGTACAAAAAATATCAAAGAACAATACATTCAAACGGAAAAAAACCCAGCACAAGGGGGTTGCGGCACAGTTGTGACGTGCTATAGTTGGATCAAGTATAATGATATCTGACAGTGATTAAAATCACTATCAAAAATAAACGCTTCGATGCAAATCTTTAGATAGTGCTTAATTTAAAAAAAATTGGTATTTTATTCCAAAAGCTACTTGATCTGCTGGTTCCTTATTAATATCTCGATAAAGATAAAGTATGTCAAATGAAAAAGGGTTTATTAAAAAATATTATTTCTCATAAAAAAATTGTGTGGATCCATAAACTTTTCAATAAGTTATAGCATTATAAAGTTAAATATTATATAAATAATAAAATCGAGAATTTTCACACGAAAATAGCATTCGGTAGCCATTTTCGCCGTGAAGACAAGTCCAGAGGNAAAAAAAAAAAAAAAAAAAAAACACATCATAGTAAAACCAATACCTTCTCAGCTTCGCATCGAAGCTAAAAAATATTATAAATAAAAATATTCGCAATATATAAAAACTTAAAATAAATAACCTAATTACATTGAAAACAAAATTAAATTTTACAAAATTTATTAAAAAATTGACATTGCTTTTGAAAAATTATCGATTCCTTTCTCTAGAATTGTATTCGACACATAACTTATTAAACTTAATTTACAGATCAGTATATTTATCTTTTTTTTAAGTGGTCAACAAATTTCGCGTTAGATAAATTTTGTTGAAATAAATTAAAATCATTTAAAATATTCACTTTAATGGGGTACTCAGACAAAGTTGAATAATTTTCTTTTCTTTTTAATTTTTTTTTAATTAATTATAAATGAATTTAATAATAAACACTAAAAATATATAATTTCAAATGATTTTACAATATTATTACATATGAAAACATTTTTAATATGAAAACTTCATTCTTTTTTTTTATTGTTATACTTAAACTTAACCTATCCGCTTTGCACTGGCTTCTCCTACATTAGAATCAATATATATATTCAGTGTCTGATGAAGATTCTAGGTATGAACTTACAGAAGTTATTTGTGCATTTATACTTCGCGGGGAATTATGTACTGATAAACGAGTAAGTTTTGAACTTCCAAATATCTCCTTTAAAGTTAATATTAGGTACTTCTTATGATTTTTGTATTAACTTGGTGTAACTCAACAAATACTTTCATTGGTTAACTCAGTTAAACGCAACACACCAATGGTCATTTAAAGATAGTTTTTTACTATTTTTTATTAGTTTTATATATTGGACTTGCATTTTTTTGTCTAATAAGTGATTCAAATAATAACATGGCAATTTTTTTTAATTGAAAACAAAAATTGTTTTAGTAAACTTTCAACTTTAACTTTTACAAATAAGCTAACATCTGGAAATGTTCAATCCCTTATACACACCTACCATTAGATATTATTTTTACCTGATGTATTCCTTTAGAAAGTGAAATTTTAGAATAATCACTTAAATGTTCCAAGTAATCGCCTGAATCTGAAGGTCCCCAAGAATTACTATAAATATCTACCCACTTCAGAGCATGTTGAAGAACACTGCCTTCTCTTATATCTGTAAGGGTATTGTCTAAAAATTTAACACCTAAATAAACACAAAAATTGAAAATTATATTATGTGTGTTTAATCATTGAAACAAAATAAAAGTACCAGATAAGAATTAAGTATTTTTGTCGAATTAATTTGTAAATAGAACTCACAAATTATAGACAAGCTAACAAACCGGTAGGGTAAATGATAGCCATTCCCTAGTAGAAAATGTTGTTTATAGCTTAAAACATGAAGTATTAATAATCATTATTCTGGTAAAGGTATTTCTAATTATTAGTTGTAACTTGTAAGTTTTTAAATGAAATATTTATTATCTACGGTAACAAGTATTGTAATATCTTTACTTATAGCTCACATACATATTCATATATTAAATAAATTTGTCTTATATTATATTTCATATTTATAAAATTTTTGTATTTCAAATTCAAGTAATTTATTTTCTATTAGAAAATGGTAATATAAAATTTTTTTCTTTCTAGTAATACAAATTATTTGCTCTTATTGTATAATATCAAGAGTTGTCAAAATATACCTGTATTCTATTTGAAATAAATCTATTCTAAACACTAATTAGTAGACTAATTGGTTTACCTCCAAGACTAGCTCCATAAGCTATTCCTACGCCACAAATATTATTATTGGGCTGCATTATTATTTCTCCGGCGCATTTTGTACCATGTGCTCTAATAATTCCATCTTTATCAACGCGAGGCAAAATATCACTAGAATCCGTTATGTAATTCCAACTTAAATCTGGATTCTGTAACAACCAAATTATATTTACTAAAATATAAATTATATTTATTTATAAAATCGAATTATTTCGCGTTGATTATTAACGAAATTTTTCTAATATTATTTTAAAAATTATAGTAATGTACATTAATTTAATAACTCTATATGTTTACAGTTATTTAGAAAATAAATTTTAATAAGTTGTTGTTAAATCCTAATACTTACAAATTGTGGAGCTATATCTGGATGATCGTATTGTAATCCATCATCGGGAACAGTAATGTTAACACCGGCACCAGTAATATTTAATTCAAAAAACACAGGCACTACATTCATATCACGTACAGGTTGTGAACTGTCCGTTCGATAATCTTGCTAGATAATATTAATTACAAACACACTTAATAGTTACAGTGAATAGGTTTACAAAATTATGCATAGTTATGATTTTTTTGAGCATATTTGAGTAAATACTACCAAAAAATATGAATTTTTGAGAATGTATCAATCGATTTTTAATTTATTGAACAATTTTCGATAAATTATTAAAAAACTATATAAAGAAATCACTGCTAAATTATGGAGTATAATAGTTTGATTCAAAGTCATTTACTTACTAAGTACCACAAATCTTCCCAATACTCATCGTTAAAAGCATTTCTGTATGAACTTTGTCTTTGTAAAGTTCTTCTCGGTTTTGAACTTTTAAATAAACTGCGCGTATCTCTTGTTTTAAAATGCTCTTGTAATGCCCACGAAATCTTGAAATTATTTTTTAATTAATTACTTTAATAAGATTATTTTCATAAATACAGATTGTAATCTAAATTTTATGAATATTTACAATTTTGTTGTAGATAGATGTCTTTTTATGTGACGATTAAAAACAAACGAAAATAAATAATTATGAAATTTAGGATGAAGCGCTTAAATATATATTTTTTTAATAAGTAATACACTGGTTAATTTCATTGAAAGTAATTGTATTTATATCCGATATTGAACATTTTATTTTTTCAAATATTATATTTTATTAAAAATAATTTTGATTATTATATTTTAATTTATAATAATTTAATTTTCATCAAAAATAAACAACGTACGTAAATTTAAGAGAAAAATAAATTGCAAAAGATAGAAAAAATATAAAATAAGAAATTATCTTACATCTGAATGCTCTTTTAAAGAATTCGTTATTTCTTCGTTTTTTTCAGGTGTATTTGCATGACCATTTTGTTTCACGAAAGCAAAAATATGATCTTTTTTAGTAACCTGCGATAAAAACATATTATACTTTTGAATATAATGTTTAAAAATTTTAAATATTATACTAAATATTTTAAAATTCTCAATGAAAGAAAATGATTTTAGGGGAAATAACATTTTTTATTTTTAAAGTATTCATTTACATGACTTGTTGCAATGTTTGTGAACATAGGGTGGTCCAAAAAGTTCCGAAGAAATTACAGTACTAACAAAACATTTACATACAATTAAGTTTAACATTATAGACCCAAATTTTATTAATTATAAGGCATTTATGATCTCATTTTTAAACAATAGATTTTTAGTAAGAAAAATTCAAGTTTAAAGTGCCAAGTACAATGTGTAACAAGATAATTTCTTCTAAAGGTTTAGTTACAACTTAAACACAATTTGTTAAAAACTAAATAAGTTTAAAAAATTTTAATTCAAAAGTTGACTTATTATCAATTGAAAAAAAAAGATTGAAAAATGACACTGTTATAGCCATTTTTTTTACTAAATGGTACTTACAGGTCCTATATATTCCATTTCAAATTCTTGTGCAATTAATTTAGCTGATTCTTCCCCAAAAGGTACATGTACTATCCATTTATTTGTATATTGATGAGAAGCAAAACAATCACAAATTAAATAGTAAAAGATTATTTCAAACAAAATAAATTGTCGTTTGAAGTCCATGTTTTTAATCTGTTAATGTAACGAAAAAATTATACATAGTCAAAATTAATACAGAAAGGAAAAGGCATGATATCAATTATGGCTATTAAAAATATTTTAATAACTAAACATTTTTAACACTAGTACATAAACACTAGTATCCTTTTTGTATCTCGAAATAGAATTTTAAATTAGAATCAATACTAAATTGTATATTCAAATAAAAATTATATATATTATTACAGAACATTGTTTCTCTATTCTCGTTTTCAATATGATAGTTAAATTTTTAAACTTTGGTTAGCCATGCATAATATATATTTATAATAAATAAAATATAATAGTGATTTTCAAAAATACATTATCATTAAGGTTTGGAACTATATGCATTTATAAAATTTGTTTGAACCTTTTCCGAGACACCAAAACACCATATAAATTGTTCATAGTGATAACAATACCACAGAAACTTTTTTAGTTGTAAAGGAGGATTGATGCTTCCGAGTCCCCCAAAAACTATAATCCTAATTAATACACATGGAATAAGATTGAAAAAACAAAAAGGAATATTTATTTATCACAAATGTACTCGGAATGACTAAAATAAATTTAATAAATACATAAAGTCCTAAACTCTAATTATTAGTAACTTAATTGTAAAAATAAATAAATTTGTTATTCTATTCTAACAAACCTTGAAAAAGTCAACGAACAATATTTTTTATGTTAAGTAATAACACTCCCCACTGCATGAGTTACATTTAAACTGAGTTTGACTTTGATCTTGTCCCTTATATTATACCAAATTTATAAAAACACGCCATTGTGTGTGCCTTTTAAAGTATGTCGTGGATATCGTATAACATGTTAATTGTTACCTTACACTTGTCATTAATTATTATTTAATTATCATTATTTCATTATTGTATGTTTGTAATTTTATCGCGTTAAAAACACATAACACGAACGTGTCACTCAATTAACATGAATTAACACGAAGTCATTCATATTTTATCATTATTATTAACAAATTGATAGTACCATCTAATAATTACAAGTTTATTAATTATAATTTTAGAGTAAATACAATAACACTACCAGCTGTTAACATTTTTATTTGTCACTATAAAGTTTTAATTATAAATTCTTTACTAGCTGAAAATTAAAACTTCACTTTACTTTTTTTTTACGCGCCATTGATTTTTATAGTTTTTGTTTTTTAAACCATACTGTATTATATATATATATATAAATATGCAATGCATCATTGTCATCAACATGATACGCTTAACATTATACTATATTACTAGTATTTTCTTGAATATTCAGTAATATATTGATATTTCACTGAAGTATTATGTTTGTTAAATTTAATAATTTTTGTTAAAAACAAACAAAAACAAAAAAAAAATATTTACAAACATAATCTTTTAATTTTTCATAAATCATAAATAATAATCACTTTTTAATTTCATACGAAAATTTAGTATGCCAATAAGTAGACATATGAGGAAAATAGACCTAGAAAATTCATAATTTAAACACAAAGTATCTGAGTACAATAAAAACACCAAAAAAAAACCAAATGTATTACGAGGGGATGTTTTAGAGGATACTCAACACAATTAACAATACGCATTTTTTTTCTGAATTTTTTCCCCCTACTTTGTTTAGTAATAATATAATGAAAGCATTTTTTTATAGGAGGGTTGGGGTTATTATATTGAAAAACTATGGCACAAATAGCTTGTATATATACGGATACTTATCTACATCTTAAACCCTTTTTCCGCTAACCGCGATTTGATATAATACACCGTTACATAGTTAAGTGTAAAAATATATAGAGAAATGAGTCAATAGTATTCTTTAAGATCGACTTTATTTTTATTAAATATTACTATAGTAGTTTTTGATGTCGACTTCCTTGATTCACTCTCTACTCATTTTTCTTAATACTTTAATTAAAAATTAAAAAGAGCATTACAATCAAGAGTAGGAATTAAAGAATAATAATTTTATAATACAAAGCATTATTGTTTTGAAAATGAATAGCGTGTTTGTTTTTTTTTAGAATTTTTATAACTATGTATAAAAGAAAGTCAAAACTTTCGAAACTATATTTTCTCAAAAACATAGACTTAATCGTAAAATATATTATTTATTTAACCTTCAGAAACATTAAAGCTTATTATTATTCAATAATATCAATTACATGGAAAAATTAATCATATATATAGGTTATAATTACAATACATGTCTTTTGGTAGTACATACATATTATAAAATGTTGAAAAACTAAGAAATATTAACACAGTTTTTTTTTTATATTAATTGTTTAATTATAGTTTTTTACACAATTATTTTAATTTTAAATTCGATGCGAAGCTGAGAAGATATTAATTTTAGTATTATGTGTGTTCTTTTGTGTGTGTGTCAATTACCACATTTTTTGAAAATGTTTCAAGAATACTGACACTTTTACATATATCTTTAATTAAAGCTTATTTAATATACTTAAATATAAAAAAAAAAATTGGAACTTAATATTGTTTTCATGGTGAAAATGGTTACTATATTCAAAAATATGCTATTTTTAAGTTAAAATTCTGGATTTCATATTTTTAATTATATATTTTTATAACGTTTTTATATTAAAATACCTTACAAGGGTTTGCCATAATAATGAGTCTACCGATATCTATAAAAGTTACATAACTTTAATTTCAATTGAATATAAATTTAAACTTATTTTGAATATTTTGACACCGAAATAAAAAGAAACGACTTTTCGAACTAGCTTAAATTGTCAATTTTATCAAAATGTAAGTTTGATGTGCGATTGTCGAGTCGATCTCACTTCATGTTTCACGCTCGAGGTACGTGTTCAAATACCGTCCGACGAATGGCTTTTTATTGCATTTTTTTCTTAATTCTTTTAGAAATGGAAAAAAAAATAAAAAATAATTTGATTTTTATCTAAATTTAGATTGAATAATTGCAATTAGATTTTTTTCTTAGGTTTTTTTTTTTTTTTTTTGATATCACAACTAATTTATAAAAACAAGTATTTAAATTTAAACATTTATTTTAATTTTTAATATGTTAAAAATAATCCGTGCAAAATTTCGACAAAAAATGTCATGTTTAATCTATTTTTGTGTTCCTTTAAAAATAATTTTTATGAAAGTTTATTATTTCAAAATGTTGAACTTTAGACCTTTTTTTTAGTTAAACTTGCAAGTTTAAATTTATTATCATTTAATACAAAATTTTATGAAGATTTTAAAATGGTTTTATTTAAATTGATATATGGTCAAAAACTTATATTACTATTAACAGTAAATTTATAAAGGAAGCCCAAAATTTCGTTGAAAGAACTTATATTTTTTTATTTAAATCGTAATAAATCATTTCAATAGAAATTTTAATTATTTCTATGTAACTCTTCGTATTTAAATAGATGATATAATTGAAATATTCAGAACTATATATCCTATAAATATATATTCATCCTTATACTTATAACCTATAGTTTTTAACGAATTAGTAATAATATCAATCATTTAAGGTGATATAGAAACAATCTAAATACAGACTTAAATTAGCTTAAATAAATGAATAATAAAATTAAATTTTTGAATCTGATGAATATTTCTGTTAAAACCTATAACTCATAGTTAACAATAAATTATTTTCTGAAAAGTGTTGTATCAAACCCAACTTTTATACACGTTTGCCATAAAAAAATGACTACTTCGTAATTTTTTAAAAATTCTCCGAAAAACTAACAATGCTAAATTATTAAATATCAATCTCATACTATATTTAATTGCTATAATAAATATTTATTTGTATATTATACTTCTAAATCAAAGAACTACTAATCAGGAATATGAAAAGAAATAGGAACTCATTTTGCTTTCCGTATATTCCACGAAATTCTTAGAATTAAACACATTCTAAAGATTTGCATTGAAGCGTTTCTTATGAGAGTGATTTTAATCACTGTCAGATATCATCTATACTTGTCCCAACTATGCCAAGTCCACACTGTGCTGCAGCCCCACTGTGATACCGTTTTATTAATTAAATTTCGTCGGATTAAGAAACAAAGAAACGTATAATCAACCAAAAAAAATTATTTTATTAAACGATTTTAATCAATTATTTTTGTTAAATTATATGTTTAACAATGCAGCTATAGAGATACTTAATTAACGCTATAACTTCTAATTTTAAGAGTTCTATCGTCATATCAATGAATTATATGAAAAAATAACCAGATAATTCAATTTTATGCGTTTAAAAATAATTTTGGTTGATCCATTCCTTAGACCGTACACTGACTATTTATCCGATTAATTTTTTACGTTAAAGCAGTTTAATTATTAATGATGAATGTACTTTTGACATTGAGTTAAGTTTGAGGTTCTCAGGGTTTTCCTTTCGGAATCTCAACACCAGGGTTGAATACGTTGAGGGGGAAAAGCTCATCGGGGTTGTTTGGAAAATGCCTGCATGAAAATTCGTTTGAAAATTACATGGGCTCCTGGTATCGAAAGCTCGAATGGTTAAAAGGAAATGGCGGCGGGACACTACGGGATACCAAATGCGATATAGAACGTTGACCTCACTGTTTTGCAAATGAGCGCGCCCTGTGGTGGTTGATGATAGGACCCTGGTACTCGCGTCCTCAGTCGGGGTCGAGGTCACAAGGCCACTTGCGCGCGCCTCAGCTGGACGACGCGGCGCCCGCGTAACGACAACATTTTCATCGACCGTATTTTTACATCCTTGAAATAATAAAAAAGTTTAACTTTAAGTTTTTTCGCTATTTTCAGGTAACTGAATTTTAATCTTTCTGAATATGTTTAAATTCTATAATCAATTTCTTAACACTTTTTGACTATTATCACAAAATATTGTTATAATTTTCTACTCTTAAATTCTTGAATTGTCGGAACGCACTTAAAAGTCATGAGCCAAGCGAATGTGTGCGATGTTATAAAATTTGATTAATCAGTTGACAAATTTATTATGACTGCACATAAATATTTTTTTATTAGTTATTAGATAATAACTCAAATATATTGACTTTTAACGTGTTAATAATACATAAAAAATGAATAAGAACAAAAAAATATACAAACATGGGTTACATGATATTGCACAAAAAGTATCACATTTATATGAAAAACCTAGCAACATGTACATATATATGCATTACTACATGGGTACGTGGTTCTTTATAAAAAGATAAAAAAAAAGAGTTAGCTTATTTGATTATCACCGTAAAGAGTAAATAATAAAAAAAAACGTAAAAAAAAAAGAAATTTTATTTTATTTTTACGCTCTCATTTAAATGCGAAAATTATACTTCTTAAAAAGTAACAATAATATAATCAATTCATTCCCCGGATAAATACATAAATACATTTTGATTATCCTCTTCTAATCAAAAGAAATGTGAAAATGTGTTTTCATTTTATAATTATTACACAACGTAAAACTAAAATATTTGTTTTTTTAAACCTATAAAAACCTATTGCCTACTCTTCCTTTACGCTTCTAACAGATATAATTTGTGTATAAAACTATATACATAGACATGAGTATTGTTTTAATACCTTGTTAAAGTTAATTAAATTAAAAAAAAAAAACATTTCGAAAAACCAGCTGATTGAACATTTTTATTAAGTGTTGGCTCTATTGTAATCTATTTTTTTTACGAGATTCATAAAATATGCAATATTTATTGATTAATTATTCTGTACTTTCAATATTCAATAACAGTAAAGTAAATTATTTAGTTT